ACTTGCCGACGCGACAGACATTGCCTTGCGTTTAGACCCGACAATGCTAGGTTCTAAAACCTGTGGCAAGCACCTAGACCGATTACTCTGGAGCCGGACACTGGAGCTTGCTGATTCACGAGCAGAATACCAGGCGCAAATCTTGCCTAGTATGGAAAAACTCCTTGATTTATCATGCCCCTTACTTCCCCGCCCTGAGATATTCCTCGATTACATCCCATGTCTTCGGTGGATGGTACGCATCGAAGATGAAGAAAAGGCGGAGGAGGCACGAACGCTTGCTTTAGGCCAGGAGGCAAATAAGACGGTGGTGGAAGGGTTACAAGGAACAGCCGGGCTGCTTCTGGGCCTATTACGCAAAGCAAAAAGTTCTTCGTGCGGTTGATCCCGGTCAGCGAGGATCAACTACGGGCCTTACGAAATAGTGGGTTTAGATTGGACCTCACGTAGTTACAGTCTATTTTTATTCTCTTGAGATGGTTCATATATTGGATAACCAATTGTTGGCGAGGAACATGCATTGAAATTCGCACATTTTGGCGCGCGCTCTTTCTAATCGCGTGATCTCGAGGACTAAGTTCTCATCATGCGAAGTCACCACACCCTGAAGCTGTTGCAGAGGCCTAAAAGCCCGCTGGCGTGTGTGCACTGGATTGGAGAGAGAGCGTCACATTCCACATCAAGTTGGGAAGTCAACCCGCCCTCGGATCCCGGTTTACAGTTCTACCGGAATCGTCAGCTGGAGTTGTTCGCAGGGAGAGAGACTAAGCGGCTTTCTCTTCGACAGTTGGTATGGATTTGACTTTCCCATGAATCATATACGTTTACTCGAACTTTGGCACTTGTGATCCGATCACGAATACAGGTATTCTTTGGACGAGCCATGGATCCCGAGCGCCTCCTCAAAGTAAATGCACGATTGACTCGGTGGTACCGAATCTATGTCTTCTGATGAAACGAACCACTTGTGCTAGAGCGCAAACTATGTCCGACAGGAACTGCCTGTCCGTCTCGCTCACCGCATTCGTGACATGCAAGCCTTGCCGTAAGCACGTGTGGAAATCATTCTTCGCCGCAGATATTGACAGCGCCGCAGATTTGTAGTAGTGACCCAAGATTCTGTCGCTCAAGTCTACGAGGTATGCTGAAATTCACCAGATGGAATGGGCCAATCCTCACATAGATGGTTTCAGCTGTACTGGGACGCGTTTGAGAGGTCAGAATTACGCGTTCGTCAGAAGAGAGTTGTATACAACGGTCTCATCAGGTTCCGTCGATTCCCGCCAGTCAATGACCTGAGCCAAAATGAAAAGTTTTGCGCTCTGTTGAGGACACTGTTGGATGCTCAGTAGGTTATCCACTGTCCCTATTTAGGGGAGTAATCTAAACCCCATGCGGACTCCAGCGCTGGCGTGATACCCCGCCTCTCTCTAGGATTATCTCTTTCATCGCATCATCTCTCTCCAGATCACCTCGATTCCTTCATGAGAAGAATGCTCGTTTCGCGCATATCACGGCGAGTTCTCGCGGAGCACCACATTGCTCTTACCGAGTCCCTGGAGGGAAGTACAAGTGAAAATTCAAGGATGGGAAGCCCGCCTGGCGATCACGTAGGAATAATCTATACCAACCTTAGTGTGCGGAATAGCATCGACCACTGTGTGTCACTGCTCAGAAATGTGCATGAGGCAGAAGTGGCGAATGTAGACAACGTCATTGACTTCCCAGACGTGATCGTTGACGGACACATCGATGCACGGTTCTCTTACATAAAGGTATCTTCAGGTAAGATCGCAATGAGCACAGCTAAATTGACGTTCTACAGGAACATTTGGACTATGTCATCTTTGAACTTCTGAACAATGTAAGTTTATGGTTGTAACAGAATTGCGATCTAATGCCTATACCAGGCCATTCGGGCAACGCGCACCTTCAAGTATCCCTCCGACCGGGAATCACGACAACGCAACGTCCGCGTAACAATAGTAGCATCAACTGATGACATCAGCCTAAGAATTTCGGATAATGGTAAGTTACTCCTCAAGGGTTCGAAGGAGTTACTCATTTTTTTTCAGGTGGTGGCCTCTCAACGCCGGACCCAACAAGTCTATATTCATTCTCTCACTTGCGTAATGCTGCACGCCTTGAAAGCGAGCGACTCGGCGCTTTGAGAGATGCCGTGGATGCTAGTTCGCATCTGAAGAGAGGCATAGTGGGGACAATTGGGGAACAACTGAAGCGGTTACTCCCAGTAGATAAGGCGGCTCAGATTCTAGCTCAGCACGGAGGATTAGGCGCGGCGGGGCTCGGAACTGGTGCCACCGAAGCAAAGCGCCTGGAATCCAGTCACGATCGGGGGCGTGAGCGGATAGGGCTTGGCTTGCCAATGAGCAACATATATGCAACTTATTTTGGTCAGTAGTAATGGGCTCTGATTTTACGGTAGTCACTCAACATCCCAATGCAGGGGGGTCATTGTCGCTTACATCACTAGATGGATGGGGTAGGTACTCCCACGAGACTGTGATTCTTCGCATTAATTCTCCATTAACAGGTACAGATGTGTACCTTCGACTACCAAAACTTGTGTGCAGAGTCCATTGAGGCGGTGAAGTAAATGCTGACGTTCTGACAGGGCACCAATCTTGAAGGGGTAGAGGTGTGAAGCAGGAAAGAATCTTATTCACAACCTACTTGCTCAGTCATAACCTAGTTACCGAAGCTGCCTCTGAACCAGGAAAGGGATGGGTTTTTTTAGAATAGCCTTTTAACGCAGCGATGCACGTCCTCAAAAGGGGGTTCACCCTCTACTCAACCTAGTGGCATGTTGGCTTCGATCCTGCTCATGTCCCTATGTTCGCATCAACAAGCCCCCATGTGCAACGATGCTGATAACTCTACTCCACGAAATCTGGCTACCACCTTTGGAAGCCCGGTTTCCAGCCGTGCCGTGCACTGAGGGGAAACGCGGCGTTGTAAACAAGCGATAAAAGGGTGTCCTACCCCACGAACAAAATGTTTCAAGCACTATCTTCCTCCTTTGATCCAACAAGAAGGTACCTATCAATACATACATAACAATGAACAGGACGCCAACCACATCAATCCACAAATTCCATCCAGTTCGAACGGAGTACACTGTTAATATTTTGCATATTACATAAATTTCGAATCACTTCAGCCGATCGGTTAACAATATCGATAGAGGTGCACCGAGAGTCTGGAGGCTTGCTGACGAACGCGCAGAAAAGCCCCCATAGATTATATATGATCAATACTACAAGTGTGACGCTTCGAGTCTGTACAATTCTGAACGTGTCCAGAACCGGGTACTTTGAGCTCGTGCATGCCCACCATTCGTGACAGGCGGCATAGGCCATCCAACCTCACCAATCCCGCGTCTCAAGCACGGAGAATTGGAGCTAACTCCAATTATCCCGACTCACAAGCACAAAATGCATTACAGGTATCGAAGTGAAGAGGAGACCTTCCCGTAAATGGACGCAGCTTGCACGTAAGTCGCGGCAACCAAGCTTCGATTGTCTAATCCCCCAATCCATGGCATCCTAAAGCGCACCAGCCGCGCACAGTGAATCTAGCTCGCTACAAAATTGGAAAATCGTTGCAATCTCCATGCTTATTCTTGAGCCTCAAATTCGTCTGCAATCACGCAACTCCGGGCCTCCATACAGAACTAGCGAGCCTTCGTGTCTACATATGCGGCGCAGGGCTGAACCTAGCGAGGCACTAACAGGCAGGTACGATAGGCTCGAGGACCGGTAATCAAAGGAATAGATGGTGCGGCGCGTTCTCACAAGCTTGGACAAGCCTTAAGCAACTGTTCGACCAGACATCGTTGAGATGAAGCAGGCAGCGGGTTGCAGGCTTTGGCGGCTAGCCTCTATCAACGCTACAGATCACTGTAGAGGGTCTGGACACAAACACACTTTATATTTCAGAGGTCGGGTCCAGCCTAGAAATGGCGGAAGCTGCCAGTTGAATCGGCTGCCTATTTAGATGCGTGTCAAAGGTTGCCCAACACACACACTATGTACGTATATCTGCACACATGCCTTTCTATGTTTAACCCTCTTACTTAGGGCAGGCCGATATTCAAGTACACGGTTACCCGTGCAATGTGGCTACTCCGCAACCCCAACGTTTCGGTTCACCTCCATCCTCGAGCATAGTCGCGTTGGCCTGGTTGCACGGCCATCCAGAATTCGCGTAACACCCAAAATAATAACTTTTCAGAAGCAAACAAGTTTACTCTTCTCATGGTCCCCACATCGCGATTTTTCTCAGCTCCGGAAGAATGACCCCAGCGACTTGGCCTCGCAGCCAGTTGTATCTGGGAGATCTCATTCAAGGACTGAGCAGAATGACAGCCCATCATCACTAAGCTCTTCCGAAACAACTGGCCTGCCTCTTCGGGAAAACATCTACACACTCCCAAATATCATTACAGCATCCAGAATCCTAGCATGCCCCATCCTTGGCTGGTCCATCCTGCAAGGGGACTTCAGGAATGCAACATTGCTTCTTGCTTATGCTGGTGTCTCTGACTGGGTACCAATTCCATCTGACGGCCGTCGCATTGAATGCCTGATCCTGGACTTGCACAGGTCGATGGATACTTAGCGCGGAAATACAACATGCATACCGTCCTTGGCACCATTCTTGATCCAGCCGCGGACAAAATTCTCATGACTACCCTTGTTGTTACGCTTGCCATCAAAGGACTGCTGTCAGGTGCGACTTCTGGAAGGAGGGCTTGAGGATTATCCTCACGTCAATTGTCTATAGTTCCCCTGGCCGCCATCATCTTGGGACGAGACTTAGCGCTCAGTATATCTGCGTTTTACATTCGATATCAATCGCTTCCTCCTCCAGTATGTTCCGTCCTGCTCCAACTCGCCACTCTAAGTGGATTGTTCCCTTTCAGAAAACTTTCATGCGTTACTGGGACTTCAGTATCCCTTCTGCCGAAGTTAGACCAACGATGATCAGCAAAGTAAGGGAGTCTCCAGGCGTCTCAGGGGTTTCCTGATGTTTTCTCTTTCAAGGTGAACACGGGTCTCCAACTTGCTCTTATGGCTGCCCTGACTATGAGTCCATTGTGGCCCACTGATATATCGATGCCATTGAGGATATTCGAGTATGCTGTTCTTTGCCCTCCTGCAAGCAAATTAGTACTCATAATCACTATAAGGTGGATTGTCGCTGGAACGACAGTTTGGAGTGGTGCTGGTTATCTATGGGCTAGGGACGGCTTCCGATATGTTGCTCGGAAGTCCATAACGAAAACCAGCTCAAAACCATAAAATTGTACTACAAAAGCAGACGTACTACATGTACTAATACAAATAAATTAATTACAATCCACATGTGAGGAATGCGACGAAATCATTGATATGATAAATACTGCCAAGGTTCTCAAGATTTTTGGGTCGCTCTCCGTTTTCTGACTTCTTCCAGCGCCCCTTGGACTGCTTGCTTGGAAGCGACATTGAGCAGCCAAGCTTCCCGTGCGGTTCTAAGCATAGTGTGAGTGTTCGGATACCAATGTCGAATCGGAAGCCTACTTCGTTCTATGCACGAAAATCACAGCCATAACAATGGTTCGAAGGGATTTATTCGTCCTTTTCGGAGGAGGGAAGCCGAGACGTGCTATCGATGCAAGGATACTCCTTTCACTAAATTCATCTGTGGTTAGTTCCATCTCTGACAATAGGTCAATTAATTAGCCGTACCCTACGTTGTGAGCCTCAAGAACCTTCAAGAGGTACACTTTCTGATATCCAAGATCCAACCTAAATGCATGTTCTCGTGTGCATCTTGCCTTCAGGTATCGAATTTGGAGCATCAACCCTTTGCACTCTTTATTGTGCACAAGCTTCAACTTCTCCAATGCCTCAGAGTCGCTAAATCATCACCTTAGAGGACCTGCTTCGCACAATAAAACGCACTCACAGTGCTGAAGCAGTTCGGCTTTCCTCGACTTCCCGGACCTTCCGCTGCATTTCAACAAGTTGACTGTGCATCTGCCGAACGTGAGCTTGTGCCCTCTCAATGGTGAGCTTGTCCTCATGAGTCTTCGCCAACAGCCCAGCCCGTTCATTTTTAAGCAGGGCCACATCCTTTCGGATATTCTCTGCGTCTCTGCGAACTCTCTTGAGATCTGCTTCCAAAGTGGTTATTGTTCGCGCCACTTCCATACGCTCTTTTGCTAAGCGATTTTTCTCTAGTTCGGCGTCGTGCAATTCAACAGCTTGTTCCTGTAGCTGAAGTCGGAGGTCTTCAACCTCGGTTGCCCGGAGGTCGAGCTGGTGTCTGCGATCATTGTGTGCAGCTTGAGACTTGGACAACTGGTTTCGTATTGCTTCGGTGTCCTAACGGAGCCCATAAGCAAGGTATCATGCTGGCAGTTAGATGACTTACTTCAGTGGCTTTGGTAAACTTCCGCTGGAGCTCTGCCTGTTCTGCGATGAGTGTATCCCGTTCACTGCGTAAAGTATCGAGTAGGGCTTGGTTTCCTGAGAACTTTTTAGTCAGCTCTTGGATCTTCTCCTCTGCACCAGATTGTTCTAATGCCAAGTATCAGCAGCTGGTACAAAGCAGTACAAAGTATAAACAGACCCCGAAGTTCGGACTCCAATTTTCGGCTAACGCGCTTGGCCTTCTGAAGCTCCTCGCGAACATCAGTCATATGCTAGGTATGCCATGAATAAAGATGGACTTAATGGGTCAAAAGGTGGGGACTTACAGCCTCGGTCTGACTCAGTTTGGCCACGATATTTGCTTTTTCCCTCTCTACGCGCTTCTGTTCCGTGTTGATGGAACGAAGCTTATTCCTCTCCTCGCGAAGGTCGCTTTCTATTGCCAAAATCGACTTCCGTGCACGATCCAATTCCTATTCTCAAGTCAACAGGCAACATATTCAGAAGAAATGAGTAAAACCGACCATTTGTAGCATTTCTTTCTCGCGCTCAGATTCATTCTGAATCCTCTTGGCATCCTCATTGGCTTTTCGACGCTCCTGCTCCAGCTTACCCGACTCGACTTTGATCTCTGCATTGAGGCGGCTTGCTGCATCTCGAAGAACAGTTTTCTCATTGATATGTGCCTGCTTCTCTGCCGCCACTGCGATCTGAGGGTAGTCAATTCATGATTCACTTGCTCCAGTGCCTCTCGCAAGTGGATGCGCGACTTGTCAGGGTCATCAGTGGTCATATCCGCATCAACGAAGCTGAAACGATTTTCGGTGGGCGAACCTCAATAACACAATTGGGGGCTTACCTTGCCGAAGGATTGGAAGCCAAGACCAACAAATTAGAAGCATCAAATCGACGGCCACATTGTCCACATTTACACCGCTGCAAACGCTTACGGATACGATCTTCACTTCGTTTACAAGCGCCCACTTCTTTCTCCAGCTCGTCAACTCTCCCTCGAGACGCTTGGAGGGCTTCGGTAAGCTTAACGACGCTCAGGCCTGCTTCACCAAGTTCGTTGACCATTTGGTCGAGATTTTCGCCTGCTTCGTCAAGTTGCTCATGCAGCTCCTGAATGCGGGCGACATACGGCTGGATGTCCACGCTCCCTGAGATCGAAGCATTTTGAAGCCATGAGAGCTGTATGGGGAACTGAGCGAAATGATACTGCACAGTATGATGAGGGCTTACGTCTCTAAGCGCTCCTCCGGGCGTCCTTGGTGTCTTCAACAACGACGGCGTAGTCCACCCCCGCATCGTCCCAAAGCTTGCATTCCCTTTCATAGGCGTGCGAGTATTGGGGTTCGTCGATGCTATATCCTGAAGTGCGCTTTGCAAAGTAGTGACTTGCTCCTGCAACTCTTTGTTATCCGCTTCCAGGGCCTCGATGCGCATCGTCTGGCTTTCTTGATAGCTTCAAGCGCAGGCGATTCTTTCATAGCATGCTCGAGTCGGCCAATTTCACGTTCGGCGTCCTCCAGCTGGGCTTCGAGGTCCGAGACGATGCGCTCGTGCTCTGCTTGGGAGACAGGAAGGGTTCCTTCTGCGACAGTTGTGGACGATCCAGATGTCGATGAGACGTCCTCCGCCTCATGACTGTCCGAAGGATTCCCAAGCTTGGCTCGGGCATGGGCAGCCTCAAGTTGAGCCTGTTCACGTTCCTTTGAAAGAAACTCGACCTTCCTGCGATACACCCGTATATCTTCATCCGCGATCTGAAGTTTCTCCTCACTTTCCTTGAGAGCTGCCTCCATCTGACGAACCTGTTCCTCCATTAAAGCCTCGTGAGACATCGCATTGGCAAGGTCATTGTCCATCGCTTGGATCTCCTGGTCCTGCTGTTCAAAAAGCATTTGTCTTTCCGCCAGCTTGGCTTCCAGAGCGATCAGCTTCTTGCGATCTTCGGAAGTACGAATCTCGCCCTCTTCCTGTAAGCGTTTGACGTTAGCCCTCTCGTTCGCGAGGTTGTCCTCCAGCCTCTCGACATCCCCCTCAAGCTTCGCAGCAGAACTACCTAGAATTACGACTTGCTCCTTTAGATCATTCGCCTCGCGCGTCGCCTTGACCAACTCCACTTCAACCTTCGTCTTCGCGTCCCTCAGTGCTTCAGCATTCTCCTCGGCTTCACGCACTCGCTCGGCTTCATGCCCTTCCTTGACCAGTCTCGTGCGCAGCGACTTCACCTGCTCCTCCGTGTTATCTAGTTTGGCTTGCATTTCATTGATGATGGCCTCTGCCCCTTCCGTAAGCTCCTTCGCACTCTTTGCGTGCAGTTCGGTGCGTCGCTTGAGTTCTTCCTCAGCCTTCTTGACACGCAACTCTAATGATTCGACTTGTTTTTCTTGATTCTCGTCACGTTTGCGGAACTCCTTCGCCATCTCATCCATCTTCTCCACTTCATCCCTTAGTTCATCGCGCTCTGCCTGCATTTGAGCCAAGTCCTCTTGGAGTGCTTGCACAATGTCAGACAGAACCTTGGCGGATTTTGGGGATGCGCTCTCGCCTCGTACGTCTTGTTGCTGCCCAAGAAGTCCCTGGAGACGTTTGTTCTCCTCGCTCAAGTGTTTATTCAGCCCATGCAGGTATGTGTTGAGCTTGAGATGATTAAATTTAGCCCCTATGTCGGTCGTAGGGTCGAAAGATGCATTGGCTCGGGCATGTGTGGCCAGATCGTGCGAAGACGCGGTGGAGATAAAGGATGTGTCTTTCTCTGCCAAGCCCGGTGTGTACACTTGTGAAAGTGGGTGTGAAAGCCGTGGCTTCGCTCGAGGATGCGGTGTAGGTGCTGCGAAACGAGGTCTATTGGTTGTTTGGACGAGCGACATCAGAAAAGACCTGTGTCGGTCGGCTGGGGTGATAGCAGGGTGGTAAGGCGCGAGGATCTTGGCACTTGGGGTAGAAGTGGGCAGCGAATGAGGGACTGCAGGGGAGTCAGTGATATCTTGAGATTCAGTTGATGACTGGGGAGAAGGGGTTTTGTGATCACGAAGAATGCCTTAGGCGCGATTTGTCAGTGGGGGGAACCAATGATAATCAAGAGCTCACCTTTGAGGGGTTGACGAGTTGTGGAAGGTTTTGCTGAATGGTGCCCTCGCACGTCGGAGCCTCCTTCCCCCAATTCTCCAGCTTCAGTGTCATTTTCAACAGCAGGTGATGGAGGAAGCTCGATGTCTGCTGCATGGAGACGCGAGCTTACCGCACGAGGCATTGGCGTTTCGGGAATATCTTCGCTCCGCGAACGGGAGAAAGACCTTGAAGGCGCAGAAACCTCAGACAAGTCATCCCGGAAGGAAACGGCATGCCGTGGTTTAGGAATTGGCGTAGCTTCAATGTCTTCATTGTGTGCTGAGTTTGGGGTAGCTGAAGGTGACGCGGAGGTCTGTACCGAGTTACTAGACAACGAGCTTGGAGTGTTGAGAAAATCCTCGCGGAGACGTGCATGGGTCTTCGTTTGGATACGTAGATGGAGTTGCGTAAAGGACTCGAAGGGGTCGACTCAACCTGGTATGATTTGAGAATCAGAAGCAGCGAGTGACAGACCAATGCTCACTTCAACTTCTGGTACGGGACTTGGAGACTTGTGCACCGATGATAAACTGACAGACTCAAGCGCGTCTTCCAGGGATAGATTCTGCTCCCCAGGCAAACCCAGTATTGATCCTAACGAGAGATCCATGCTTTCCTCCATGAGACTTGGTCCGTCGATAACAAGAGATGCAATGTCTTGAGCAGATGAAGCAGGGTCAATTCTGCTGATCTCAAAAGACTCTTCACGAAGTTCACTTCGCTTCATGACAGCTGTGCCACTGGACAGTATGGATGCTGCGAATCTTTCATTAGACGAGATTGTAACACCAGTGTAGCGCGAAGCGCGTAATTGAGATAATCCAGCAGGTGTATGTTGAGAAGGACCAGCCATGAGTGTTGTTTCTCTCGAAACGACCTCAGCAAAGGGTGAAATTGAAAGACTAGTGGATGAATCGTTCATTCCAGAATGCTCAAACATCTCCAATCGGGAAGTGAAGGGAGTTCTACATCGTCAGCGGCTTCAAGACGACGCATGACACGCGAAGGTGTCTCGTAAGGGAATGGGTTCATCGCGTCCGACGCGAAAGGGTCGAGGTCTTGAATTGTTTTGTTGACAGTGTTGAGCCGAGTTTGGAGTTATTTAGAGCCGGAGATACGGATCCAGTTTTCCTCGTGACTCTTCGGAGCTTATATTCATTTGTTGAATCCCGGTCAGTTCCATCTGAAGGAAAACATAAAAAGCCTTGGCCAAGCTCCCCAATCTTTTTCGATTCTCTCTTTTACTCACTCAATAATTATGGTTATTGCTCAGGCTGCTCGCAAGGCAAGCATTCTTATTTAGAAACTGCTCTTTTGAACTGACGTCCGCGTTGCAGACTGTTTGGCAGGTAACGCTTCACATTTCTTCATTTCGAGGTGACGCGGACAACTCCTCACATCAATCCTCCCGTATAGACTTGGTTTGCTGTAGAGGTAAGGACAACGGGAGCTCCTCAACACCATTATAAACCAGACAAATCATCTCTTCGCTCTAGGCTATCCCAATCTACGCTGTCGTAGGTCTCGCTTGCGGCGGCGCTGGCTGGTACGTGTCCCGCTTGGCCGCCACCCGACGGTGAGATAGCATCCTTCTTATCCTCTTACCAATTTCCTGATGTTATCCACCTCTCCTGCCGAATTTAGTCGTCTGGGACCGCAAGAACAACCCGACTCCTTGGAACGATGTTACGCCGAACATGAACACAAATTGATGGATCACAGTGGAACACTTTCCGACAGGTACGCTTGTTCTCGCCAATTCTAGTACTGGGAACGAAGTCTAAAACTCCAATTCAATTAGCTGGGTTCGTCGCCGCTTGTAAACCGTTTCTTCACTATCAAACGACTGCAAGTCTGTGTTTCATCTTACCTGGATGTTTGGACAAGATCCACCCGTTTCATTCTAGATATCATTTCGCTGTCGCACATGTTTCTTTGCATCGCACGTTTGTACTTCCGGATCCGTTCTGACAGTCTCATAATCACACCGCCTATTTGTCATATTCAACACTAATTCCTTTTCTGAGCCGAGCCTTTGCTTCCATTATGTAACGTGTGAAAAGTTACCTCATGAAGTGAGACTAGAAAAACAAGAGGCCCCAGGATCGTCACCACCAAATAGTTACGTACAACCACAAAGTCGAGCATACGGACGTCTTCATCGAGTTCGGATAATGCCTGCTGCAACCAGTTTCTGAATCTTTTCGCGAACGATAGGGTTCTTCATATGATCTTGAAGTGCCTTGGGATCCTGTTGCGCCTGCTGCAAGATCTACACGTACAACAATAACATCAAGGGTACAATGTGCCAGAAGCCGGCGGGGTCAAAAACCCACCTGCTGCATGATAGGGTCTTGCATGATAGAAGCCACCTCCGGATCTCTCATCGCCCGCTGAAGCGTCTCCTCTTCAGTCTCGCCTTCGCGCTGGGTATATATCGCTATCGAAATCTTCTGCAGCTCCTGCTCGATTTCACGGACGTGCTTGTGTTCGGTGTCAGCATCGGCTGCCTGTCATGTCCCAATTGAGTCCTTGAGCAAGGAATTAACAGTTTAAATGATGAACATACTTTGTGGCAGGCCTCCATAGCTTTAGTGTACTCACGCATGCCATACAGGACGGTTGCTTTTCGAATGTGTCCCTTGACTGATTCGTTGGTCGCCATGTCAGATAGGTGGCGAATGCGACAAGAACGATATACAGACCAAAAGCAGGGTCAATTTCAATCGCCTTTTCGGCGTCCTTCAACGCCTCCGGGAGAGCAGCGAGCTTTGTATACGCCGCGGCACGGTTATTGTATGCTTTTGGATCCTCGGGTCACGCTTAATGGCTTCTGTGTACGACTTGACTGATTCTGCAAAGTCACCAGCCTGGACACACCACATAACATGAGTATGTAGAGAAGTAATGGCTGAATGGACAGGTTACCTTGAAGAGCGCATTACCCTCTTCGCGGGCGACGGCTGATAATTCAGGATTTATGTACGCCTGAAGGTCGCGCTCCCTCTTGAGTTTCTGTGCCTGTGATTCAGAAGATGGGTCAAACAGTACGCTCGTAGGCAAATACAACTACCGACGCACTTCATTCAATTTTCCCAAAATGTCGGGAGTCCGGTGTTCCGCCAGGCTCTTCCCGTAGAACTTGATGGCACTCTCCAAATCATCCAATTTGGCATAAGAAGTCCCTATGCGCCCAAATGCTTTCGCGATCAATCTATAGTCGGCACGTATCTTCGAGAGAATACAGTGAACATGATATTAAGATCCAGAGCTTCCGGAACTCACAGATCTTCCTTCATCAATGGCCTTCTCACAAACCTCGATCGATTTTTGATAATCGCCATCCTCAAAGTGTGCCGCTACGAAGAAAGAATAAGTATACATATGCGGCCAATTCAGAAAAACTCACCGGCTAAATTGGTTAGGAAAGTGATATCTTTGGGCCACTTATCCCAGGCAGCAAGAAAATGCTTTTCTGCATTCTCAAAATCGCGCCTCTTATATGCCGAGTTGCCGAGTTGCTTCTCCTTCAATGCTTCGGCCTTATCCTTCGCCTCTTCGTCATCCTCTCCTGCCCCAGACATGGGTGCATCAACTGGCTCCGATGCGGGCGCCGGAGGAGGCTGGTGTTTGCTAGAAGAGGCGGGTTTGGGAGATGTTGGATGATTAGAGGTGGAGGCAGATGGGTGGGAGGAACGGGGGACGAAGGCTCGAACCCTTGTGGAACCTCGTCCGAGCCCCCAGGACGGGCAAACCCCTGCATATCAATGCCCATGAGAACACCCATTACTTGTATCATCCGCGGGTCTTTGAATGCACTATAACACAATATTAGCACATAAATACGATCCTTTCTGGAGGAAGCGCTCACGAGGCTGCCAATTGAGGATTCATTTGGATCGTTTGTAGCTTCAGATCCACGTCAACAAGAAGAAAGAACATGAATTGCGACCGCGTACCTGAGCTACGAAACCTTGATCGGCGAGAAGAGGGCAGTCGTGGGGTTCGCTGCCAGCTTAGAAAACAAGTTTGGTCCTTGAATAATTTCCCAATGCCAATATCTCCAGATTCCGCCTCTACCCGAGTCTTAGACTTACATATCCGCGAAAAGGGTGTAGGGAGCTTACTTTTCGCGTCTACAACCTCCTTCAAACCTTTCGTCAGGCCGGTGATGGCGAATCCCCTTCAAGCTTAATACCCTCGTCATATGCAGCTATGGCATCGTCCCACCGTCTAAGGCCATGCAAGGCAGCCCCCTTACGGGAATAACCTTTACCCAGGAAGGATTGACTCGGATGCACTGGCCAAGAAGTGTTAAATCTAGTGATGACGTTGGTTGAACACTTACTTCTTCCGCGTCATCCAAAGCCTCCGTCCACTGCTTCTTCCCTGCTTTTGCAGCACTTCGATTGGAGTAGAGAACATGGTTCTTTGGATCGAGGGCGATTGCTTTGGTAAAGAGGTCAATAGCCTCGTCGTACTTCTTCGCAGCAAAAGCCTTGTTTCCCTGGTCTTTGAGTGTGTTTACCTGTTCCGCAGCGCTATCGTTAGACCTCCTCAACCGCAACGATAGAAGTTGAGGCTCACGTCCGACATCAAGCAGCTCGATGGTTTTCTAGTACTTTCCAAGTGCCGCACTGCCACTGGGTTTTATTCGCTCCCGAAAGGCGAATTCGGAAATCTCCCGCCTGTGGGAAGCAGTTCTGCGGCTTTACACTTTAGCCCCACGCACGATGAGTGAGCAGCACACGGCAGCGTCCTCCGAGCAACCTGTGCGGAGAAGGGCACGAAAGGCGATCAATTGTGAACCATGCCGTCTTCACAAGGTATGTCCGTGTCAATCTGGCTCTTTGATACATCGACTGAAATCTAAGGGAAAGCTCAAATGTAACCGAGCGAGACCGTGCAGCGGATGCGTAATGAGGGGCATACAAAGCCAATGCTATGCCGGAGAAGAGGATACTGGCCCAAAGAGTACTGTGCGTGAGTAATCTGCACCATCTGTAGCGACGTTGATACATAGACGAGATTGCTCGCCATAGGCCGGATCCTCTAGGAGAGCTCAGTCAAATGCAGCGTTCCATCGCTTCGCTACAAAATTACTACCGAGCTCAAAGGAGCCGCAGAAATACTTCGCCTGAACCTGAAGCCGCTGCTGCGCATGACATGTTATTGAATTCGTTGGAATATGATGGCTACTATGTTGGGGCAACGTGTCCAACAACCCCTCTCTTGAGATACTTCAAGGTATTCTATTATCCCTTCTCCCTTCTGCTGATTACCAGTGTTATGACCCCATTTAGAACTACGACACTGAGACTAACCAATCGCCTATGCGAATGGCCGAACCTGATGAGTTGACCTGTCGAGATCTACTTCCACAACTTCCAAGGTCTGAATTTTCCTCATGCACTGCTGAATAAAGATTTGATAGGTCGAATCCCCACAGCAAAGAAATTCTTCAACAGCTCGTTGAAATGTACATGACAGCGGGCACATGGATATGGTCTTATCTCGACGAGGTGGAATTAAAGCGCAGAGTTGACCGTTTTGTCGAGGAGGATGAGTTAGATGACATGACCCTCGCGACATTCTTTGCTATCTGCGGGACTGGACTTTATTATACGCCATGGCCGCACAATATCCTCAATGCATTTCCAGAACCTGCCATGGTGAGTTTGCCATTGCGTGTTCCGCTTATCCCTAACATCTCTTACAGGTAACTGGAGATCGCTTCCTAGCTTTGTCCACGGAAGTTCTGGAACGCCGAAACAGTGACTGGATACACCAACCGACTCTGGAGCTTCTTGAGTTGCATCTGCTTATGGCCCACTATTACAGTGGTGCTAAGCGGGGGGATTCCGGAGAAGATATATATTCCCTCGCAAGCAAAATGATTGGCATTGCAACAGCCCTGGGACTCCACAGGGATCCTGAGCATTGGTGTATCCCCCCCGAAGTTGCTTCCCGTCGGAGGTGGGCCTGGTGGAATGTGTTATCATTCGAGAGGTAAGTAGTGCATCTGGTCCCAATCTTGGCCACACTCACCGGTTTCGCGAAGATATCACTGCATTCTCTTGGAAGGCCCCCTTCAATCAGCAATAATTCCTTTGACACCCAGTTCCCCATGCCAGACTTCCAACAACCGGGTCAACTCGCCGCCGATGATTCTATTTTGCCGTATCTCTGTATCTTCCGAGTGAGTTGCCCTCTTGTTGGAAGATGCGCGATTTGCTGATAATATGAGCTCCAGTACGCCCTTCTCGTTGGTCAGATATTGGAAGACCTGCATTGTGTCAAGCCAATGACGTTCGAGACCATCAGCGCACATGATCAAGCGCTTTTGGATTGGCAGAACACCTGGCCATCTGATCTGAGACTTGATGAGTTTGGCATTGCTTACGCGATGTCTCGTAACGCGAGCGAGAATATGGTGCGGCGCGGCGTTCAGTGCATGTATCTTTATGGTAATAACTGTCTGCTTCGTTTGCCCGAAGTCACTGACCAATCCCGGTCTCAGGGCTGTGCAATCTCACTCGTCTCTGCATCAATCGCCCAACCATAATCACGACAGCTAAAGAAGCCGCAGCCGCTCATGATCGAATGGCCGGTGCAGCAGCCAAACTGGTCGCCTTGCACGCTCGCGCCACACCCGATTACGTCAACAACGCTGTTCTTACGGTCCCTGGTCATCTTGGACACGCCCCTTACAATATCTTCGCCTCTGCCGTATGTCCTTTTCACCTCTGTGACCTCTCGATTGCTCATCATAGCTTCTATAATAAGATGTTCTATACTCACCAACTGCTTTCCAACCCTGATCAACCTGGCGCAGCACACTTCCGTTCCAATTTGAGTGAAGCTATCTCAACGTTTGGAAAAGTCCGCGAGATGCCCATCGCGGATCGATGCTTCAAGATTCTTGTCGCTTGTCACCCGCCTCCAGAAACGGACAGTGAGGAGAACCAGCAAGTCAGGCGCCAGCGCATCGCGGCCGTGAGGCGAGTGACGTTCCCGTATGTCAAACTAGCTGATGTTGCGGATATCGAGCATATTTACCCTGTAACGGGTGAAGGTGATATCGCACCAATTACTGCTAAACCAGAACATGAGCAAAGATCCTCTCTCGTTCATTAGCGAGCATTTCCTTGTATTTGTGGTTTTTTTTTATTTATGCGAGGTGCTAGCCACCAAATGGGGATCCAGGTGAACAGCACCTAGACTTCTTGCGATGTACATACGCAGTATGAACTACATTATGGTATATCAATCGTCGTTACAGCATACTTTTGTTGTGAATTCAAATGCAACTGAATCAACCTTCAATCTTGCTCCACTTCTCAAGGTACGTTATCCGAGCAGAAAGTCCTTTCCTGAGCTGTTGGGCCATGCGATCGGTGGCTCGGGAAGGCCTTTCCTTCCGCTCCTCAGTGGCAGCCAACAATACTTGGTCGATGAGGTTGTACGGTAGCCAGGTAAATGATGCTTGTGGAGTATTCACGCGGGCAGGTGCGGCCTGATCAAATTTGGTGAATCCAATGAAGTGGGAGAGTGCAACAGTACACACCCGCTGTACCATGGCAATACTGTAGGAGAGAGCCTGGGCGACTAGGCCATACTTCAATGACATTCGAATTAAATATTCTGGTTGATGATCCTATCCATATCGCCGTTAACATGTGCGCTGGGGTTCCCGTCAACTCATTTGGACTGACCATAAAAAACTTTGATAACCAAGCAGGCACTCTACTAAAACGATCAAGATCAATAATTTTCTGCAATACGACCTTGTGATAACTCCAATCTCCGTCCATCGAATCGTAGGACTCCAAAGAAAGTCGCAAATACCGCCAAGCTCGTTGAGAGTTTGTGCCCTCCCAGCCCAACACTTGATCAGTAAATAACCAAGGGCATTCGAGTGGATCTCTGCGAGAAAAGTCAGGCGCCGAGGACCCTGTTCCAAAGGACGATGCTCACATATCATCATCACCTTGTTCTGCTATCCGCATGCATCTCGAAGTCAAAATGCCAAAAATTGACGACATGTCCAGCCGGAATGTCCGTGCGTTGGACATTGCCAGGTCAAATAGTCCTAACTGAACATAGTGCGCAATGATATCCTCTTTCGTCAACGTTCGCACTAGAGCAGCTGTCATCAGCCATTGCGTCAGGGGAACATGTGACAGACCCCTAACCTTGCAAATTAGGAGATTCTCGAGCAAGTCGAAGCTTAGACATCAAAAGTGTATATTCTCGTCTCATCTCAGAGATGGTGACAACCTCAAAGTTGATGCCAGCGGATGCAAAATACTCCTCCGGGATGTGCTGAGACACCTTCACGCGCTGATGTTATGAATTAGATGAGAGACCAGAAATGCGATAATACCAAAACTCACTACACTAGCTTCAGATGGAGGAGCGATATACTCGACCCAGGCATCATCGGTGTCAGCGAGTGATAGGGCGTTTATGGAAGTCAGCAAACTCATCGCTTGCAAAGTACCCATCTCGAGGAAGTCCAGATTCTGTAACAGCTGTATTTCACCCAGACGCCTGCTATGCTGGTACATGGCGGCAGCAGCTAAACCAGCGAGAAATTAACACTTCTGCAAAATAGAAACGAGTGAGACCCACCCCCCCGGTAGTCGCCTCTGAAGATGTACCATCCATGTAGCACTTGGGCATAGTCGGGTTTCTGTCGAGGATCCGTATTCCGAGCCTTGAACAGAATTGCCTGTTCCACATCTGCTTGAAACCCAATGAAGTTCAGGCTCAAAAGCCGATTTATCTCGTCATTTTCGCACATAGCGGTAACAAGTTGTCGAACAAACTCGCTTTGCCTATTACAATGGTCACGAAGAGGTCCGCTTTACTGTTGATCCAATACTTACTGTTCATTTGACGGATTTCTGATTATAGTCTCATAAGCATCCTCATAAAGCCCAAGATCGACGTCTGCTTTGAATAGACGTAGCCAAAGATCACTGACTTCGAGTGGATCCGTGCACTCAAGAGCTAACCTCGCAAAACGAGCGACTTGCGCAGCAAGGGAAAATCCGTCAAACACTCCTATCAAATGTCGCCAGTATGAAAACAACGAATCAGGCGATACACCTGCGGGCAAAACTATGCGAAGAAGCTCGTCGTCTATCTGACAAGGTGCCCCAGTGGAGCCTATACAACTCCGGGGTGAGTGCTGATACAAACCCCACGAGTGGGCAGTTTGCTTACCAAAGCAGAACGCTATAGTTTCAAGCAGATCCGCGGCCTCTTCTGCACGCCCAAGGTCCAATAAAGTACGGCCCATTAAATACGCGACTGCTGGCGACCGAGGATACCATTGTGCAACCTCATTGGCGATCCCAGCAAATCCCAGTGTCCAAATTCGATGGATCAGCTGGACCTCTGCTTCTGAGACTTCCGGGGCGGCGAGCACACGTAAAAGGCCTGTGCTGAATAGGTATCTGTGCGCGGCCACTGAAGGAGGGACATGTGAAGGGAATGATAATGAAAGGGACGAGAGAAAGACATGAAGGAGGGAATAGGCGATGGTGTGGCGAGGACGAGAATATCCAGATACAGTCATATTCCGCATAAGCGATGCGACATCATCGTCTGCGAGCCGAGCGGAGGTCGCTTCTGGGTCACCTGCTGGGGAGATCGCGATATGATGCAAGAGTGAGATGCTTTGAACAGCTACGAAGGCCTGGCCCGCAATATGGCGCCATCCGGTCTGTGAATCCCGATCTCGTTCAATGATGAAGGCGAGAAGAGTGAAAAGGGGAAGTATGATGTCATAACGAGCCTTGATAGAGGTAGCGATGAACGATGTCAAAAGAGCGGTTTGCCAGCTGAGCGGTGGCGCATCAATAGACTCGGTCTCCTCATCCTGCTCCAGCTTGACCGTATCCAGACTGACCAGTGCTTGCAAGACCTCAACAATCGCACCTTCAACATCTGAGAAATGCGCAAGTTGGCCATTAACCCATGTCAACGTAGCGGTGGGTACAGCTTTCATTATATCTCCTTGGGAAACTTGGAGCATCAGATCGAGGTAGGAGCTCTTCGGATCCGATCGAACCACATCTAGTATACTCTGATCAAGCCTTGTCGCCTTAGCGCTGCCTAAACTCTCACGAAGAGTATGAGCAATCCGAGACAAGGCGACTGTCCCAGGGATCTGTAGGGCGTTCGTGTTCGTAACAGATTGATGCAGTTGCATAGCCTTATCTGTCTTCACGATTGCGCAAAGCCGTTCACGCTCTATCAAGAGTGGCTCGCCGAAATACGAAACACCAAGCTGAAGGGGCCACCGAGCTTGGCGCTCGATTTCACGGCAACGCGCAAGGAAACCTTCCCAGTCTCTTCGGAGCGTATTCCAATAAGGAACCCAGAGTTGCTCGCCAGTCTGTGGATCGACCACAAGATCGACGGTGCAACCGACAACTGATGCAATTTGCTCCGCAAGAGTCTGGTAGGTTGTTGACAAGATCGGGTGATGAGCCCCAGGGACACTCATGAGAGTCGATGAGTACTGTTGCAGGGCAGCTCTAAGTGTATACTTTGAAAATGAACCGGGTTGGAGTAATGCCCTTAGGTAGGAGTCGGTAAACGAGCCTTGAGGAAGATTCTTTTCTTCTGATCGAGGAGATGGAAAGTACGATTCCCCATCGCAATTCACGGAATTCCATGATGATGCAATTACTTCACCTTCCACATCAAAATCTGTATACTCAACCAGCGCACTCCCAGCATCATCCCAAAGGACCCAGAGCGTGTCGCCGGTGACGATAAAGTCACGAAGCTGTCGATACTGACTTGGTTCAGAACAATTTTTCGACCACAAATATTCCAAACTTCGCTGACCGCCATTATTCTTCTCGGAAAGGCCGTATAAGGAGAAAGAGCCGCCTTGAGTTTGTGGCATGAAAACCAAGATCTGAAGCGCCTCGTCAATTCTGTCACCTTCCTCAGGTGGAATAACCTGCAACAAACGCCTGGGTTCGGGCCCCAATATAGTAGCAGTACGCGAAGAGGATGCCTCACGGACCGAAGAATCTGGGATGAATGCTGGAACACCAATGCTGGCGACGCAGACCCCCGTCTCCCAGACACGAAGGGTTCGATCGCGATGAAGAGAGAAAACAACGAGGGAAGGAGAGGGGTTGGGGACGGTCGCAAACGATATGGTGTGAGAAGACCCTTGTCGGGGGCGAGTAAACGGGATGAGCGATGTCAATGTCAGGGACAACGGCGGTCGAAGAATCGTCTCCTTCCATGCTGGAATGCCAGTGAACATAACATTTATGTGTGGTTAAGGAAAGAACTTACCTGAGAATTCCGAGGCAGATGAAATCCGTACAGCATCCAAGTTCAGAATCCCACCGTCTCTTAACCCAATGAAAATACTTCCTGCCTCCTTCACATGCAAGGGCCCAGTAATGTTTTCGGGTGAATGTTTAAGATGGTATTCGGAGATCCAGTTGCGAGACGCGTAATCGTCCGACCACAGCTTGGGCGTCTGAAAGACCATGCGATAGACAGAACCATCCTCAGTTAGGGCTATGATGTGCACTTCGGGATCATCAAACACAACTGAAGGAGTAGGGAAGAGCCTAGAAGGAAAAGAGAAGCGTGTAGGTGGTGCATCAGTTGATAAGGAAGATAACTCTATCGTTCTTCGCCCATGCAACACGCGCAAAAGAACGTGTGCCTGTGGTTCACAAAGTATTGAACCCTCAGTAGCATGTTCAGGTAGGACATCCGTTGTATCCAGCTGACTCGTTTTTAAAGGCTCTGGAAGACGCTGACTCTGTATCGCCCGAACATTTGCCCTCGAAACAGGTAGTATTGAGGAGATGTGGGCAGTAGCAAGTGTGTAGAACGAGCTCTGCATATTGTTTGCCTGTGTTTGGGACGAGAATGAATGGCCCATTCTATTTATCATTGTTTGATGCCCAGGCTCCGTATTCTATCTTTGGCTATCCCAACCGAGCTGGGCCAGTTCTCATGATTATATAGGACACACCGAGGCGCAAACTGATGGATGGGTCCACAAAATACGGATTCCTGCCCGCCGTGCACACTTGGGGATAAAGGTGTTTTCTGTTCTGAGAAACTATAGTGGTGGGAACAGGGATACGCTGTCCAGGGGCAGCGCCTACACAAGGGCATGATTTGCTGGCACTTGAAGGCTCATTGTGCTCAGCAATTGATCATACCCAAGACAAGATATAGTCACCACGAGCTTTTCGCCACGAGAAATATAGGCAGCCCTACTGGCTAAATATCTCTAGCAGTTCTGGTTCAAGGCCCTTGACCTGGGTTGGTCATACACGATGCCGTGGTTAAATCGTGCTTAAGAGTTCCATACAGCGTCTCCCTGAATAGAACGGGTGGAAAAGACGCTTACATATATATTTTTAACCATCTTCGTTCCAGCCCTAGGCCTGCAGTATATGCCAGGCACGAGGGACATCATGTGCGGGAGCCCATGGCCACTCCGGAGCTGAAAACATCTACTCCTGTCCTGAATCTGATTCCTTTTTTCTCGAGTCCTTACTCTGCTGTGTATATAAGGGGAGCGACGCTTCGGCATCCAACAGTTCAGAAGCACTTTGTCCGTGTTATCCATTTGAATCCTCTCGTCATTCACTGATAACGATGCCTCCCGCTGCCACCACCGATGGTCGTAGCGCTCAAGCAATGGATGCGTCACCTCACAGGATCGGAATTATTGCTCACGAAAAGTTCAACATCGTCCTCGTGGGATGACAAAGTGCAATCCGAGATTTGGCTAAGTCCAAGCCCATCACGGCCGATCTCAACAAGCACATAACTCGTCTCCAACTAAGTCCCATCTCACACCACCAGGGATTTTCGGACAACCTGATCTCGGTAGCTGGTCATGGTTCGGGCTCGTGATCATGAAGGATGAAGGCGCGACCGAGACCAAAAAGAACTCTGACAGCTTCCCGATGACCTGGGAGAGCCGTTCCAGCCATATCGGAAGGCCGGTGTATTCTAGTTGTTCCAACAGCGTTTTTGATTAGAACAGTGAACTGATCCAGTCGCCTGAATTATGCATGATGCCCTTGTCCCTTTCCCCTCTGCCGTTGTGCCTGATGCCACTAACCATTAGCATGGTGGCAATGTTATTGGAATTCAGATGTGTTCCCGGTTCAGTGAATGGGAAATTGTCGCCATTGGAGCGACTATCAAAGTCAAAGTGGCTACTGACTCTGACGCCGTCATCAAGGGTACCTTTGTGATCCGTCCTTGAAGGAGTCTTCGATTTGATATTCCTTCTAAACATTATCTCATGGACTCCTGACGAAGCGGATACACCGATGACATCTACACTTTCAGCTCTTCATCCAGAGTGGATGCTGATGATAAACTGGTCTCCCGGGTTTGGATGAGGACTCCGGTTTGTCCCGCTCCCCTCAGCTAATTTTTGTTTGTTTTGAACTCTTAATGTTTGGTTCATACCAGCCTCTGCCTCTGGATATTTCGTAAGACCCGTTAAAGAAATCTGCTTGTTCACCAACTCGTGCGACCAGGGCCGCTGGCTCAGTCGCAAGGAAGACTTCAGTTGCAGTTGGAGTTGGTTTGATGTGATGATACTCGAATCCCCCCCAGCACGAGACCCCGAAAGTCGTGGATGGACGGAAAATGGTCTGGCTCTCATTGGAACAAAAGGGGGCTGGGCTTTACGAGGGTAGAATATTTAGAGCGAGGAGGAAGGAAACAGGTAGTGGTGCTCCGGACCCGTTGGCGAGTCGCCCTGATGTCTTTCCTTCAACTCAACCTGGTAACGTTATCGCCGTCGGAGTCTGCGCCCAATTCGCTGGGTAGGATGCAGGGTGGGCGGTTTGTTGTTTGCATCTCGGCCGAAGGTCACCTCCGGTGCTTCCAATCTCACATATTCTTTTCTTCTAGTTATCAACTCTACAACCTATTCATCATTCCCTTCTTCAGAGCTTCGTAATCCACCGCCAAAGGAGATGACCGAGGGGGGGGGGGGGGAAGATGATCACAGAGACCGCGAGAGCCCTCAGCGCCGACGAGACAGCCTACAATGGACTCCCGCCCTACGAGCCATTGATGGAACGATGATTATAGTTGTGACATGACCAGGTCCTCCCTCGCGCCTCAAATTGCCCCTACCGATACTTTCGGGAAATACACACATTCGAAGGCAATAGTGACTCATGAGTATGATCCCACCAACTCCAAACGCGCCATCCTCACCCAGAGGGCTCATCGAACTTTACTGGCAGGCACAGTCTCAGCCTGATGAACATTCGTGATGTGCCCGATGGTACGTTGCCGTTCTTCCCGGAACTTAACAAATTCCTATGTTATCTCCTATCAATCGCAACAATGTGTTTTCTTCACGATGCCTGCCTTGCCAAACGCACAGACGCTCCGCCCGGTAACAGGATCTCACGCATCAATGTCCCAACTAAGAGCGCCGCATTCTACAACCTGATCTGTTGGAACTCGACATGGCATGCTTAATCATTGCGCGTAGTCCACGCCCGGAGGCCATTGAAAAAGCGTGCTGTCTTGTCAAAGTCCTGAACTATAATTTAACTAGCGCTGCCACAGCTAATAATTCAAAAAGTGTTGGTGAAAGCATCACCCCATCCAGCTATAATTCTTTGGTCAATTTCTTAGCAGCAGAATGACCCTCATTGAGTGACGGGTTGGGGTTCGGTCCTGCAACGGGCAGAAGGGGTTCTTCCTGTCCGCATGGCCCGGGAAGAGGCAAGCTCGGGTTGATTGGTTTGTTGAATACAACTCCAACTCTCGGATACTTCGGATTCTCTTTGAAGTACTTTATCCAGTGATCTCTAGACTAAAGGCAGGTATAAGTTATAATTTCCTAGACAGTGGAAAAGGTCAAGTCGTACGCGAAGTTGAGCATCGGTTAAACCTCTGAGGTCGTGAGTCCGATGACCTTTCAGACATTGTGTTGCAAATGCCCGGGTAGCATCAACACCGGCGAAATTATGGTAATTACCCCCTCGTCCATAATTGCGTCTGCTGGCTGTGACATCATACACCTCGCCATTGATCTTAATAATGGAAGTGAGCAAGTTGATAAATGATAGAGCTCGAGCATACCGCAATGTAGACGGGCCTCCCTGGAATTGTCCCATCGAACTCGGCAAGCTCAACAGGACTCAGGATCTTTTGTGGTCGCTGAAAATTCGAAGGCCATGAGATATCATATTTACACCCATCGATAAGAAATATGAACCGGGAAGTAGGTATCCCACTTGGTCCATTTGCCTTCATATTCCCACAATACGCTACCAGTGATGAACCACCCAGCAAAGAAGAAGGCACCAAACAGAAAGAGGATTATTTTGGCCAAATTAAGGCTGGCTGCAGAGGGCTCTGGTTCCAATCCGTCTTCTGGACCGAGGGGCTGACCCTTAGCAATCTTCTCATTCCGACGCTGGATCTTTTCCGCCGTAAGACGAATCTTCTCCTCTTCCTTTACCTTGTACTCTCGATACCTAAATGCGAACGCTCATTAACGTGCCCATACCCCAACAATAGCGAACCCAATTGATACCGACGCAAGGAAAGGTCGATTCGCGCTTTTATCCGTGACAAGGTTTCCTCGAGCGTCCCGTATTTTACGCGTTGGTTCTTGCCGGGTCCCGGGACGGATTGGGGCATTGACCGCGCCTTCTTCCTGAGCACTCATCAATATTGTGCTGGGGTGCAAGCACCAGACAGCCTTGTGGCGGTGCTAGCATATATCCATTCATCTTTGCGGATCCAATAGTTACGACAATCTTGCCCGCAACACCGTCCATCGACACATTCCCGACTGATGGGCTCACCGCGGGTCCCTCACAGTACTGAGGCTTCACCCATAAATATCAGTCTGCTGATCCTCCACTGACACTTTGAAACGTTTAGCTGCGTGCTCATCGGTGCTTTCTTTACATACATCGATGCAATTCTTTGTGTATAATTAAAAAAACGAGACGCAGAAAGCGAGTGGGAAGGGGTTGGTCATGACATTGTCCAAATGACGGTGAGTGACTTATCATTGAACACCAGGCGTAGATGGGATCCTCATGCAGCCCCACGACAGCTACTGTTCTTATCACCTATTGCTCAATATCGCTTACGGCTACTGTCATTGGAGCCCTTGGAGTCTCCAAGGTACTGTAGGTACCAACAATCATTGTCATGCTCTCCTCATGATAATTCAATCTTAGTGTATACCATCATACGTCTGTGTCCTCCAGTGGATATCGTCCTCTCTACTTCTACATTGGTTAGTTTGTTTTTCACAAGCTACCAGTCCGCAAGATGGCGCGAGTCCTTATGCAATGAACTCTCCACGGTGCCTGATCTATTGAGAACACTACTCCAATTTGGTCTGAACATTAAAAACGCGAGGCTTGGCTCGGAAAGTACATCTCATGCTCGGCATTGTTGACCTTTCTTAGTATATGTTTCATTCTCAAGGTAGGTTACATCATTTGCTTGTCCGACCACTGGATCCTCGCGCTGCAGGTCCAATCCATCGTCGTACTGTCCTTTATCAAAGTCTCGCGCCAGCGCACAGAGCATCAGTGTCCCCATTAGATGCAAGAGCGTGTCAGGCTTTTGGGGTGCTTCGCGTTGTCTACACCAAGTTATCACTGCATCTCGCTTTACACCACGCCCCTTTTGTGCGATTCCTCTGGGAAGTTCATTACTAGTCACAAAAGAAAACTCATCGTGCTCACACACGTGAGCCGTGTCCTTCTTGTCAATTGCCGGAGGATGACTGCAGTTCGTGCTGGTCAGGGGAGCTCGTGGGACGGCCTGGATCGCCTTTGTAATATCCGCTGTTCTGTTTTGATGTGGTGCAAGTAAATGTGGAGAATGTGCTTCCTGGTTCGGATTTGCTTCATCCAGAGCCATCTTGGGGACAATGTTTAAAGTGCACATTCATTGGAACCACCTTCCTGCCGGGGCAATCATAGAATTTCCCCATCAGCATGTTGAACTAGCTGTGCTGCTACTCAGTCACCGACACGTCCGAACTGTGTCACTCTTGTATTTACTGGGCTTGGCCCATCCTCTGCCATTTTTAAAGTAACCTACTATCGCCATGGGGTCTTTTCTTATTGTGGGCATCTCAGCCCATCTACATTCAATAGTTGTCTACATCATTGTCTTCTCCGAGCAGTTAAGTTGCGAGCGCTATACAACCAAAGAGATCGGAAATCTCTTATCATGCACATGCACATCCAAAATGCGCGTGCACAATAAGGTACTGCTAGCTCAGGGATCGAGCTTTTCTCATTATGGGTGTCTCAGCACACCTACACCCAGTAACTGTCCGTTCCCCCACTGGCTAACACATCAAGACGTGTGAAAGACTGCTCCAGGATCTAATGCACAAATGGAAATGTGCGAAGTATTAATTGACCCGAAAAGATCCATCAATATTTTTTATCGGTATAAAAGTACTGTTTCATCGTCGCTGATCCAACGGTTGTTGCAAGCGCACTACTACTATCCATCCTTAGCCTCTAATCGCGGTCACCTCGCCACCCGAACTCGAACCTGAGTTATGGATCGGAATACTCCACAAATGAAGTGAAGCAGTACCTTCTCCGGATTTCCTTCCAACAGACGAAAACCAATTCTCTCTTGACTCTCCCCTTCCGGAGCCTACGCTTGGAACTCTGAGTCGGATTATGCTTTATCATCAAACTACCATCCCGTTTGAGAACACTTCCATCCACTGTAGGTCCCATCAGAGAAAGTAGCTCGTGAAAATCCATCTGAATACTCCGTGGGAATTGCTAAATGAGTCGCAACATGCTGTGGATGCATCTCCAAAAGGCACGTTCCATCGGTTCGTATCCCAGGGGAAGGGGGGGTACTGCACGCAACACGGCGTGGTGCTACTGAATATCCTTCGTGCTTTGGGGTATTTCGCGTTAGTCTATTTTTCAATCAGATTATTCACAAGATCGAACACACTTTCCCTAGCTTTTCATGCGCCGCCCGCGTTTATGTGCACAATGACCAGCTGGGCGCACCGAACCACATGTCTCTCATCGTCTCACTACCTTCCCCCCTTGACAGTTCTAGATCCCTCTACCCTGTAGATGTTACTATCCTCCGTCCGCTCCTCCGGGATGGACATATTGAGAGCGGGATGGGGGGAGAAGAGCACAGAATCATTCGGACCAGGCATGTTGGATCATCCTTTGAGGAAGCTGAAGATGGTCATCTAGATGAAGAATGGGGGGCAGCACAAGTCCTTTGGACATTCCAATCGAGACAACTTCAACTTGTCACTGCGGAAGATGGAGGGTGGAAAAATGAGCATGCGATAGCGCCATTGGAGTGTGTTCAAGAAGATTTTAATGTGAGTTCAGCGTTCATGGTCTCCGCTCCATCGAAGCCATCACTTAACCATCCGGTGGCGTTTCAAGGCAAAGAATTTTATTACATCTAAAAATCCAGAAGGTTTCTTTGTCAGAGATCGTTGTTGCTCAATTCTTCCTCTCTCCATCCTCTTCCTCATGGTCCCCATCTCCAAGTCAACATCCAGACCGCTACCCTGTCGACCCTACGCGTATCGGGAAACATATCATATTCAGAGGGCGATACAGCATTCGCACTGGCACTTCTCGGGACCGCAATGATATCGTGCCCGAGTTTGCTTCCGAAATAGAGCGAATCCGGGCCATTGCAGGTGTTGTGGGAAGCCTGTGTGGTGCACCACCTAATAAGGAGAGCAAGTCATTGGCGGGGAGCTCGAGGACGAAGAATGGCGAGGAGAAACCGCTTCTAAACTGGGCCGATGAGGAGGCTCCTGATTGGGCGAAGGCGGCAAGGGAGGCCATAAGAGGTCGCCAGCCTGAGCTAAATTAAATAGAATCCGGGGCTGCACTTCCGACGAAGCGGAACAAAGTTCGTGGAGCTGCTTGATCGTCGACAGGTTTTGTATCATACTCGAATGTTTCGCATGAGAGTGCAGCACACCCTACGCATCATACGAAGGTTGCCAGAATGAATTACTACATGTGACTCCTTTCAGTGCCCACATGACCCCTGGGGGTACAGCACACCATCCAAAGAGGAACATGACACGGGGCCAGAAGGGCTTCACAACAAGACCAAAGCGGAATGGGAACGGAGACCAGTGGAGAGAATATGATGAAGGTCAGCAGTCATGGGAAGGAAGACGCTTTAACAATAACGTAATTCATTAGCAAGATGGCCCCCAGGCCAGCTATAAACACTTCATGGGGAAGCCCAGGGAACAGCTGATCTGTTGAGGCCTAGAGCGACAGTCACTGAAATAATCACTAATCGCAATAATACATGAGTTATTAGTAAGATTTATAACAACTAATGAAATTACCTCAGCTTCACGTTGAGTGTACCGAGGGAGGCAGGTAGTAGCGAAAAGGTCTTTATTTTATAGATAAGAGCTAAGGACCCAGCGCGTAGTACGCCAGGCCAAAGAGGAATCAAGGCGCTCAAGGCGCTGTGTTTAAACGAAAATTCCCGTCGTACCCGGAGGCCACTGCGCACTTAGTAGCCGTTGAACAACTGAACAACAGACACGTCCCAGGAGAACCAGACGCAGAGAGACCGCCAAGGCGAAAGGCCAAGATGAGCGGATACGACAGGACCGGGTGGCACAAGAGGTTGGTCACCTCAGGTGACTTTTCACAAATGAGTCACGTGACAACCAAGCCGAAAACGGCTGTAGTGGCTCAACCAGTCACCCAACGCTCCCTACTTGAAGGGAGACATCGTGCAGACATGGCACGAGCTGTAGAGGGTGGTACTGACGGTTCTCCTCGACGTAAAAAGCCAACCGCGCGAAAAAGTGCAGGTGGGCGGGCGCCAAGAAGATCAACAATTTCAGGACGCCGATTGCCTGAGCAACCTGAAAGTGGTGGTGAGCGGTCAAACGTGCATCGCGTGTGATAAACGCGTGGCTAGTACATGCCTCTTTTATGTGACTATTTTTTAGCACAGAAAAGACGATTTCGACCTGGGACGGTGGCATTAAGGGAGATACGAAAATACCAGAGAAGCACCGATCTGCTCATTCAAAAGCTTCCGTTTTCCCGTTTGGTGAGTCTTTAGGCTTCATCTCGGCTGTTTGGAATTGCGTGCGCTGCTTAACAGTTTCCATCCAGGTGAGAGAGGTCGCGTTAGAAATGTCGACAGATTATTCTGAGGGCGCTCTATTACGTTGGCAAAGCTCTGCGCTGCTTGCATTACAAGAGGCTACTGAAGCATATCTGGTTCATCTGTTTGAGGATGCGTCAGTGCAACATTTGATACCTTGTGCTGAGCCATGTTGATTATGATTCTGTTCCTTATAGGAATCTGTGTGCGATCCATGCAAAACGGGTCACAATAATGCAGCGTGACATGCAGCTGGCCAGACGAATCCGTGGGCCTTGGGGAGGATTGGGATAATTTCCATGTTCGGGACGGATCCAATTGGCATTACTAATTATCTACGAACGTTCTTTCCGCGCATACCCGTTACATCTCTTGGACGATGGGCAACACGACATTATCTCATGTACACGATAGCTACACGATACCTTATGGACTTGCCTGGTATTTTTCTGATATATTATCTCCCGCCTTCGACACTAGTGTGGACCGGGAAATGCCGGCCTTTATTTCATTGTCGGCAGTGTGTCCGCTCGGCAGTTACAGTATTAGGTTAAACGGGAGTAAGGTGTGAGGGTGCAACTGGTTCTTACCTCACCGCTTGTGGTTGTCGCAAGGCCCATCCACGGACGTGCCATTGTTGACAACAATAAGCACTATTTCAACTTGGCCACAAGCCCCTTCCGTGCTTGTGCACCGTTTCGTGCGTGGCCATTTTCACAGAGCAATTAATGCTGTGGCAGTAACCTCACCTTCCCCTCACCGTGCATTCCCTTCAAAGTATGCTACAGTTTGCGTCCTCTCTGTTCAGCAGAAGAGGTAGGAGCAAGTCTCGTAGTGATCAGCCGCCCGAACCGCCGGTTTCACGCCATCCCTACCCTTCAGGGAATTCATCAACTTCATCCGCAACTTCCCTAAGCGTTCGTACCCCCGATGACTCGTTGGATCGTCAAGTTTCTACAAGGAGTAAGCGTTCAGGTTCCACCAAATGGAAGAGTGTCTTTAAGAGCAGGAAGTCGCTTCCAGTTCCTGCCCCGCCATCTCCCAGGAACGAGCCAGCTCCCTTACTGCAAGTCGAAAGTGATGATGGCCTAAGGGCTCCACTTTCTGTCAGTGGAATATATGGGGAACCTAGCTCTGATGAGAAACTTGTTCCCCCCATTCGGCCATTCGTCTATGACCATGTTGATAGCTCTGGGTCTTCGACCAGTTCGTCAAGATCGTCACGTTCTTCACTCACTTCGCCCACTGCACAACAACATCTTTATTCCACTATAATATACAGCATTCAGGCATCCGTCGTACCATCTCCGCATCCCCTCCTTTATTCCCCATCTGAGCCCATTTTCCCTCGTTCATGTGTTCCATTCGATTCACCCCCACCTGCCCAGCCAACCCTTCGTCATCAATTGCTTCGCGCGCGGCTACTCAAGCGCATCGAAACGTATGTTCTCACACCTGCGGAAGAGCATTCTATCCGGCCTTTCGTCCAACGTCCACCGCGCAGCCTCCGATCCCAAATCCCTTTTTCTGAAAATGAAGCTCGTCACACCGTTGATAGTGGGGGATGGAGTAGAGGTCTCAATCGCTGGATCCGGCGTGGTGGTTTTGAGGAGAGAAACGTAATTTGGGTTCCAAATGACGACCAGACGCGGCTGTACATGGAGGCCATAACAGGGGGTCCTATTGCAGCCCTTGAATTTTCAGAGGGTTTAGAAGCCCTTGCTGGGCTCCAAGGGGATTTATTGCAGTCGCAAAGTGAGTGCCAACAAGACCCTGGTGATTGATAAACCTTCTCACATGATCATCACTTGTTCACAAGCCGCCCTTTGTGACACCGTTCAAGATTCACAAGAAACGATACCTCCGCAAGAGGGAAACATTGAATCAACTCCGCCTCTTCAGTCTTCATACCGCAGATCATCATCAACCCCATCTACTGCATCCTCTGCACATACTTCGAACACACCAAACACACCGATTCTTCCCGTGACCCCTCCTCTCCCAGCTGTGAAGAGAGGTGTGCGTTTTGCTCCTTCCATCGATTCTAGTGATTCCATAAGCGAGACGAATGGCCCACTTGTTATTGTCCATCCTTCTTCTCCGTCCAACGAGTTGGAAATTGAGACGCCCCGAGCTGTGCGAGCTCAAAATCTTTCGCCTAGTGCAGAGGCACGTAAAATCCGTGAACAAGCACTTCAGCGCCAGCGACTTGAGTATGAACGGGCGCGTGAGCTTGCTCGTCGTCAGGAGATGGAGGAGCAAGATAGGATCAGGCAGCGTAACAAGGAAGAAGATGCACGAAAGAAGGCGGCTTTGCATGAAAAGGTTGTTGCAACTCGTATTAGAAGGGAGAGTTACAAGCTGGATGGGGGTTCTTCCTCAACCAGAGCATTGCTGAGTGAGAAGGGATTGTTGAATAAAGATCCCTTTGCACCGCCTATCACTCCGAAACACAACCCTAGGCGTTCTTCGACCGACCCTGGTAAAGCTGATAAGCATGCCTCGTGGTCCTCGGTCCATTTGCCTAACTCTTCGATTGAACCCGCGTCCGCACATCGGGCGTCTGCACCAATTTATTCGTCTCCTCTTCGACCTCAAAGCAGCTCCACCAGCGCGCTTCCAAATACTTCGCGGAGCAGACGCATCTCATCTGTGTCAAATGGTGTAGATAAGCGCCCCTTCCTTAACCCGCATGAACCCTGGAGGTTATCTCAAGGGAGCACAAGTGGATATTCTGATGATTACCGTTCGTCTTGGCGTAGTTCGCTAACGCCGTCCCAGATAAATGAGCTAGGACAATCCATCAGCCACGCCCCACTGACAGGCTCTCGTTCAAAACATGATGCAGGCTCTTCTGAGGATGTACACTCAATCCGTTCGCTACCCCGTTCCTCGCGCCTCTCAATATCCAATGTAGTGCAACTTAATGCCGCTTCCGTCCCTCCTGTTCCTCATTCGTCCTTCCCCCCAACTAGTCCATATGGGATGACTACGAACATGGGGATGCCCACTCCAATGGTCATCATGCAGCCAGTTTTCATGCTCCCCCCGCCAAATGCAAATGGCGGCTTTCCTTGGATGCAATCTTCTGGAAGTAGAAGTGGATCGCTTACCTCGATACCTACTACACCAACACCTGGAGCGCCAGGAACACCTGATTCGTTTGGAAGCAGTCGTCAGTCGAATCCGGGACGCAACACGTCCCCAGCATCGGCGTCAGCAGAACCTTCACCGCCCCAAAGAGGAAGGCGAGAACGTCCTGTTACAACGGCCACTCCAAGCTCATCGTCCCGGCATCTCCCCAAGGGCAACGGATCTCCGCCGAAAGCAGCTCCCACAGCTCAGGTTGCGGCTCAACCGCGCACACGGAAAAAGACCGACAAGGATCTGCGTGCGTCGTTTTACTGACCTCATCGCCAAAGCAACCTGCTCGACTGCCCACTCACGGCTACGCCAACTCGCAACTATTATACCAGACGCACGCACCTCTTGATATTGGCCATTCCGTTCCTTGGGCTTTATCACTCCAAACAAGACACAAAAACAATACTGAAGCATAGAAACAGAGGTCTGCCTCAGACGCTGATCCTTTCATTGCCAAAGACTTTCCACTATTCAACGACAATGTTCCAATGTTCTTTTCCACCCTTTCACTCATTACCATCACCCGCTACAACTACTTTCACAATCTCAATCCCCCACTCTTTCCAGCGCCTTTTTTCGGTTTCGCACCTCGGTTTCACGGTAACCGCCTGCGCGCCCCACAAGACCACACTACCCCCATACCAACATCTCAAAGGATCCAAAGCACTGTTGACCTCATTCCTCATCGTGACATAAACCAGTAGCATCCTATCATACCTTATTAGATTCCAAGTTCATGGACCCAACATCATTTCATCATTATTCAACCTTTCTTCTTTCTGTCCTCAATATCTTTTTTTTTCTTCCATTTTCTCTAGTTTCTTCCCCACATGAGCTACTGTCCATTTTATCGTCGATGTTAGCTGATCCGATATCCCTTCTGCATTTTCCCTTAAGGTTGCGATATTCCTTCGTGGATACGCCATGTTGGTCATTGATTATGACAGCGCGTATGCAACGGAAGTCATCCTACACGACGTGCATCATATTCATGAATTCATATCGCAAGTATGCCTGTCATTGGATTCGCAACGTTTCCTGCAACGCTGACGTACCACGATAGCACATGAGAATCAGATCGATCACCGACTAGAGAGAACACTAATATTATGTTGTATTTACTGCCACCTGCTTAATGACACGCAACACACGGATGATCATTTTGGTTTCCTATCGTCACTAATATACGCAGTTGGTCACAGGTCCTTTATGACTCCATTACATATGTACATAACTATACGCTGGTGAACAGGTACCTCCACTCTACCTGAGCGCAATTAATATTCGGACAAACAAAATTGACTTAATCTTTGGTCATCGTCGCGGAGTTGGCCGTATGTATTACATTAATTGGATCAAATGCTGAATCGGGGCTCGGGATTGATGGAAGGTCGCCCCTTCATGATGCTCCTTCGGGCATCTACAATAGCCTATCAGGATGTTTTGGCGTTTGCGACACCTATCGCGATCAATGTAGCCGCCGCAAAGTGTATCATATACTTATGCATGAGACAACAATTGTTCAACTGGCCATAATACCTCAACAATCTTTCGTTGGAGGACCTTTCTCCGCATCCATAACACGCAAAACGTTCTTCCTTCAAGCCGTGGATGAAAGACTTGAATGGGGCCTATTCGAATTCGAACGCGGGTTCTCGGGACGACAGGACCCAGTTAGCCGCGAACACGCGATGTTGAGATGGATACGAAGTCCATCCTGTTCAATATTGACATGCAATATCATGTCCGCGACCCTACAAGCACTAGTGCGAGTGTTCTCCGAACAGTAGGGGTGCTTGAGGCGGTGTCTCAATTATGTTGGGATTATAGACAAGTGATACCGAAGAAGACTCTTCGTGAGACCGAACCATCATAACTAACAAATGATGCCAGGACACGAACTCTTTCCGAGACCACTCTATCCAAATTGCTTATTTTTCACTGGCAATTTTTCAAACACATCTATTGATAATATACGCATGTGCTACGAAGGCATGAAGCAAAAAGTTGCCGCTGTCTCGCCGCCGCCGAGACTGATCCGCAAGCAAGTAAAAGACAGGGGAAGATTAAGCCGATATGAATACTTACTATGTAAACTGCCCTGGCGCCTACGTAAGAATTCTTGACATGTCCCAGACATATGTAGGTGCTTAGCTGTTCAAGTGCAGCAGCTAATTGTGCGCTGGATCTGATAACGATCGGATGCAGGGTCGTATGGAAAGCCCTGCACGAGCTCATCCCAGAAAATTCTCGGCGATACTCGACGGCTCCGTACTGACCCCATGCCAATAGTACTAGGACCGTGGCCCTGGCTGGCTAGTTGGCGCTGGAAGAACTTCGCGTTTTTGTGCAGACATTGTTCGGCCCGGCCGGAGGCGCACCCAGATATGTCAGCTGAGTGAGCAATTGATCTCGAAGGCATTATAATGAACGGAACAGCGAACTGGGAACCCTGCTGTGTATGCGAGTGGTCAGCACATACGTCCCATATGTAAGATATACCAAGCGCTTGTGCGAGGATGCGAGCCATGCTGCAAGGGGCAAGTTACAAAGTGGCGTCAACATAGTGCCATTGTGTGAAAGTGCGCCGCAGCAGAAATTGGCGGGCTCTCAGGCTTGCGGATCCGAGAATGATGGGCGTTTATCGAATGAGATTTTGCCGTAGGCTAAAGGTATACACACCTGTGCCTGCAACACGCGGTTTCACCACTGAGGAACCCGCAAAGGTCCCTGCCCACGGAAGCGCTGAAACCGGTGTGAAGGGAACAGGGTAACTCATTTTCCAACTGGGAGTATCGTGTTTACGCCAACGAAAAGTGGTGGAATGAAATGGAGCCGATCAAGACCATAACTCAAGGTATTGTCTTATGTCCCTAGCCTACGGGCCAGTGGCGGGAAGATCAGACATTGCGCTACGCGTCAGTCACGCAAGAACTGAAAAGAGAAACGGGGATGATGGAGAAGCCACAACGCCCTTCAGATGTTGAGGGTCACCAACATGGTCATTCGAGGTTCTGCAATGAATCGGAGCGACAGTCACGAAAAGCGGAGTGCGTCAATGAAAGGCATCAGACATACCACGAACGACACCTTATTCGGCAGAGACGATACACGCTGATGCAGTCATGACAGCCGCAACTAGTCATTATAACCAATTGATGATTGTGCCTCTCTCCGTCCACATCAGGCACATGGATAATGTACGGTGACCCTGTGGGGTTCAAGTCCGATCATGATTTGTGTCAGTTAAGGAAGAACGAAAGCAAGGCAAAGGAGTTTGGTACAATACGCGATATCATTTTGGGATGAAAGAGCGTAGCCCTGCTGTAAGACAACGTTGCGATCAATGAAATGACGCTAGTTCTAGATTTGGTGTATTACCCAGCAGGTGAAAAAGAGGAAGAAAGATGGTGAACCCCCTCAAACCGAGAAGGGTGGGTAAGTCCCTCCGTCATTCCGGGCACTAGACGTAGTTAAGGCGGCGCACACCAGAACCAGCCCCATTCGCACGAAGAGAAAGGCATGAATACAAAGAGGGCAGTTGGTCCGTGGCCTTTGGAGGCATGTAAGAGCAAAGCAAAGGGGGAAAGATGCATCGACAAAGGACTTGGTTGCGCGTGCGAAAGAACGGGAAGTTTGCCTGGACAACCGTGCATGTCGAAAGCACTAGAAGCCCCTGTTACCCCAACTACGACACTAACAAGCTTTTTTTTTGCGCCTCATGAGAACCCATGCCATCCCTGGGGCGATAAGCTAAATCCACTGTACAAGAGATGCAGGAACGTGAGAATTTGAGACACAGCACATGCTCGCGCATCTGGGATCATCACCCCGAGATGCGACGGACTCCGCACATGGTGAACGTGCAGGATAACGGGCACCTTTCCCATCTGAAGGATATCAAATGAGTGATCAAAATCCGAGCTTGGTCCGCTTCGCTCTACAGTCCCTTGTTATCTGGGAACGGTCTTTGAATCCTGTTATGTCGAATGAGGGTCGCTGCATACGTTTTCGAATTCCGTTTCCTAAACTAACCAAGGGTCCTGCCGTCAGCTAACCGGCTGAAGTTTTGCCCCCCCTGCTGATTGAAATGGAGGCAATATGGAAGGTGAAGGTTGCAATGTAATCTCAATGGACAAAGTCGGAGGGTGCGTCTATACTGCGGTACCGATAAAACGCTTGGGACTAGCAACGGTGAAGTTCTTGTTCTAGGCTCGATACGATTGACTTGTTCGGAACTGCACATCGGCACTTGCGTACGGCATGCATCGATGCTTTCCTTGTGCGACACAAGGTGAATCTGAACGGCATCCCCTTTCTCGCTTACATAGCTTCTCGCTTGTCACGACCATGCGTACGTTAGGCTTGCCTGCTGCATTAGGTACATTCCTTTGTTGTTTTGATTTCCAATCATGCACGTCAAGTCACTGATTCCCGCTCTCGGTATCAGTTAGATGATTCGCTTTGTTTTTTGCCTTTCTCCTGAGGTGCTGGTACTTATATCCCTGGGCAAAAGGCATTTGTGGGTTTGCACAACCCATACAGCGGTCATGAGGAAATGGTTCGGCCCCGCTTTGTCACCGAATGTCCTGCTATATGTAAGTAATACTATACTGGCGTTAGGCATCCCAAAAACATATTGGAATTGGATGTGCTCGCCCTGGAAAGGTTAGTGTCTTCCGGTCCACTGAGAGCCGTAACTAGTGACTGATCTGGCCATTGATAGCTGGTAATCGTCCAAGTTGGTTGTGCATGGCTACTATAAAGTTCCTACCGCCCAAGTAAGCTACAAGGGTTGGTCTCGTCAAATTTCACAAATCATTTGGGGTCTCCGCGGAATGGGCGATCCCAAGGAGAGCTAATCAATGATAGTGCATGGCCCTGTTTGGGCGTTTTTCATCTCCCTTTTAGCTCTTTTCTGTATCATCCATACAAGTCATGCATGGCCATTCGTACTTCTTTCCCTTCGATTTGCATAGTTTGACAGGTGGAAATAGCTTCATGTAAAGGCAAGGAAACGCAAAAGCATTGCGTTTTGCGGAGACCTTTCGTCGTAGCAGCTTTTTTGCATGCAACTTTGCCGTCACGCGCGGTCATGCATGCACTACATAGCTCCAATGGAAGAACCAGTGTTTACTCGTTCGATTTTGTTTGTTGGCTCCCACATTTCAACTGCAGGGATGTACAGAATGGCTGAACTGACTATGGATGAGCTTATTTGGGTCACCCGATTCTTGGGATGCAATATGGCCTAATTTGTTGACGATAAATGGAAGAACCCGGCCGTTCAAATCCATCGAAAAAAAAAACGTCAACTCAGGAGGTTGCTTTCGCCTTTGAACTTCTGCAGATTATAAGGGAAGATGTACAAGAGCTTTGTGGCGTGTAAGGTGAGGGGCTACCTGTAGCTATGTGTGAGGGTTCAATTGTTGGGAAATACTCCATTGGTTTCACGCGGGATGTTCGATGGCACCGTTAGGGCATTGACTTGGTGTCTTTCACTATCTTCTAGCTGTTTTTCGACTCTGTCAGGGCATAAGTCAGTCTAGGAAAAGCTTGCTATCGTAAGCCGCGTGTAGCCCCTCCCAGGTTCAGAACACGCATATAATATGCACGTCGGAGTGTACTGGTTCATCTCTCTCCTATAACCCCAATGCATGTCACGACAAGTCAAAATGTGAAACATGTCACCCAGGAAAAAAAGTGTTCGACGCAATGTTGATTATTCCGATTCCTAAAAACATTTCGAGGGTTACCGAACTCTTCATCACGTGGCGGACACGCAAAACGTGAGCAAGGGAAAGGAGAAGCCATGACCGATAACTACCAGTTGTGGGATAGAATGTATGGGAAGATTTCACCTCTGGGTGGGCGCAATGATTTCGTTCACTGATTTTCGATCAAAATGAAAATGCACCAATGATTGATCATTTCCGTTTGATCGAACTCTATGACCTTGGTATATGTAAGCTATCCATATGCGATGGGAAGCCATTCACAGCGACGTGCGATGAAATGATCAATAAACGCCCTTGATTCATCCAACCTTTTCTCAAGCTTCCTTCCTTTTTTTCTTTCTTTTTTTCTTTCTGTACAGATCTTGCGCGGCTGCACCCTATATATCCCAAATGGGGGTAAGCTTTTTGATCTAATTGAGTAAGGCTTGAGTTGGAGAAGTGGTCGGTGTTTGTGAAAAGAAGAAATGGGATTCCTTTGTTTATATGCGAGGGAACCAATACATAAGTAAAGTCCCACGAATAATAATGGTTGTGATCATTAATACTGCCCCCTCCTGGGTCCCGTTCAAGGGGACGCATCACTGGTAAATGTTTCTGCATCCCCGTTTAGGTTGAGTGATCTACAACGCAGACATGTCTGGAAAACATGTCATCTGGAACATTGTGATTACTGTACTCACGTACATGAGCTCAGCTTGGATAAAGCAGGCACCGAGCAGCTTTTCTGGTTGAAGACATCCATATATGAGTCTTTTGCGCAATGAATGTGACCAAAGTCGGTCAGCTGGCAATTATGAGTCTGGTCATTACAGATTCGCTTGTCGATTAGTAGGCGATGAAAGCGCTAGCGTACGTTATGCTAACGGAGAAATTAGCGGAACAAAAGCTAAGCAAGATAGGGGAATATCCATGAGAAAATTGTGTCGCAGCTAGAGCAGGTTCGCAGATAGGCGTGTGCCGTTGGATTCAACTCATGGAATATGCAATTGTAATGAAGCAGCTGTGCAACGTGAAGCAATCTCGTTAGCGAATATGCCATGACACTTCGTCTATCCAATCTGGGCACATTGAGTACTTACCCGGCCGGTAATCGGTTGGCTCTCAAGCCGGTGTTCAACCGTTGTTAAGGCTGTCTCGCTAACTGCATGAACTGCTGAGGTGAAGCGGAGCAAGTACGCGTGTCCGCGACGGACAGCAAATCACCTAAGTGATGAATTCAAACACAGACCTGCATAGACAACGTTTGCCGATAATTGCGATGGCTCCGACATCAGGGATGGAATTATACAATGCGCTGAGTGGGACTGGGAAGATAGGCCGATAATTTGGATACGGAGAGGTCGCCGCAAAGGCATCTTCCAACCGAGATTGTCCACCTAAAGCCTCAGAACGAGATTGAGCCATGTGTTTGCGGCTGTTAGCGCGACTGTGACCGGCTGCAGTCACATGTATGTGACCTGTGGGTTTTTTTTTCGAGGCTCCCGATGAGCTCGGCGTCGGGCTAGCAACAACAAGTGATGGCTACCGAGCGGCGGGCGAATATCTGGCGTGTTTAATATGATACCAACATAACTCCGGATGGGTCATGCAGCATAGATCGTACCCAGTTCCGTCGTTACCGATCGAACAGGCTTCCCTCACTTGACCGTACGATGAAACGGTGGCTTGAAGGAGAAGGGAGATCAGGCAGAGGGGGCTATCCTGGCCGTGGTTGAAGTGAGTGGGTGAGTGGGTGAGGATATAGAGAGTGTCCAAAGGGGCTCTTAGACTCGGAAGAGAAGGGCTAGTAGAGGGAAAGGTTTCAGAAATGACGTTTCATTGTCCTCTCCTTTGGCTGAATATGTATCTCAGTTCCAGACACTCCTGTTGGAAGCAAGGCTTCAAGTGAGAGATTACCCTTAACGAGTGCAGCCTTTCTTTCACCGCAAACGGTGACGGACTCCTTTCAGGTTTGAAAAGGGAGGGGGGGGGGGTTGTAGCTTCTGCCTCTAGGAGCTGATTGCCTCCCTGGGTAGCACCCGCGCTTTACCCGCTTTGTCGTCGGTCGGGCGGCAGAGACACGCCCGGCAAGGGTTGGGTTTTTTGAGTCGTTTCTTGCATTTGAACCTAGAAGGTAGGCTGCTCCCTGGATGTGATCAACGCGCAGGTTTTTACTCTGCAAAATTACAGTCAACCCATCCAGAAGGCGGGGACTGTTCTTGAGGCGTCCTTCCTTTTTGTGAGACGAATTCAAATTTGGTCCCTTTAGTCGCTTGGCTAATAAATTTTTGTCTGTCTAATACAAAAAGTAAAATTATGTTTTACTGTGATTTCCTACTGAATTCCAATATTTTATTTGATTAATCTATCGAAGACAGACCTTTATGAGCTCCATTTATAGAGAAGGACTCCCAACGGTTCTAGCTCCTTAACTCTACGCCTCTTCCACCCCCTCTCGTTCGTCGCCATCTGGCTGACTTGGTCTTGAAGAGAGATCCGTCCTGGGCCATCTTTATTCGATTGGTGCATGAAGCACAAATCTGTCAAGGTCAACAACACCACTCGAACTACCTCGGCCATGCCTCGATCCACGGCCAAGGCCTCCAAGAATTCAGGTCAGGCTACCCCACCAGAGTGCGCGAACTGTAGAACGAGCACGACACCAGTATGGAGGAGGGGTGCTAACAAGGAAAAATTATGCAATGCGTGTGGTGAGTGCCAACAAAATTTCATGCCATTTCAAGATTTCGCATATCATGTTGGAGAGCATTCTCCTAATGATGGGCATGTGTTGTGTTTGCTCCCGGAACGTGCCAGACTGACGAGACGCCTTATTCCACAGGACTGTACTTCAAGTCGCACAAGGCATCCAGGGGAACAGAAGTCGGGCGGCCAGGAACTATCACTGCTCAACGTGAGTTTTCACGCTGTTCGATTGGCTTGCGTCTAGTTGTGTCCTCCTATTCGGACAACCCTGACGAGCGTCCGCCGTTGCTACATACCATTTTGGCTCAACGCCCCGTTTCTTCCCAATATAACCATTTCATTTACAAAAACCCCCTCCTCTTTGCAACCATTTGTTGACATTGTGCGCTTTTTTAGCCTCGTTCTCCCATGACAATGTGCCACAACCCAGTCCAAGCACAAAGCCAACTTTCCGGATAAAGACATCCCCTTCAGCCTATTCGTCTCGCAAGATAGGGGCCCCCATTCAGCTGCCGAGTATTCCATGGTCGTTCCCTCCCAGCAGCCAAGGTGGTTCCGGTGGGATCCAACTTCCCGCACTTTCGACATTGTCACCGCAACCACAAGCGGGGAGCACCTCAGTACTTCCGTACCGTGGGTCTGTGGGACCAGGGGCTCCGGGTGACAGTGAAGCCGACGATGAGAAGGACCATAATCACCATGGGCGCGACAGCAAGTGGCAGCTGCCCAGCTTGAGTTTGCCTAACTTGCCTACGCTCAGTGGCGCCTCGCAATCACACCACGCCACTCCTTTCTCTCCCCACGAAATGACCGTCTCAAACTCGACGATGGCCAGTGGTTCCTTTTCCACCTCCTCACATCTTCACACCTATTCGATCAAGAATGGGCAGCCAATCCATGGCTTCGACGATTTTGGCCCCACCTCTGGTTCTCCCCAGCACACCAGCTACGGACCCACCTCCCTCCCCCACCTCTACTCATACCCCTACTTACCCTCCACTGCATCGGCGTCCTCGTCTTCTCCCACCACCTCACTCCCCCTCCCGTCACTCACCTCTACACCGACTTCGTACGCCCCCTCAGATGATGGAGACTGGTTCTTCAACGCATCTACCACTCCTCACCTCCACCCACTCCATGATCTCGGAGGGCCACCTAGTACCTCCTCCTCCTCCTTCTCCTCCTTCTCGGCAGGATCAGGCGTAGGGGAGCGCGAAGGTGAATCAGATTCTAGCGCCTCGACCCTAGACACTCCTCCCCCACATTCGACTGCATTCTATCGCGGTCCTGCATTAACAAAGAGTGAGAGCGAGAGGGAGTATTATGGAAGTGGAATGGTGAGGAGGAGGGATTCGTATTTAGAAACTGGGAGTCCTGCCATGGGATTCTTGGGATACGAGTATTGAGCCGTGGCGGTGGTGGCGACGAATGGAGGTTGTTTTGGGTTAACTGCAAAAGCTTAATGCGCTTGCGGGTTGGTGGGTTTTTTGTTTTGCCCCATTCGATGCATCGATATGAGGGTGGATGGTCGAAGGGGCTCTTTTTTCCCTCAATTTTCGAAACCAATACGTACAAGCGAGTGCTGCTATGCGCTTCAGAATGTATATTCTATTCCATTTCACTAAATACCTCACTATGTTTCAGTAGCACTATCATCCTCTTTCTATTCGTCCCGACCTTTTTCCTGGTCTTTCTCCCTCTCTTGGGTTATTTATTTCGCTTCGATTAAAGCTTTTGCCCTTTCCGCTCGCTTTCCCCCTTCCTGTCTTTGCGCTGTCGCCCATTTCCTTCCCTTGTTTCTTTAGTGGCGCTGGCGCTGTAAATTCACAATCTTTCTTTTCTTTTGTTTCCTTCAAAGCTTCAAGCTTCAATTATTGTCTTTTGAGTTATGCTTTCGCCATAAAAATAGGGATCGCAGGCCGTAGTTGCTGGATTGTAATCGTATGTTCATATCAATTTTTTTCTTAAAAAAATAAGTGGGAATCGGTGTTTGCGTTCCTTTTCCTGACAATTCATTGACGTGTCGCGCGAACCCCGAAGGAACTCGGCGACTCCCTGGTCTCGTGATCCATGACTTTCCGAGCCATTCCCTGTGGTCTATAAAGGGGGGGATGCATCAGTGTGTATGACGAATGCAGACAGACAGTGCTGTGTTGGCAATATGTAAGGGGAGGAAGCATCCCGTTACCAGGAAATGCTAACAATGCCCGCGCCGATCGTGCTATGCTCCGTATGAGCATATTGAGGGACGACAAACAAGCCTGCAAAAAAAAAGCAGCACAGCATGCTACCATTACGGAGCTAACGTGTTCAGTTTGTCGCCACCTCCAGAGCGGGCCCTAGTTTTCAATAGCATTCTCAAGTACATGCATGCACATGCACTTGTACTAAACCGCTATTATATCCCCACGCGGGCTTACTCTCCGCCGGGGCTACCCCCCCAGCTAGTTTTTTTTTTCTTTTTGCATACAAACGTACACCCCAACAGCGCTGGCCCCGCAAGTTGCGTTTTTTGCTCCCACATGCACGGCTTCTTAATCTCCCTGCGAACACGTTGAATTCTTCAGATTATTTGTATTTTCAGGGTTAGCGCCACGCGAAATGTGTGGGTTCCGACAGCTGTGTGTGTTGTTATTCATATATACAGGATCAGCCGCTGCCGTTGGAATTGGAGAAGTGAGTGAAGATGGTACCTGAACCGGCGGTAGCTTCGCTGCGTGGGGCGAGCATGCCGTGGCCCTTACTGTAAAAGCATTGGTGTTTGCAGGAGACTGAGCTGAGGAACTCACTGCGATGCACGCGAATACCTCGCTGGATTCAGGGTACTATATAAGTAGATGTGGTGACTAGTTATTTGATATGGAGATGATCTCCTGGGGGCATATAGCATATGTACGTGGCAGGAACACTGTTTTTTCGAACCCAGGTGCGGTTCTGACGGATTAAGCTATGTAAGCTATCCTCCACTGCCCCCAGCATAGATTTTTCATTCGATGTTGCGCGCGCGGGCATCATGCGGCTACACTTTTCCGGATGATGATCATGCATGCATCTCACACACCGTTCCCGAATTCATTGCAACCAGACCATCCGATGGTATCGCGGTAATACTGTAACATTATTAGTTGTCCAGTTACTATAATTCCAGTCACATCGTAGCGCAAAAAGAGTTGTACGAGAATAATGACAATCTTGAGGAAGAACGAAGAAGAGGGGGGACGAGGAAGTAGGCTTGACGACGCCCACCTCCACCTTCCTTAACAGCTTCTATCTCGATATGCACGGCCCCCCACGACAGAGAAATAATAATTATCATGATAAGTGCTCGCCATTTGTATTTCACACAGTCAATCCCCCCCAGATGCAGATATATTGACGCGCATCTTTCAAATTCCAGCCTAGCATTCTAATCCCTCAAATCCTTCTTCACTCACGCCCCCGATTGGGGGCTGGGGGAACCGATGCCGATATTATTAACAACCAAAATGGACTCTTGCGTCAATCCTACACTGATTGCCTAGCTTGCAGCGGTGAAAAGCACCAGCAATTGGTGACCCCGCGTCAAAGTTTATTCGATCGTCGGGATCAAAAAAGGGGACATTATAGAAAGATCCACTGTTATACGCGCGACACGCCCACTTTTGGGACCCCCAGGTTTGAATCCAGCCCGATCTGTAACAAGGCCAGGTGGGGGGTATACAAATATTACACACGCGATTCACCGGAACTCGCCAGAGATGGTTGTCTTCGAGATCAGCTATATACCATGTGCTGTGAATGAAGCCCAGCCCCCGTGCTTAGATATATAGGCAGGTGACCAAGCCTCTCTTTGACGGGCGTGCTGTTGCATGATCCAGTTTTCTAGGGGGAGACATGCAAAGAGGTCTAGATGGTGTAATGGTTTGCAACTCAACAATCTGCATTTCAGTTGGTTACATATTGCCCCTTTAGGGGTATAGAGTAATGGATCCCTGGCCAGATTTCAGATCTCATTTATCTTCACATTTATTGATCTCAATCGGGCGTCTGCATGGGATTTCATCAGACGGTGCCGAAGCGTCTGCAGAAATACACACGCCAAAGTGGTCCATTTGAGCCCCCCTACGCGGAACGGCCACCGTTTGTTGAACCTCTTCTCGAGATGGAAGACTCTTTCTGTTTGGAAAAGTCATCGTACTTGTAACGATCGATATTGGATAATGTCCAGTCAAGTGATTGAATAATTGGAGCGTGATGTCGAGGGGGGAGGGTTGATGCTGGGGTGCGTCCGAATGGACCTTGCAATCAAACATTTTGGAAGAACCCAGTCATCACACTACAGCCACAACTACCCCCTACTTCAGAAAGGGTTGGCTCATCCAAGCCAAACCCACCCGTACCCTCAGTGGCATGTGCTACTTGTCAATGACCCTTCTTGAATTTCAAGCCCCCTGAAGATTCCACTGGAATGCTCGCGCAGTTGGACTACTCCCAGTTTCTTGGAGATTCTTGACCAAATCAGAACGGTTGTTATAATATTGAATGGCACGTGTACCTACGTCCTCCAATTGACACAATATTACGTTATCCTGGGACCTTGCTCTTGCCTCAAAGCGGTTACACATAACACAAGGAACATCTGTAATGCGGAACCGGGCGATCCAATTATGCCTCCCTGGGGGATTCCGCAGTAGTCGATGGCTTTATCCATCCCGGTCCATTGTGGTTGCCAGCCTGTCCAAATCGCTAGGCAGGTGACCAGCCTCTATACCAAATCGCTTTCTCTCGAGGGCATTTTCACCCCGCGGAATGAGAGGGATTATGTGATAAAAGTTTGCTCGACTCAGGCAGGTGTTTGAGTCTGGAAGGGGCGAATGGGCGGGTTGGCGGGCCGCTCTTTACCGAGGGTGAGAGGACGTGTCAGCAACTTGATATCTTTGACAAAATGAACAAGCCAATGGCGGAATCATCGCGCGCGCGACCCTTCTCACTCCTAACCAACCCTGATGTGTAAAGAGAGGTATGTACTATGACCATAACAGAGCGCAACAAAAGGTAACGGGGGCGCAAAGATTCAAGAGGGTTTTTTAATGGATGTTATGCACTACATAAAGCTAATCAGTCAGGGACTATCGGCTCGCTCATATGAAATTTGCCTTTTCGTGGTGCTCACAATTGATGCCCTGGAGGATGCGTTGCGCAACTCTCTTGAGCAAGGTACACACATTGATAGAAGCGGCCGCGTAATCATTCCACCCGAACTTCTCCGCAGAGCCGAAATTCACATTCAAAAAAAAATAAAGGAATATCAGGAACCCAGCGGGTTGGGCCCCTAATGGTCTTAATTTCTCTGCTGGCACTGACTTCATAAGCATAAACACCTCAATTGCTTTGACTCTTGACCATCAAAAACTGAAGAAGCCTCTGTTTGCTTCCCACCACCAACGATATTCCATCCAACTGACTGCATGCTGGACATAGCACGGTTTTTAGCCTTGTAGTCTTGGCCAAATCTACACATTTGCCGGACACAGCGCCATGTTCGTATTTGCAGTGCTTAGCTCAACCTGTGCCTTTTGCTTGTGCTCCTGAAGGGTCTCCCAGTGTTGCCGTTTCCGTCGTGTTGCCAGTGCTGCAACCCTTCTGGCGTGAGCACTCCAAGACATAATCGCTCGTCTTTTGTCACGGGTTACACTCATGCACTGCTACGGCGACTCTACGTACCTTTACTTACACTGGTTGCCCCTCGATTATCCGTTGCGAGGTTATGCGTCATCTCCAGATGAGATGATCCTTGTCTTTATTCTCACTGTTGTGGGCGGTGGCGAAAGGCTATATTATGGGGTTGCGGCTTCAGGATTGCATATCCTGCCAACGGATATCCATACCACGCACCCGCATGCCCGACTGCCGAGTTGGCATCCCGCGGCATTACTGGTTTATGTACTCGGGAATTCGAGGATCATTCACAGTGTACAACTGATGCATAGTAACCCTTTGGATCGTTTCGAACCGCGCAAAGCCCCCTATTGATCGTACCAGTGCCAGCGGAGTTGTGTCCCCTCCCCCATGCATGGTGATAACAATACAACATGGTTCTCCCGAAAAGGTGACGCCATGCCGTATGCTCGCCTAGCGACTAATGCCGGCTTTCTGATCCGCCGGCGCGTTGGGGATAGCTCTGCTTGCCGGTGGCTTCATTCACACCATTCACGAGTCTGCCGTGGGATCATCCGCTTGCGGCCACTGTTACCGCCGGACGTTCTAACCCGATTCCTGGGCTCGGGCGCTCCCGACCTGAATCCAAGAAATGGACATGTACGCGGACACCATAAAATTTGTAGAAATCTATGACTTTCTTGTTTGGCTGAATTAATTGAGGTGAATTACATTCGTTCTCTTGCCTAATGTGTGCCGCCACTGTGACTATGGATACTGCTAAGTGCGCTCTGACCCCAAACTCCCTGTTTAGCTACTGTAATCTTTACTTACGTATGGCATTATTATTATAATGCCCCATCGAGTATGTTGCTCGTATCATTTTCAAGCAGTGGCGCATCACATATACATCGTGTTATACCCAAAAGCGAGGTCTCAACATGTCTGTAGATGCCTCAACTCCACCCGTGAGGAGTGTGGTTACCATGATAGCTCCAGAGTCCATTGCGAAAGCCTGAATTCAATGACACCGAAGTCAGTGTAGTGTGTTGCTCCCAACAACTCAACAATTGACTCTCATCCGGTGAATCTGTACAGCTTTAGTGAGATGTATGGTAGCGAGGTCAGGGCAACATCACCGTGCCAGTGAGGACTCCCGTACTTTGAGATAGGAACCGCGATAGATTTTTGCTTGCAAGTGGTGGCAGGTCTGGCCTTGGTTGTCCCAGCTGTGGTTATCACTTTGTGTCCCAAACCGGAGTGGGATTCTGATATAATAGAAATGTGCAGATAGAAAGCAGCGCGCGCTCATGGAGTCCGTATTGACATCGCGTTTGAGCAGCCCCGTTTCCACATTTTCCCCAGGAAGGGAGACGTGGCCGACCTGGCGAGGACACGCATCTCCATATATTCATTCGATGTACAATATCTTCAAGGTCACGTACGCTGATCTCGAGCGATTTGTAGCGGTCCCTTGTAGAATCGCGCAACATAAATATGAGTTGCACGATTCACCCAGATTACCAACAGGGAGCATGCAGCTTTCTAGTATTCAATTCCTGGTTTTCAAAGGGGAGGATCCCCTGACTTAGTATTTGTCAGCAGCAGAGGACTGCTACAATAAGCACTAGAGACGTTCCTGCGCTAATAGCACACGTGGATCGGGGAACTACGCCTTGTAGCGGGGTGGGTGCGAACCTGCGTCGCCAGTTCGTGCCTGCGTTGGCCACTGCACTGACAGGTTATTTCAAGATTTCAAACCCCAACGCACAGTGGCGTAACGAAACTACATCAACCGTCTGTCCATAATGTATATATATCCAGCGCCACTCGCGCCCTGATATAGTTGCTATTCTGTTTTCCGAGATATGAGTACGTCCAAGCGCGTTGCTACTTCTAGCAATTTACCGCGTCACAGATTACCGTCCAACGTCGTCTCGCAAGTCCTACGATGATCTAGCCTGGGAGCCTCGTGGTGCACTCAGATATTTTCAACCCTGGCCTAGGATCGCATGCCACCAGGTCTCCGCACGCCGTCCGCAACCCTGAGTACTGTTTCGCCCGATCACTCAACCCCAGCTGCGCGATCAATTCGCTCAGCTTCGACCCGGATCACCGATGTCAAGGGGACAAGCTGACACGTTAGCACGCAAGAATGCGCCATGATCCGGGATTGCAGTATGGCTTAAATTAATGGCTCTCACGCCGGGTTAGGTCAGTGCTCGATGCGGCTCCCTCTGGCTCGGACTGAACGACTTCATTTAGAAAGGATCGAACAATCATGCACAATACTAAGGCGGGAACGGACTTCGCGCGAGCAAGACAAGCCGACGAGCAGTGTATTTCAGGGTGCAGAGACAAAAACCCAAGACAGGCGTCACGTCTCGGCCCGAAATTTCACTCATGGCACCAGCGGCCATAGGGCTGAACCCTCCTCTTTGATTGGGAGCGTTGATGGTGATGATTCACACATTGTCGCAGGTGCACGAATCATCATACATACGTACTCGGACGCATATATTCCCCAACCCCGTTTTCGGCCAGCTAGTTAGGGATCTACTACCGACCAGGTGAGAAATGGTTACCACTCTGCTCACAATATGTATGAGCATTGATGGGAAGAGCACTGGGATCGAAGGCACGTTCCATGGCTTTAGCCGTTTCGTAGCGAGCGACAGTCAACATTAGCCGGTAATACTCTTGGTCGTATCCACGATAAATTAATAATTCTCAACAACGAGACACCTTGTGTGCCACCCTCTAGATAATTGTATCTACTGGGAGCCCGAATAATTCAAGCGCCCCAACTTGGATAAAATATCTGATTAGGTGGTTACTGTCTATCATGCTGCTAGATGGTTTCTAACAGGCATCTCTACACCAGCCCGTTTACAATTACAGCGGCATGCGAAAAATTCGGCGCATCTAATCTCCATCTGATCATCTCTTGACGATTCAGCACAGTGGGGACGTAAATCGCGGTAGATAACACCGTGCGACCCAGGTTTTTTTCCTTGGTACAATACTCCGAGTATTTTACCTGGAATCTCAAGCATCTTACCAGGGATCCCATCATAAAATACTTCAAATTTCACCTGGGTTTCCCGGTGTTTTGTTACCGCGATTTACTTCCCATTGTGTTGGGGGGGCTAATCGAGTGCTGATTGCCATATCAGGCTGTAGGCGCTAAAGCAGTGATCCAATTAGTTGCCATTTTTGGGTCGTCGCCAGGCTTTCCTGAGTCATTCATCCAATTTACTTTGCATGCTAACGAGCCAATTCGACTCACTAGGGCATATTCACAGGGTCATGACATGGACGGTGGAGGGATGGTTACTCCAAACGGAATTAGGGGCTGCTGATTTGGATATCTCCGCTCCAACTTGTTTCTGATGCCGTCGAGTCTCTCCTGCTGCAAGTCTTTCGGGATAACCAATAGTGTGGTTCTATACTAGTCCCGCTCTCCTCTGGCTCCCAGTGTAATCCGGTTACCCGTTTAGCCTGCGCGCTGTGCGCTCTGTCCTCAACAACACTGGAGATATGAATCTTTGACTCAAAATCCCCATTTTTTCCCCGCCTATATCAGAGCCTGGCCCAACTCCTAGTACCTGCACGTCATCCTTATTTCAGACGCCGTCGGAAGAATAATATTTGTCGTGTACACACGCGTTCCTTGTTGCCGAGGCTTGTAGATTCAAGAGGATCTTCCTACTATAAGAGCCAGAAGCGAATGGATATGAACCGACGCTATAGCGCGTGTGGTTCCGGGCTGAAGCAGATCGGGGTTTTCAGCCATGGTAGAGGGCGAACAAGTTCGGTGGGCCATCGAAGGGGGTTCGGCTGGTTGTGATCGATGGGTGCCAAACTTAGGTGCTTCTTGATTCCGATGCAGATGCGTTGAGATAACAAACGATCCCAATGTATCTGAACCAGATACGGCACTCCTAGGGACAGTGGAGCTTGTGGAGCAGAAGTGAACTGAGCAAACCATGGCCGACAGACATGGGAAGAGCCGATCAACAATGCTTCCTCCAGTAGCGACCTACCCTAACTTGGGGCACTCACTCCGGCGAATGTAATTAAATGCGGAGTATTTTCTCAGTCTGGAGTTCGTTCACGCTAATCCAACAGTCATTTCGTAGCCTAGCTAGATAGTAGCCAGATGACGCTAGCGGAGGTTCTTTGCACCGCACCGCAACCGCTTGCAATTTACTGGGCCTGACCAAAGTGCTCTGGGTTCCTTTTGGTCATGAGGATGTGTTACTCCGAGAACGTCCGGCGTACGTCACAGTGCGTCGCGAGACTGGCTGTCGTGCACAGATACTGGTAATTGCATGACTGACTATCACATGAACAGCGCTTGCCATACATTAGGACGCTGCCCTCGACATTGTTATGGCTTTCGTGGTGCCGCAGCTTTCAACCATCGTATACATGCATGGTAATTTTGGGCCTCGAGCTCAGATCTACAGCTCTGATTTCGGCACAGAAAAGTCCCCACGCATAACTCCACCAATTCTGCGGTGATCGTCTTGCATGTTGGTATGTGCTGTGGGGAATTGTAAACACGGCCAAGTTGAGAGAGCTAAGATGGATTCGTTGATATTTGTACATTTGGTACCTGATTCTTACAGACGGAGCAGGCTACTTGATGAATCTGGTGTGAACTCTGGACTCCATCTTAAAGTTTTGGGAAGAAGAGATCTCCAGACTTGATCTCGATGTTGCGATATTTACCTTTTCCAATCCTGAAGTCGAAGTGATCCTCAGACGTCGGTTCGAGAGTAACGACTCTTGACACGACTTCTGCGTTGAACCCCAGTTCGGTCCGTTTACCCGGCTCGCCCAAATCCACCAAGGTACCATCCACCTGTTATGCCAGCGAATTCAATGTCTACTTTCGTCATCAAGGAGGCTCACCGTACCCTTTGGAGACCAAGATGCAAGCCTTCTCGCAGATAGTCTTCCACCATATCTGGACTCAGGTTTCGAACAGCGGATGTAAGGTCCACGAAGCCCTGAATAGGGATGTTCTCATGAGAACGACAATTCTCACAATCTTTCGGCAAATAGGTGACGAAAACGTCATAGGTCCCCACAAGGTCCTTGCTTGTAAACCAAGATTGGGGGTCTTTTGGTAATTGATTGAGGAAAACAACGACAGAGAAGCTTTGATCAATAGCGAACGGCTTGATTCGGAAACGTATAGACCACGAGGTAAGGGAAGAGTTTTGACTAATGCCCTTGAAGAGTTGTACAGTTGAGGTGGCGTACAATGAGTCAACCTTATTTCGAATGTGAACTTGTAGATCCCCCTCAGCTGCGCCCTGATACTCAGGGTAGGTATAATTGAAGACTTCGTGAGAATGCATCAAGTCCGAACTCCAGTACGAACGTTCTGAATTCCAGAACGGAGTAAGGTCTAAAATAGGGTTAACCCAAAATGACGTTCGAATACAATGTGAGCTTGCCTTCTCTGGCCGCGGGCTCACGAACCCATTGGTCTTCATGCAGTGTTTTCCACAGAGACAACAGTCGATCGATCTGAGAATGATGCAGGTAGAACATTGGGTCAAAGGCTACGATTGGGCTTGAGAGATCAGAGGAATATGGAGACTGAAAAGGTCTTTCATACCTCCACACGGACCGGCAAAATGTCCGAGGCGTCCGACATGAAGGTGAATGGAGTCATGTATAGCCTCCAAACTGTTGGTGGCACCGAGGTCGGTTTGCCCTTTATTGCTAAAGTCCTCCCAATTGTTAATATGAAACAATTTGTATGTTTGTTCAGTGAGTTGCTTTTGCGCCTTAGCCATGCGGCTTTCGAATGAGGAGTCAGCAAGCAGCAAAAGAAACGCGCGGACCCTTACTCTCTAATATCTTTGTTGGGCGTATCGCTGTAGGGATGCCTGATGGTTCTCGTCCACTCTTTATGTTCTGTGGGGAACGTTCCCGTCGACCTGTAACCGGTTCTGAATGCGTAGTAAAGGAAGGGGTTCTCTACATGTCTTGGCCCCGCTGGCGTGATGATACGCACAGTCTGACGACTGAGCAGCAATTCAGGGGGCACAGCTCCGCCATCCCTCGCCCAGTCCCAGAATGGTTGGCGGAGATCCGTTGCAGCGTTCAGCCATTTATCCCCTTCCTCTCTGTATTTCTGCGCAATTTCTAGAGCGTGTTCATGGATGAGTTGCTACATCATGCAATGAGTTAAATTATTTGAGGCTGACAATGGGACAAGCTTCAAAATTTATACTGACTTCAAAGAGCACGACGTACGCTCTATGCCAAGTTGGGAATAGAGGTGAGGCATGTCTGCAGTATACGCCCTCGCCTCCGGACTGATTCCAGGGCACGAGAGGGAGACCATGAAGCCCACAAACTTGGTAGTATGACGCCATCTTATCTTCCGGTGTCTTTTGCAATTTTTCTGGACCATAATAGAGGTAAGTGGGAAGTTTCTACGGGAAGAACATCTAACCCACTCAGTGCTTGCACATAGAGGGAGAACATTTTCTCGTTCTTAATGAATTCGCGGATCTCGAGTCGGGCGGGGATCGGTCGCGGTCTTAATGTGTCCCCTGATGGGAGCTGTGGACCGGGTTCCGCGGGAAATAGAGGGCCAGATCGAACACCCGTAACGATGATCTTGTCGGCAGCTTGAGGATATATGGGCCCTGGGTCATCATCGCCATCAGAGTCCGTACTAGTACTAGTAGACGATGGCGCCGCTGGTTGAGACGTCTTCGCAATAAAGCTAACTAACTGTCCCTCTCGAGGAACCCTACCCTTAACTTCGATCTATAGCAATGTGAACTATTTTTGATCTTTTCAAACCTGGCTTGACCTACTCGGGTGTGTCCCTGCGTGAAAGTCCAAGCTTTCCCGTTTGTATGGTGAATGCGGCTGCAGAACCCATCGATTCAGCACGGGTACTCAAGTTCGGTGTAGTGAAGGGGTTCCTACCAACCAGCAGCTGACCAGAGGATTCTCCATCGAAACGCCCTGCTTGCATCTACAAGTTCTATACCATGATTATCCATGCCGGCCTGAGGAGCCGTAAACTTTCCGTCCGAATGACAAATCTTCCCATCTGGGAAAATATGAAACTGAAGGTGTCGTTGTGTTAGGATGTACCATAAATTGGAACAGAACACCCTCAACCCACAGCTTGCTCTACTTTCGGGTTTCTGGGATCGAAGTCGCCAGCCACTAAGACATCAGATTCAGCGCTCTTTTCTGCCACAATGTTATCCGCCAGCACAATGTAAGATCGAGGAGGGAGAGTCATGGGAGGCTCCAAAATGCGAAGAGGCGCGACAGTTTCAGCCATGGTGGACACAGGTCGTGGCCAAACAGAGAACCGAAGGGAACGTCTTAAGGTTGCGATCGGGCCAGCTCGAGTGTTTTATAGCCTGGAGATTGTTCTATTCAAGTGTATACGACAAATTACGCATGATAAAAAAGGATGCCAGTGTAAGTACATGAACATCGTACACCGCTCTGGGGATGGAGCTTACGGACCAAAACCGAGCTGAGAAACTTCTGAGCTAGTGAGCACGATGGACCCGCATCGATTGCTGGCCATTCCATCGAATCGCCATCACTACCGACATGATATGCTATGAATTGGGCAGATCAGCAGCAAGAAGCAAGATTCGTAACAAAAAGCCAGGTAGAATCTGGTCTAGATTCCGATCCGGTGCAGCCCAGCGATCAGGCAGAATAGAACGATCGTTTGTTAGACTGAGCATCGCATATTGTAGCGGTGCATTGGGAAATGTATATGATTATTGCAGTTGCAGCAATTTTTTTCGGTAACTCACCTCATATATGAAGCATCCTCCGCACAGCGACATCTACATGTCTGGCTGACAACAACATGCTGAGCTTCCTCAATCATGGCACTTAATGATGACATTCCGCCATCCACAATAGACGTGATTTGGCTAAATCCCGCAGAACAATACGCAGAATAACATGGAGCGGTTTGCATCGGGATTGTACACGCGGCCACTAGCGCCTCGATAACCCACTAGTTGCTGCACTAGTGCTTGCTAGTCTATACGCACACGTAGTATTAGGCAGGTGACCAACCTTTATTGTAGCATACGGCTGCTGCATCTGCGGTAATTTCGTAGATCGATCATCAGCAAATTGTCCATGTTCAGTTTGGTCACTTCTGCTGGATATGTCCGCCAGAAGTGGCCAAACTGGCCAAAGTAAAATAAACCGGTCCCTCCAATAGGGCTGAACTCAATGGTTTCAAGCACAATTTCCACAGTTGAAAACAATTAAGTTTGGCCCTGAAATTGAATTGGAGGCAGCAGAAGTGGCCAAACTGAACATGGACAATTTGCTAATGATGCTTCGGCCTTGTTGGTGGTGCATGGCCGGGAGAGACTCGCACGTTAGAGAACAAGCTAAGTCTGGGATATCATGGACATCCGCCGATCGTGAATATGTCTCTGGCTAAGCGAAGCCGGCCTGACGTTTGGGGAGAAACACGGCCAAGCCTGGTCCGACATTAAATCACGCAGTAATTCTATTCCATCAGACAGCCTTACTGTTGTCCTGTAGTGACTCAGTGCAGGGGGCCACCTCACGCCGCACTGCTGCTGGACCACTGGGACCCCGGCGCTAATTCTGTTCACCCAAATTGGGGAATCGATCTCGCCAACTCTGTTAGGACAAGTTCTAGGAAGCCGAATGTCCTCAGGTGAACAGTTTGCAGACGTTGAGTATCTAGACCAGTCTTTTAATACAGACCACTGTTTGTGTTGGCGGATAAGTATCCAATGCAGGAACGTGTCACTAATTTATGCAGCTGCGGAATCCCAAGATTACTCGCTCGAACTTGCATCGCAGAACAGTACCATGATGCGATTCTTGGAACGATACGCAAGGTTCGCACACGTGGAACCACCCCATTCTTACTTCCCTATCGGGGGTATCACAGAATCTCTCCATCAGTATGTATCGGCGGCCTATTGTGGAGTTCAGTGCTAGATTGAGCTCCCTGCGCTGTTGCTCCCGAATTGCACTCTCGCAGTACACCTACACCTAATAATTCTTTATATCAATGATTTTTCCAAATCGCCCACCCATCAAGACATATACTATAAAGCACCGCTCAAGTTGGGTTCATTGTGACTTGCAGGCCTCCTCTTGCTACTAAGCAATCATGGCTCAACGCTATAATATCGTGCTAAAGTCTGACAATGAGAGGCTTGCGGCCGAAAAGGCCTCCGGGTCTGATTCCTTGATCGCTGGCCGCTATGACAAGAGTAATCCAGACCAAGTTGTACGTTGAGTAACCTAGTGTCGGGAACATCTCAACGATACTCCAGTTCGACATTTATCCGGATGGGAGGATTCTCCATTCGAAGGACACGCACCCCGACAGGTACGATGGTGTAATAGTGCTCAAGAGTGAAGAATATACGTGGATCATCGAGGGGTCGGATCCCAAGTGAGAACCCTCGCTACGCTGAACCATGCGTCATACTCATGTACCCGATAGGACCATCCGTCATCAGAAGAATAAAAACGTCTGGACCTTTGGAAAAGAATATGAACCAGTACGTCAAATCGAATTCGGAAAGGTCTGAGGCATTGATTCCTTATCGGGCATGTTGAAGCTCGAAATCAAACCGGAGAAAGATGCGGGCGATCGACACAAGCTTGAATTTGTTCCAGCATAACGTTCCTACCGCCACCGACGCCACTTGACGCTATAAGAGTGTTTGCTCGACTGTTGACTGAATGTATCGACTGTTACGTCCTTTTTTGCATAGTATTTGTTTGCAAATTTCCCTCTGGTTGCGCTCCGTTTTCTCGGTGTCGCCCTCCAACAGTTTGGCTAAGGGGGATCTAACGGTCTACATTCGAAATAAGGTCAACTCATTGTACGGCCACTTGACCGCACAACTCTTCAGGGGCATTAGTCCAAACTCTTCCCTTACCTCGTGGTCTATCCGCTTCCGAATTACAGCAAGGTGCAAAAAAATCGGCGCACCCGAATGACCGCGAAGTCATGTGATCGTCCAAAAATGGCAGCAAATAAATGACACCAGGTATGGTCACATGATTCATTTGGCTATTCATCCAAATTGGATGCGCCGTTTTTTTGCACCTTGCTGTAAGCCGTTCGATGTCGTTGTTTTCCTCAACAACAGGTGGATGGTACCCTGGTGGATTTGGGCAAGCGCAGGCAAATAAATGGCACGCCATTGAATTGTTAATGACTCAAGGGGTTTGACGTCTCGTGATTATATCGGCACCTGAACAACATTGCACCACCACTCCTTACCAGTGAGTCCGGTCACGGCCACGCTCAAAAGGAACGAACACCATGAAATCCGTCAGTATATAGAAAACCACCCAATTCTGAGTTAACGGACTTCCCGCCTTGAGAATGTGTCCACACCAGCCTAGCAAGAGCAAGTGTCTCGATAAACCAATGACAAACTCCATCACTTAGAGGGCTATTATGTGTCCATTAGAGCTATATACTCTGAGGGTCATTTGCCGCGACAGAATCATTCAACCGCAGAAAGCCTGTCAGACCCCTTCGCAGAGGCGCCAGGAGTGTATCTGGTAGTCAACTGCCTGCCGTGCCGAGGGGCGCATTCGTTTCATGATACTATCCTGTAGCTCCGCCAAATCCCGTGTGAGATGGATGAATACTCAATGTGACACAGTACAGGCTAGTCAGTAGTGTGTCGAATTTAATCAATCTAGGCTCGGCTGCAGAGAAAGTGGTGCGCGTCATGACAAACGCAGGGTAACGAGTGCAGCATGTCCAGTTGACGAATGACAGTGGCGTTCGTGCCAAAACTGCCGAGGATGGCCACCACTCTTGCAAACAAGGCATTTGCTCGCTAGTCTGTCGCGGCAGTGACCAATTGGGCTGGAGACTCGTGAATATTAGGTTCACACTACTCGCGCCATGGGATCGAAACCCTTACGTTTCAGGGTCGACACCGGTGTGATCTGCTTCGATTTTTTGTCTAAACCGTTCGACACAACCCAATGCCGCACTCTTGTGACACACAAACCCGAGGCGAACAGAAATGATGAGGCAGTCAAATGCGCTTAGGGAGACTTACAGATCGAGCGTCGCGCGGGCATCTTCTAACGATGAATGGCCGGTAGAGCCATCTCCAGATTGAATTGTCCTATCCAAATATACCTTTGCGCTTTGGAACATGATTAATGGAGGTTTCGTGGGAAAAAAGTTGGAAGACGCCCACAAAATACCTACAGATTCCGTAGACTACGCCGATAAGGAAGCCCCGAAGAGTGAGCGTAAATCTGACGAACCGTCAGAAAGTCAGACCGAACCACTGAGTAATGCGACATACAGCGGACGTATCGACGATGCGGTGGTGAACTAAACGAAGCGCCTTCAGGTCGTTTTCTAATCTATCACAGTTGTTTTTCAGATGAGTGCACCGAGATGGTGGTCGCTGAATCATAACAGTACTCACGCATGTCCAATTATGATCGTATCTGGCCCAATATATGAACGTAGAGCAGCCCGTATATGGTCTAGATCGTACACTGCTTTATCGAGCGAAGTGATGCCTGAAAATCTGCTCCGAATAAATAAATAAATATCAAACTACGAAGCAATCGGGGATGCATCTACCTTGTATTGAAGTCTCTGTTCATATCTATGATCAGTGAATATCCTACCTCGCTTGTGGACTCACAGCACATGAACACCTTCGTTCATACGGACAAGCTCATCCAGAATCAGTTCACCCTTCCCATCCACCATTGTGACACGAGCGCAGGACATTCCTGCAGTCGTATAAATCATTTCACAATCAATAGAGCAGACCTCGAGGATGTCCTCCTTGTCGTTCGTTATGGTCTCCGAAGAGAGGGAAATGAAGGGATGGCGGGAATGGAGGGCCTCTGTATCTTTTTCATTGAATACATGCGGTCCGCGATCGCAGCCTTGTGACCCTTCCAGTCCTCCGCAGCATCATGGATCGCCTCTCGGAGACCTGTAAGCTTGTCAATAAAACGGTAAGCTCTAAATCACCATTGGAACTCGCCTCCCGTTTTCTTCCGGAACGGGGCTTTCCAGTGGTAAACGCATTGGTCCAAAGAGGGGGTTTCTTCAACCATAAATGGACTCTTGCACCGTTCGCACATTACAGTCCCTCCTACCTCAGGAAGTTTGCCCTCGAGTGGCACATCTAGGAGGTATCCCATTGTCTCCATATCGCGCCGTGAGAGTAAGACCGTGGACAAATGAGATGGGAGAATTTCGATGGGGGTTGCTGAGGCGCCTTTCTCCTGACGTTCCGCACACTCAGCTATTGTACCAATCGAGGGATGAAATTTGGAATCCGGAGGTGGTCTTTTTTGGATACTCGAAACGGCGGAAATAATTGCCTGTACAATGGAATGATGTTAAATAGGGTCGCGTGAAACACAAGTGAGAAAGTCCGTTCATTTCGATACGTCTTCTGGCTCGTCTTGGCGTATATTTCCTCTTCTTGCGCTATCGCATGCTTCCCAGGGAGGGAGGGAGATGACGCGAGAATCCGCATGTAGAGATGACGGAAGGTATCATACAGAAGATTCAACATGGCCTGGCGCTGGTTGATCGCAATCTTAGATCGCGCGGGATTTGCTGTGATTTTAGGGGTCCCAGACTAGAAAGAATTTCTGTGAGCGCACGTAACGCAGATGGGATCTCAGACAGACCGAAGTCGTTGGATAACTTGTTGTAACGCGCTGAACTTTGTTTGGTGGTTCAATAGTGCCTCTGCTCGAAGAAGCGGGGACGTCGTCAGCCCCCCGCTTGCGCGAGAGGGTCCCTATTGAGGCAGAGTTGGGTATAGTGTCGGCTGTCCTTGTTGTGCTTGATGCAGTCCGCTGATTGGGACGACTATCTACAGGCGGTACAGCTACTGGCTTAAACTCCAGCAAGCTTGAAACAAGAGAGACGGATTTTGGCAGCTCATCCATTGCTTTGTGGGAGAATGGGCAAGGGTTCCGTGAACACAAAGATGACTCGGGACATGGAAGAGATGAGAAGAGGCTTTTGGGTGCAAACATAGTGCCTCAGGCTCAAGTGTGATCGCGGTCGGATGCAAAGTGTCTCTGGAATTTGGCGGAAATCCCGACCTTCAATTCCCATTTCCAAATTCGCCGCCTCCCCGGATATGGGTAGGGTAACCGACGACGTAGATGCCCACACCGTGAACAATGGTGGGGACAATACTGGAAGTTGCTTCGTTGACGAAAGGTAAGCCGAGCGCCCGTGCGTCAATTCCTTGTCCCAAATCATAAAATGGAATAACGTCAAACGTGGCGCAGTATACCCAGCGAGACAACAAAAGCGAGCAGTTCCACTCGTCTCGCAAGAAGAGGGTGAAGGAGTCTTCTACTACCGCGTCAAAACCTAAACGTCAACCAGCAGCCACTACTGGTCGTCGGCAGGGTCGACTTGCCAACTTAATGAAGATGCCAGTAGACATCTTCGCGGAGGTGATGTGGCATCACTTCATTCATCATTCTATTCCCTAATATGTTAGCTCCAGATTGTCGGGCACCTGGAACCAATTGACCTATTGCACCTAGCACGCACGACGAAGTTCATTCGTTCAATTCTTATGTCTAAATCTTCCAAGGTGAGCACTCGCAGGATCACTTCATTCTCTGTTGATTCTGAAAATATAACGCAAGTTGATGTGGAAGAGAGCCAGGGGGTCGCTAGATGGCTTCCCGCCCTGCCCACCGGACCTCTGCGAACCAGAATACGCCAGCCTGGTATTTGAAACTCGTTGCATGTAAGAACGGATCCGTGACAAGTGGCATCAAACATGACCTTTATATCGGTATCTCAGGATTTGTCATATGAACCGCGCGCAACTCATGGACTGTGTCTTGAGAACCCGGGCTTGCAAAGCACACATGCCAGAGCTGTGAGTCGCAATGCGTCCATTGTTTCCCACCAGAACTACAATGCCCTAACTTTCAACTAGACAATGCCCTTCATTCCCTTTCATCCTGTACGAGTTCGAGGTTGAAGAAATGTATTATGATGTTCTTTACTCGATGATGCCCAAGAATCGTTCGTATGAGGACCCACCAGACTTCTTCCAGCGCTGATGCTTATTTATGCCAGAATTGGGTTACCTGAGCAGAAAAGAAGTATACACAATTATCCCGAAATATCTGTCGCTGGTAGGGGGCGACGAACAAATCCTGAATTCCTATGTCGAGGAGATGAAGGTCCGTGCCACTCAGATTGAGGAGGTCAGTTAGTCTGTTCCTTCCATAACACCTGCCAAAATGCCTTTTTCTAGCATGGTCTCCAGCTCCAGAATTGGCGTTCGGCTCAAGCTGCTCAAAGGTACGAACGTAAAAAAGATGCAATCCAAGGCAGAAAGGAGAGGTAGGGACGCTTCACTCGTGTGCAGAAACCCCAACCAAACCTCTTGACAGTATCTTTCAAAAACTGCGCGAGCTTGGATATGAAGATGTGGACATCACGCTTTCAACGGATCGGGAGTACAACCGCTTCCTTGATCAACCGGCGGCTCTTACTCCAATTAGTGAGGCAGTTGTCCATGGATTTGTTTCACATATCTCAAATTGATTTTGCTTCCAAGTTTGGCGTCGCATCGAGCCTGCGCTCGTAAAGATCCTCGAAGCTCGCCGGCAGCGCCGTCTTGACTTGGAGAAACTAGAGCGAAAAGTAGATCGTCGACGCGATATCAGGTTACATGTGGAAAGATCCGCCCTTAAGGTCGTGGAACTCAAACAGCATGAGCCTTTCCACTCGGACTGCTGGCAAGAAACTTTCCCCCGTGGTGCCTGCCTCTATAACTTGCCCTCTGTTATCCCGTTGGTTGAAACCGATAACCCAAGTGTTACAAGGGAGGAGTGGGAGTCTCAAGAAACTCAATTTCTTGCAGAAGCTCGCCCATATCAACTCCGCACACGGAGGTTCTTGGCGGCTGTAGCGCGCAATGAGCCCGCATCACTAGCCTTGCAGGCAGAGGAAACCCAGCAAGACTCAGGGGGGCTCGCTGAAAGCGATGAAACTGATGCTCAGCTTCTCAATCATCCTACCGCCTTATTTATCGTGGGTGCCTATGTCGATCCTTACGCCTATGGCTGCTACAGCCTGGCAGCTTACCCTGCTATTCTTTCCAACCTTGACGACGACGACGACGACGATTATTTGTTTGGTCACCTGTCGAAAATAACGATGCCAAAGGAATCGTCATCCATGGCTGAAATCCTTTTTCAACGGATACAAGCGATGGACCCCAACATGTCCACAATGACCAAGCTTTTGGAAATGAACACTGGGTTCTTATGTGGCTGCTGCAGCACGCCATTTGCGAATCCAGTGACATGGCCCCAGCTAGTATGTATTATATGGTTCAGGTATGATTGCTTGCACCAATTGGGCCATTAGGTTGCACATTTTACGGACGAAAAGCTTTGGTATGAACGGGAAAAGTGTTCCGCAGCAACGAATCATCGGTCAACTTCATCACTTCCCAACGTCCCCTTAATAGACGACCACGAGACGCCGAAGGTGATTCTCTTGCGTACGAAGGCAGAACAAGATGCCCAAAGGGAACTTGTTGCTAGTCGCGTGGAAGCCGAGTCCCCGATCATGCTCTACGAGTGTAGGCGTTGCGACCGACGAAGCGTGCATGATCCAATTTCCTTGTATTCGTGGTCAACGAAAAGCGAGCTTCAGGACCACTTGTTGACGAAGTACGTGAGATGCATCCGAATAATCATCTTGCATTCACGAAGCTTCCATAGGCATGGCATTAGTCCCGAGGAAGCTGAACATCATATGGACAAGTGGTATGATGACACTTTACATGACTACGATGGTTATGGGGACTCAGATGGTCTTGAATTCGATGACGATTTCTTCATCCCATTTCCATTCAATATGGGTTACTTTGATCCCCTGGATCCTGACTTTTGATTTATATACTCCCTGGTGAAAGCGTGACATTGCTGGTTTTGGTGATTTCCCGCACAGGTCTACGTTTCTCCTGACGCGAGAGCAACCCAAGCGAAGCCAACGAATCGTGCTCATGCGACAATCGATCCGCAGCACTGAACTGGTTAGTACAGGGACAGAACAACGAAGCGCGTGGACGGTGCCGCCTCGGGAGTTAAGGGTTTTGGTCAATCATTGAAGAAAGCACAAAATGAGCAGATGGCTCATTTAGCCACAAAACTGCATCGAGGGACATCCAATAGAGGTTCCATACACACTTCCATCAACACCAGCAATTGCTAAGATAGCATCCATGACGCCCCCCATTCCCTCACCAGCAATAAGACCGGCAGCCAGCGGGAACCCATACAAGTCGAATGAGCCCGGATTTTTGCGTTGCCAAACATGGTTAACAGTGGCGCCAACGGACATGATCATGGGGTAATAAACCTGCGGCAAGATGAAGGCAAGTCCGACAGCATTCCAATTAGGGACATAGGCCCAGTGCCTGCGGGGAATGTAAACATGCTTGACGATAATAGCGACCCCAGCGACCATGGATAATGCGATGGCCGTATAACCAGAGGAAGGTGGAATAGCTGAAAGGTGGGAACCATAAAACGCGTCAGCTTTGTGTCGCGGTGGGCGGAAAATGCAAACCCACGCAGTGTATTTGCAAGTACCGCGGTGGCGACAGCTGCCCACGCGCTAACGGCAGGCACGCTGTACGGGCAAACACCATTGTCCGGTGGATAAAGGATGCAGGGGGCGGATTTGGTGAACAATATGAACAAGGCAACGTTGAGAAAGATGGCTACAGTAGCTCCAGTGAGCTGTGCAACGAATTGGTCTTTGGGCTTAGCCCCGATCAAATGACCAGTCTTGAGATCACCTATTATTTTTTTTTGTTTTATTTTTTCAACGTTAATAACTTGCTGGCAGGTTTTTTTCCTCGAGACAAAAGATTAAACTTACCAGTCATGTCAGCAGATTGAGCGGAAGCACCAGCAGCCAAAACACCGGCCACTAGGTTGAGCGTCTGACCGGTCACCACGTCGAGTTTCTGACTTTTAGCTATCCCTCCGAAAACCAGCTGGCTCGCCTTAGCGCATGTTGATACAGGATTGAGATCCGTATCACCTGCGCTCCGTACAGCGAGGAAGGAGAGCAGGAAACCAAAGATAAGGGCGAGGACAGCTTCACCGACATTCATGTTCCATTGAGTAGTGACGATTGAGCATGTAAGGGCAATGGATATGATGAGGCCACCCAACCAAGCCCAGGAGGGAACATGGTCCTCCAGAGGGGCAGGGTCATTATCATCCTTTATCCCGCGGCCAAAGTCGGGGTCACTGCGATTGGAATTCCGATACCTCGCACAAAGTCTTGAGGACACCGACATGACCATTTTGTAAAATGCATGACGTGAGGATAGGATGACTTCAGCAAACGACGATACAACCATCATGAGCACACCTGGCCATAAAAGCCAGTAGCGTGGTGATGGGGTTTTCGAATACTTTTCGATGTCACTAAGATGAAGGGACAAATACGACCATCTGTTATCGATGCCGAGATCCATACCGACGGCAGCACCAGTGGCGATGGTTGAAGGAGCAATAATGCCCCATGCGAGGATGGCACCCATGAAGAACGACCACGAGGCGTTCATTCCTGCTAACATGCCCGCACCGTAAAAGGCAGGTGTGAATTCGATCCACCACCCATAGTTATCCAAGGAGATCATGGCGGCAAAACCGATACGGTACATGCTGTAAAAAATGAAAATGGTACAAGCAGGCGAGGAAATTAAAAGGAACAAACAACAACTTACATCCAACCGATATGCCAATCCCAGATCAAACCCGGTGCGTAACCTGCTGCAACTTTGAAACAGAATGCGGCGAGGAGGCTGTAGCCAAGCATCTTCGCCTTTTTGAAAGCATCAGTTGCGCCGCCAATCATGTGTAACTGTCTTATCGTGTAGGCAGTAGCAGAAGGTGTTGGGAAGACAAGCTTTTGCTTGAGAATGTAGTACTTGCGGAGTGGAATGACAAAGAAGACGCCATAGTAGGCAACGCAAACCGCCAAGCCAATGAGTTTCCCAATGTCATGTTGTGGAAACTCAGAGAGAAGGCCCAAACGATACATGGCGGGCACGGCGCTGACGAATATGATACCAAGACCCCCCGCAGCAGTGGCAGCCGACTATAGTATGAGCAGTGATTTCCATAGAGATGAGACAGGATGGCAAGGAAATAAGGGACGGATGAAGGAACCAACCAAAATAAGAATTAAAGCAAGGTGATCCCGACCGAGCTTACCTGAACGGTTACATTTTCCTTTGGGCCAAACTGTTTATCGCCAGTGACCCAACCAGGTCCCAGACCTCCGACGATTTTAGAAAGGGGCTTCAATATCGCAAAGCCGAAACTATCCGTGACGTCCTCGATATGAGGGTGTGGGGAAAACGTTCGATCAATGACTTACATGGCACCAAAGAGTTGTGGGGGAAGGAAATACTACAGGTCCGAGGATCGTACCAACGATGTCAGTCGAGTCGGCCCAATTGTTTATGAAGCAACGCAACACCCACCCAGTCTTTAGTCCAAGGTAAATATTGGATGCACCAACAACAGCACCTAATGCACAGCCGACGACGATACTCCGTCTATGACACACAGCCATATGTCAGGGATGATCACTAAGGAAAGGAAGAAAACAAACATTGTGAGAGTGTTCTCTTCAAAGCATATCGAAGGGTCCTCTGGGAATGGGTCACCCTTATGACGCCATGGGACTCAGACTTTTCAAAATCGTGCTGTTCCTCTGGGGTACTCATATCAGGTTGCCTATTGTCAACGCATTGTACACTATCCATGGTGCATATGACGATCGATGGGGAATGGTCCGCCTGATGAAGGGATCCTCTGACATCTTATACCGTTTTCCAACGGAAAGACAATGAAGTACACCGTGTGTACCGGAATATCTCAGCTCTGAGCTTTTTTGATGTGGTGGATAATTTGACCGGGTTATGATGGGGTATCAAGCATGTTTCCCGTGTTTACTATAATCCCTGGAAAGGGTTCATTCTTGGCCGGGCCCCGGAAGCGTCGTAAAGGCGCGAGGAGATAACAAATGTAGCACATCGCTGATACGAAAACGGATATGTCCTGCTCAAGAGCGGAGGTCGATGGACCTGTTAAGGCGTGTATCATATTCGCCGTTAGCAGTTTGACCGCATTCACGCATGACAGCGCTCCCTAAGTACTCCTACTGCTTCCACCTCCGGCCAGTTCTGAGGTTTTAGCAGCAACTGTTAGTGGATTTCTTGGATTATGCGTACGACGTGGCCAACTCACGATGTTGATGTTCAGCCTTTCCTTTCTTAGTATGCTCGCTACCATGGTTGTGCGCTATTCAGAGCGAGGTGAGATTGTACTTGCACCCCTTATCCTTTATCACAGTGTTATCCTAGCGTTATTCGATAGTCCTTCTAATAGCCATGCGGGCAGGACATCGTGAGTATAACATGAACCCAAGGGTGAGCAGATAGCAGATACACAAAAGTAATCCAGGGCCCCTGAGATGGCAAGGGATGAGGTTGTTCCATTCGTCACGCGCGTTACTGTCTGTGATCGAACCTGTCGAGCAATAGGTATGGCATGACCACATGGGGATATGGCTTCACAAAGATGTCGGTCATAAACGGGCCTAGATAGATACAGTGAGCCCAAGAGGTGTCCTTCGCCCTTTTCGGTCTCGCTAGAGAGAGGGGAATAGGTTCATGCGGTATGAGCGATCAAAGAACATTCTGCATATTCTTGGTCCGGGTCCAGGGCGCAACAGCGGGCACGTGGCCAGTATACTGGCATATTGCGAGCCCGACGGAAATGGAAGTGAAATTCAAAAATGCGTTCTGCAATGACGTAGGCAACGATGAGATTGATTTGGCATCAACGGGGAGGACCAGACTAATTAGCACTTGTAATCCTCGGGATTTTTAAAGTTGTAGTTGTATCGAGTGAAGATCCATCTGCACACACACTGGCGCGTCCTACTGCACGTTGTCAACCCCGAGCGGCATAGACTTTCATCAGAGATGGGGATTAATGCAGATCATGACTATCTGTGGCCATAGGACTCGGAAAGCGCCGTATCCCGTCTGATCTGCGAAGCTAAGCCGAGTACCGCCCAGTTAGTACTGTGGTAGGGGACTATGTAGGAACCTTGGGTGCTACAGTTCTTTCATTAGTTTTTTTTTTCCCCTTGACTCTCTACCACTTCTTTCTTTCCAAACCACGAGCACCTAACGAACAGCCAAAAAAACAGAGCGTTCTCCGCTTGTATTTCACTAGAATGTGTCGAAACGCCCTTCGAGACCACACTTGCTCAGCTATATCGTGTGGCATGGTTTAGGATTGATTCTCAGGTGCCATCTAAAGGTGCTCGATCAGGCATTTGCTTCCGGCTTAAAACCCATATATAGAAAGGATCTGATAAATGCCCCTATACTCTGCGCGCAACAGCACGTAGTGGGGAACTCTTCCCACGTCACAATATGGCCTCGATTGACAATCGTCCAGTGATCCTGGGTTATTACCGTTACTCAGATATCGTAAGTAATGAGCCCTATGGTCGAACTACCTCCCGATCGCATGTCCTTCAATTATCATAGATGTTTGAGTGGTAAGCCCCAGGTTATCCAAATTGTGATGAAGGGTAGGGTGTGAATGCTTGATATGGCATCCAGGCGTGAGGTTCTCACCGATCCGCACCAAAGAAGTGCTCTCAATGGTTTCCTTGCGCCCACGAGTTTGGTTCATCCCGATCATCCCCTTCGACAAGAAGGCCATGATGGTCTCGAGCTTTGGAATGGTGAGTGGATCTTGCGCGGCTTACATACCTCTGATCGTTGATCCTGTTTCAAATATACCAGGAATTCTCACCAATGGGGAGTCTCGTCTCCTATTCTCCTCTGCCCAAGTCGAATATGCTCGATATTACTTGAAAGCTGCTGGTCTCATCAATGTCCTTGTGCCCCTCCCATCGTCCCAATACCTTCTCACTACTTCACATCTCAAAAACGTATCCCCAGTGTACTTCACTGACCCTCAAGTCCTGAAGAAGGCGCTCGCAAATATCCAAAAGCTCAATAACCGACTAAAGGGGATCACAGGAGACATCAAGCTCGAAGCTCTTAGGATCAAGTTTGAAAGAGCGAGGACTCTGTGGTCAGCGAAGAAGGGTGTCTGGTGTGCGGTCGACTTCGAATCTTGGGAGATGAAACATGACGACATTACGGAGTTCGGCTACAGTATGTACAGATGGGAAGATGGGAAACTCGTGGGGCCAGAGGAAGGACACTGGACTGTCAAAGAAATGAACTCCACTCGCAACGTAAGTGTCGACATTCTTTTTTTTTTACCATTTAAACTCGTTCGTCACAGTTCAAATATGTTCCTGACAATCGAAATGTTCGTGATTCATCCAACTTCGATAACTAGTCCTTATGCTGGCTGCTTCGTTTCGACAGAATTATCAATTCGGCACATCAATCGAAAAGCCACGCAAAGTCTTTGGTGAAGACTTGCGCACTTTCATTGCTGGCCTCAAGAGATACGGGCCCGTTTATCTTAGCTTCCACGATGCCCCCAACGATATCCAGTGAGGAACCGTCTACTCCTCTGGGGCGAAACTTCTAGTTGACATGCTGATGTTAGATACATGAAACAATTCAAGGTCCCTGAAGCCGAGGAGGCGACCAATCTGATCCCAGAGACCAATCCTGACTCGGGGATTTTCATTATCGACACTGCAGATCTCTTCGCGGCGTTGGAAGGCCGCAGCAATGAGAGACGAGGACTTGAGCGAATGTGCAGACTCCTCAAAATGTACGATACTTACTACATGCACAATGCGGGAAACGATGCGCACGTGAGTACAGCTTCCAACCTTCAGACTTTGTGGTTACAATAAGATGAATTTCCGGATAGTGGACGCTTCTAGCTCTGAAGGATATGATTGCTGGTGACCCCTTAGACACACAGCGCGAAAAGCGGTGGCCGTCACAGATGGAACTCAGCAAAACTGGCGCAAAGACTGCTACAGTGGCGCATCACCCATGGGAACTTGATCCAGAATATGACGATATGGAAGGAATCTTCGAGCCCTTCCAGGGTGTCCCAGAGTCACCAGAAGAGGAAGCTCTACCACCCATCAAGAATGCATACACTGGACGGCCAAAGCCGCCACCTAAGCCGCATTCGCAGTGAACATCGAGAACGAGACGTAGATTGATGGTGACATCTTGTAATTTTTGAAAAATGCCTTTGCTCTCATTTTTGTACCTGATGTTTTGTTGTATAAAGTAACTTGCGCATGAATGAAAAGTTCGCCGTGTTTGAAGGGGACGTGCGGGACGCGTGAATTAAGGGGACATTGAAATAAGAATAGAGCAACAAACAGTCCAACTCCGGAATAATGCACAACAGTGATGGGAGGAGAATGGCATCCTGGAGGGCCATTGAATAAAAATCCAATTAAATGCGCTTCGCTGTTTTACGCCCTCCTATCGGCCGTGGAGGAGGTGGAGGGGCAGCTTCCTCTTCCTCTTCCTCCTCTTCTTCGATACCATCTTCTTCTAGATCATCATCGAAATTTTCTAACTTCCCTCTCCCCCCCTCATCGAGATTGTCTTCATCATCCAGATCATGTGGATCCATTTCATCTTCATCTAACGTTTTCCACTGCCCGCGCCAGTCCACGAGATCAAGTTCTTCGGCAGTCTCAGGTCGCATGCGCAACCACTGCATCCGAGGACCACTGCGCGCCCTGTCACTCACACGAAAGCCAAATAGCGATGGGACATAAACTGACAATGTGGCCGCTTCTTGCCCCCGTGCGCTATGGCGTTTTCGAACGATTCATCTTCATTTGATCCGTTCCGCTCATCATTGGAGGATCGAGGGGAATCGCGGACAGTGGATGGTTGTCCATTGGCGCGTGGTGGGCAGTATGATGCGGGGGCGAGTTCACGGTATGTTTGGAAAAGTAGGGGAGCGAAAGTTGAGCCGAAGAAGGCGCCTGTAACGAGGCGATGTCAGACTACATGTCAAAGAAGGCGCCGAAATAGCCCCCTACCATCAACGCCTTGGTAACGGCTGCTTGGGGGGGTATAGATGTCATTGCAGTTAGGGCAGTACAATTTTACGGTGTCCAACCCAGGAAGGTCATAACGTCCACAAGGGGCAACGTGAGTGGAATTGCAGAACACGCGAGGGCATATCCCAAAATGTCCAGCTTCGTATTTTTCCACCTTGATCGTGGAGGATCGTTGTCCTGTTACCACCCCGCCTTCCCGTAACATGAAGGTAGCATACATACCATGGCTTGTAAACCTGGTCTTGTGAGAATATATCGCTGGTGGACAAGACCATAGAGCAATTCTGCTGATGACTCTACTATGGAAACATCCGGTATCTTCAGTGCATCCTCTAATATACAACTTGTTAGTCTTGGAGAGCTCGCGGCGGGGCCGCCGGTGAATGCTCTACCTGGTTCAACATCAAGGACCATCTCCATCGCCTCCTTCCAAAACGGGACCAAAGCGTTCAAGCCCGTAAGATTGAAATCGTCCTCGATGAAATCTTCTGTGACCTCGCAGAAGTATTCATGCCCCGGTAATGAGCAGAACCAAGTGATCCATGTCAATGATGATGTCGGAGTCGATGATGCTGGAGATACAGGAAAAGTTTGCGTTGTGAGTGGCACGTCATAGGCTCCATGATAGTATGAGAGGGAAAAAAGATACTGTCCGCACGAGTCAATCGTGACATGCAGGCGGTGCGAGGTCTCAACGTGTTTGCGCGAAGAGTAGTATTAAAACTGGGCGCACAGTGATAGCCCAACTTGGGCGATGCTTAATATGAAGATGATACGCACCATATCCCTGCTCTTCTGCTGCTTCATCTACCATAACATCATCCTCGTCTCCAGGAAGACCCGCGATCTCTTCCTCCTCAGCGACCTGTTTTGGCTGGTTTGTTCCATACTGTGCGCGACTCATTGCAGTCACCTCAAAAAATCACCCACACAGTTTTTAGCGTCGGACGTCAACGTCGCCCTCAGCGAGATGAGTGTAAGCGAGCGAAACGCTCGAGTCGAACCGGGAAATACCGACTAAATTGTAATGAGCTGAAAGAGGCTATGAACAACTTGAGCCCGACGAAATTGGCAAAGCTATTCGAAAGTTGAACTAAATGCAAGATAACAAGATGAGGTGGTCGATAGCGAGTGGTAATGGCAGAAAAAAAGAAGCCCCCAGAAACTTGACCACAAATAATCCGACCGCAAGATCAGGACATAAGATGGCGGGTCATTCATCTTTGGATTATCGGCTGCATAAGCATGGAGAACATGGAGAAGGGTGAAATGCGTTGTGTCAGCAATATTAGTATCATCGTCGGTAGGTTTATACTTGAACGGGGACCTAGGTGGGAGGAAAATAAGTCAGCAATCCCAACGCGAACCTACCGTTTCATTCATTGAGGAGAAAATGCTAGTGAAAGAATAAGTTAGGCTTGCACAAGGGTGGCACCAGACTCAGTGTGGATCGACCGATTGAAAAGGCTGGTGTAAGGGATGGTGGCAGAGTGACGGGACCCCACCGCTTGGCAGAGGAAAGTTACTGGTACCCGGCAGACCTACTCCACCCGAATACGTTTGCGTTCAACTACGAAACAGTCGAAGTCAGCTAAAAATTGTGTTGAATCCACAAGTGAGTAGTACCTTGATGTGGAATCTGGCTATTCGCTGCATCAACGTCCTCATCGTCAACACGGGAGTCGAAGCTTCGCTTGGAACTCGACAGCGACATCGAGCGTCCAAGGGGAACTTTTATTGTGTCATTGGACGTTGATATGACAACAGACTCCAAAGACGTGTCCCCTTCGTGCTCATCCAGCTCGGATGCCACAGGTGGCACGTCATGAACTTCTCCGGATGGGACAACTGAGTTGTCATTAGTTACGATGCCATATTCATCTTGCCCATCCTCGCCATATTCATTCACAGCCTGCGGGAGGGCAAGGAAATGCGTCTCCTCTGCTCCGTCTTCGTACTGTGCGCCGTCATCTTGATAATCTTCATCAGGGTACTCATCATAACCTTCTTCGCCCTCCGCGTACTCTTCTGGCTGTTCGGACCAACCTTCAGGGTATCTTTCAGACTTAGCTTCACCGGGTTCTGACTCTTCCAGGCCCCCTTCTTGAGGTGGCGAGGTGGTTCGGGGCGAGTGGGACTGCGGCGAAGCGGGGTCAGCCTCTTCCCGATCTGTCTCATGAATTCCCGGCGACGCGCGCCTCGACGAAACCATGGTATGTGACGATGCTACTTCCGCCGGAGAGGCTTCAGGATGTTCGTCTGGATTATATCATAAATACCAAGAACCACACTTCAATCAACAGGAACCAAACCTTCGTGGGCCAGATCAGGAACATCAGCAGCAGGATTCACATCTTGAGTTTGGGCATCCGCCCCTTCGTCGGCCTCATCTGAATCATGCTGTTAGACTAGGGAAGAAACAATAGATAGAAGCGAAGCGTACCTGGTGGATGTGACGACGGATCATGCGTCTCCTCATATTCTTGGGTATCATATTCCTGTACTTCCTCAGCGTAGGTCTCTTCTTGTGTTTCTGCAGCAATTGTATATCAGAATGAGAAAAGGGGAGAAGTGGTGCAGGACCTACCTTCTTGTTCGCCTTCCTCTCTGTGTGTAGTTCCTTGACGTGACTCGCTCAGCACTGCTTTTGTGTGATCAGGGTTATAGTCATCCGTAGAACTTGAGTTATGGCCTTCCTCCTCATATTTAGAGGGAAGTGTTCCGGTCTCACCATCCCTATGGCCATCGAACTGCTCGAGAGGAGAGCCGCGTTCAACCTCTTCAACCTTAACCGCGTCAGGATCCAATTTACTGGTATTGGCTTGCTCAAGTAGCTTAGCTTCTTGTGAGGCTTGATCGTCTTCTCCAGTGGGCTCGGATAAATGAGATTCTGGTTTTTCGTCCGTTTCTTCCTCTGCGGCAAGCAGAGCCGCTGTCACTTCGTCGGGTATTGCCACGACTTCTCGATGATCTACCAACAGGTGGATCAATACAAGCCATAAGGAAGCAATATGATCACGAACCTTCATCATCCTCCTTTTCTTGCTCGCCCTGCCCCTGTTCTTCATGGTCACTTTCTTCTTTGACCACTTTAGCCATCTCGTTGACGATGGCATTATACCGCATGATGAACCTAGACCCGATCTGGTCCAATCGAACAATGAGGGGGCCGTCGATCTCACATCCAAGTTGTAAAGAGTAAAGGTCGTTCAAAGAGATTTCCCTGGAGTACACATTATCCTAAGGATATGCGTAAGCAATCCATCGCTCGCGTAAGAATAGCAAGGTAGCTCTCACCTCTGTTATAGTCAAGTCCAAAGCCTCCGACGTAAGAGAAAGTTCGCCGTGGGGCATAAGTTCCAATTCCACAGACATAGTACGCAGAAGATTGAAGATGTGCTCAATTGGCTCAGCAAAAAGATGTTTGTATTCATGGTGCAAGACGGGCGGAGTCTCGCCTCCTCCTGAGTCATCAAGCTGTTGGGAGACAGAAAACAGGTAGAACGAGGGCAGAGTAGATGATGTAAGTGCCTTCACCAGCACTGAGGGGATGTTCTCTATCGGTTCTGTCTCAGGAATAGCATGTTCATCATAAGGTTCAGGAACCGCTCCGGCAACGGATGGTGCATCCTCGCGCTGGGTGGCTTCTGGATTCGCATCCGTTGCCTCATTGTCAGCTTCTTCGTTTTCGCCAGGTTGGGAAGGATTCTCAGAATCACGGTCATCTTGGTCATCCGAATGGGAGTGGCTTAGATCTTCTGCAGATACGGCTGGGGGAGTGGCGGGGAGTTCAATATTCGGTGACACGGGGCGAGACGAGTCAGGTACTCCGACAACAGTGGGTTCGCTGGCAGGTCCAACGTGCGAAGCCTGTTCTTCAATGGGATCTTGATTCTCTTCAGCAGGTGGCGTAATATGAGCAGCATTAGTCAGGACTTGGGCGGGGTTCACGGACGGATCGACTGATAGATGTAGCGATACTAAGGGAACATTCGGGTCGCCCTGAGCATCCGGATTGATATTCGGTGCTGATGAGATGGCCACTGGGGGATGGGATTCTTCTGCAACTGTATGGGATACCGTGCGTCCTTCAGGAGAAGAGATAGGGACATCCGAGTTCATGGCCTCGTCTGGGAGAGATGTGATAGGGGCCTCCATGGCCTCCGCGGCCTCATCCATCATATCATAATCAATAATTTCAGTTCCAAATGCAACCATCTCGACCTCAACGGGATGAGAGGGAGGATATTGCACAGAGTCATCCATTTTATGCTCAACAAAGGAGGTCTCGTACCAGAGGACGTCCTCCTGAGCCATATCCATATCCAAAAACGCATCTACCATAGGTTCCTCCATGGCTGTCGCCTAAGTAGTAGAAGAGCAGATGTGAGTAGGCTTTGCCTGAAAGGTGGCCGTTGTGTCGTCGGGGGGAGATGAAAAGCGTCACGAGCAAGATTCGGTGATATCCGAAATAGGAAGCCGTGATCCGTGGAGGCGTCCGTTTGAATTTGATGCTGGGCAGGAGTCCAGCCTCTATGTCATCGCCAGGGCTGCATTGGAAGCACACATCGAGACCCTCCGGCCCAGATTCTCGCTCAGCAGGCAAAATCAAAATCATTGAATTTTCTGTTATGACCCGTTACTTGCTCATCCCGCGGGCCCATGGTGAAGGGTTGTTCCTTAGCTAGTGCAAGTCGGCCCGACTCAAAGCTCTACTAATATGGATGAACTTTAATTGAATCAGACAAACTCCTGAGAGAGGATTTGTCTCAGCTGTCCACTAGTTGGAGTTCTCGTTTCCTGCGCTCCCTGCAGAATCTCAGAGGGCTATATATCTTACTTTTCCATCACATAGAACCGGGGAGTTCGTGTAGATAACTGACGACGACTAATTTGTCAAAATCACATCTGTATAATCGGTCGCCGTCTCCACACAGTGGAGTCTGCAAAGCCAAGTCATTACACTTGGGCACAGCGAGGCCTGGCTGTTGGCGTTGATAACCCTCGCACTTACCTACATAACCACAATTACACGAATGATCGATCGTCGGTCGATCCAGCACAATCTGATGTCGTCACTAGTAATGTGGCTGCGGTTCGTTGCGTTTATAACTGTAACTCGCACTCATTGGTCCCATCTCCAACGCATGGACTCCTTTAGCTTGCCTCCCATTTTACTGAAGCTCCCGCTTGGACTTCTTAGCGGTTACCCAACTCGTAGGGTGGTAAAGAGCAGGTGGTATGACAGATTGAAGGCCCCATGGGGAAGGCTGCCAAAACAGGTTTTCCCTATCATTTGGCCAATTTTGTACATGTGTTGAGTCCCACTTTTATTCCTTCCATCAAGGCGGGCTAGGGACATTCCCTGACGCTCGTACCCGCTTAGCCATGGGATATGCTTCTCATCTGGCTGCTATCACCCTAAACGACGATCAATCGAAAAGGTGTGTGCATTTTCTTCGATAGATAACTTTTCCGCCCCATTTGGCACGTCAAATCAGGGGTTTGGGACAGGATTGCCTCAAGCTTTATTATGGTGAGACCGCTCGAAGCAAACCCGACTCTTTTAACACGCGATCCGTTGCGCAGCGCAATTGGCACTTAATTTGGCCTGGACACCTTTATTTTTCGTGTATAAAAAGGTACTTGGCAACAAGCTACCACGTATCTCGACAATTAGTGACCGATTTGGCTTCATAGAAGGGATGCGCGCTGCTTGACCTCTTTGCGTTGCTAGGCACCACTTGCAAACTTACGGTGAGTAGTTTCCGAGTGCAAATGGCTTGGCATAAAGAGACTAAACATAAAAGGCTGAGCTGGCACGCATCACCAACGGAAAATCAACATGGTTTTTGGGTTTGTTCTTTCCTCAAGCAGCTAGTCTGAACGTACTGAGGCATTAATTGATGCTTCCAGCCCCTTACTGCGCGTGGCTCACGTATGCTACATACTTGAACGCAGGATACTGGTGGCTGAACAGGGGTACAAGGATATAAATCCCATGAGATTTGTCTACATATATATACCAGTCTTACGACGTCTGGCGGTTCTGGCGAAGCACCGGACAAGTCGAAAGTGTACCGTCAAGTGCATCATTCACCTGCAAAATCCATCATCTGGCTGCACAGGCACGGCGGCACGACAAGTCCAAACGTCAAATGCCGCTGCTTTGTTGACGCTTGTTAGAGGTTCCTGCAATTTTGTGTATTACGAATTTTTATCCAAAATACAGTACTAGCTTGCGAGGCTTTTGTACCCATCTCTTGGGTTGTGCATTCGTTCCCTGGCGATCGGTTGCTAACCACCGGGCGATCTCACGGATTGTGCCATGATTTTTTCAGCGCGGGATTCACCTTGGTTTCTTCTTCCATAGGATATCTAATGTCCCTTTTCGAACCGCTTGTCCTGCCAGTAAGACTTCCGTTCCCACCCACAAAAAACAGGTAGCTGCTGGACGTGAAGCCCAATGTCGTCTCCATTTCCCACACCTCTACCAAAGTGAGTTTCCCTCATAAATCCAGCTTGTTGGAACTTGAAATTTAGCATCTTGTCGCCGATAACGCAATTAGGCGACAAGTTGCCGTCTTATGGTTTCTTCAATTATCAGAGTATGTGCTTCATAGTTCCATGGTACATTAGCCTTGACTGACTTTCCCTTCAGGCCCGTGGCAAATTCGGTTATTTATCCATTCGTGAATGAGGTGATTTATTCATTGAAGCTAGATCTTCATCATCAGCCGTTAATCGTGTCTCCGCAGCTCGTAAAGTCACTTCCAATTACTGGAGGGGATCCCAAGAGAGTCGGCTACTACGTGGGGATAATTGTATGAAGTTATTCTCGTAAACTCTACAGGGTTTGATAACCTTGCTATCAGGAATCAAGCTTCTTCTTCGTCGAATGCCTGTGTGTCCTGCACTGGGGACGACTCTCGGATATTGTTGGCCGGAAACCCGTTATTCTTGTTGGTCTTTGTGGAGTGGTGATCTCGATCACAAGTTTTGGCTTCTCCAAGCCTTCGCAATGCTCGTCTTCAGCCGATGTCTCGCTGGCCTGACGAACGGGAATATTGGAGTTATCAAGAGCGCTATCGGAGAGATTTCGGACTCCACGAACGTTGCGCTTGCTTTCAAATACATGCCTCTTTGTTGGCCGCTTGGGGAAACAATAGGGTGATTGCTAACATCTCCTCGGTATTGAACAACAGGCTAATCTCCTTTCCAGCCCCCTTATCGGAGGGTATCTGTCGAATCCAGCCAACAGATACCCAGGTACGTTTGACACTGCTTTTTGGCTCGCAAATCCGTATCTGTTGCCTTGCATCGTGGCTGCTATATTCCCTGCCATCGGTGCGGTTATAACAGCCATGTTTTTCCAGGAGGTGCGCCTTGCGATCATTCGATGTGCACATGATATTAATCAATAAGTGTCCGCATCAGACGCATCCCAATCCGCACACAATCAAGGCATTGTACCGCAGCCGCAGAGCTGTGTCCGATCCTGAATCCCGTCCGTTACTCCCCCACTCCGAGTCGTTCCATGTCCATCAATCATTTCGTTCCGTCTTTACTCCGCGGGTGCTTATTACGGTCGTGAATTATTGCATGCTTGCCCTTGTCAATATCGGTTATTCCGTCTTGCAACCTCTTTTCCTCTCCACGCCGATTGAGCTTGGTGGTCTTGGTCTGGGCCCGGACGCTATTGGGAAGATTCTTGGTGCTCAGGGTATAGGTTCTGCACTGGTATTGCTGTTACTGTCATCGAAGCTTCAAGGCAAGTTTGGAGTGAAGAGGACGTTTTCACTGGCCATGGTATCCTTTCTTATCAACTTCGCGTGCTTCCCTGTGATCAATTCTGTCGCAAGATTAGCACAGGAACAGCCTGAGGTACGATGGATGGTATGGGCTGTTGTTGCGCTTCAGATTACTTGTTTCACGGTGGTGACTATTGCATATGGTGAGTTTCTCCAATCGTTCCCCCTTATTCCGGTGGCTTACAATTGTGTCGCCCACACAAAGGTTGTATATTTGTCATGATCACGAATGCCGCGCCATCGAAATCGCTTCTAGGATGCACAAATGGATTAGCTCAAACGGCTGCTTCACTGATGCGCGCAATCGGCCCAGCTGGTGCGACGGCGCTTTTTGCCGTTTCCGTTGACAAAACGTCCTTGGCGGACGGCTTGTTTACGCTGTTTTGATGGCTTTCGCGTTCATGTCAGTGGGTCTTAGTCTACTATTGGAGGATGGCCCAGTCAGTATCCACAGATGAGGTAGCAATGTGTCCTTGTCTCTATTCGGCGCCATAGAGCTAAAAGCCCACTGCTCCGATGCATGTGTTACACTACGGGGAGCCTTTTACCCACCCATTGGAGAACATGTGCTAGTTGTACAAAAATTGCAGTGTTCATAGCTTGTGAAATGGATAATCCCCCAAGAAAGATTACGATGTGAGCATTGGCTGGGCTGTCCAGATTCCAGCTTCTCGGACTGAACGTAGATACTTCGTCAATGCGTCCGCTGAAAGTGAGTGATCTTGATTGTGACCGTGATGACACTTTGGCCACGGCATGCATATCGCTACAGACAGAACATGAAGTTCCTCGGGATTGTATTTCCCACTGAAGACAAGTTGGGACACGGGCCGAGGGGGGACCGCTTAATAAGCTATAAGGTGTCACGGATGGCCACGTTGTCGAGCTCGTTCGGCCACAAGAAAATCCCCGATTCAATTCACGTTCTCAAGCATTCCCGAGCTTAATGAATCCGGAAACTGGGCGCTGTGTAAATGATGGCACGAAATGAAGTTCCATTATTCCACCCAGGCGATACAGTGTCATCACCGTTCCTATTGTCGCACGCCATGACACACAGTGTTCTTCGACACAGCCATTCATATTCTCCATATAACGGCTCCAATCATGTGTCTGGCCACCACTACGTTGGCTTTCACACTTCGTCCAGCCGGGAGATCAAGGCGGTTTGACCCTCCGCCGAGGACAATTGGGAATACCATTACGGTGGCAAGCGGACGAGATTCAGATTCCTCAGGTGTGCAATTCCGACTAGGAGCTCGAGAATCAAAAGCGGACACACCCGTCGCATTGATCTTAGCCTGAAATAGCCCGAACGTTCTCCTTGGATTGACATGGATTTACATGCAAGATGAGACGGAGGAGACTACTCGTACGAGCACATGCTGCTTTCCTTGGTGACACCGCTCCACCGGGGAACGCCTGCGATAAGAACAAGGGATATTTGCGCAACTATGAGACTAGCTGCTGCATACACCCAGGCCTTCCTCTTTAACGCTCTCACCTCAACTGCAAAGGTGCTCACGGTGCTCAAGCACCCGCAGTAACCGTCACTCAAACCCTTCAGGATTTCGCAGGAGACATGCGAGATTAAGGGATTGTCACGATGTTGAAGAGTATGAAAGGCGCCAATGAGAGCCGTGGCGAATATGTTTGCGGCAAACGTTCCTAGCGGGAATGAGGGTATCCGGGGATTAAGTGTTACCGAAAGGATATACCGGGTGAGGGTTCCTGGAAAAGCAAAGAGCAAGGCAGAAGTCGCTTGAGGTCGGAAGGCGTGTGATAAGATAAAGTAGAGTGGGATCGTTAAGATGTAGGACACTATTGATAGAGCGGATATAATGTATTGGATCAATGGGCTAAGGGGCGTGATCTTGACAGGGAGGAAAGGAAGAACCAATTTCGCGAGATGGAGACCAAGTGCAAGGGAGGAAAGTGATACCGAAAAGGTAACGAAGAGATGGGATAATCCGTCGACAGCCTAAGGATAGAACATAATTGGAGAGATTCGGAGCCAGACAAGGTAAGTCAAACCCTACATCATAAAGCCAGATTCGTCGAGCCCCAGAAGCATTCGAGAAGGCCAAGAACATATCTAAGTTCCAAGATGAGAACGTTGTCAATGACCCGCAAAAACCTAACAGGGGGGATCGTTCCTGTTCATCTTGGTGGACAGACACGAGATATTAACCAACCAGTTGTGATAGCAGTGTACAACGATGGGGAACTATGAAACACAATAATCTGAGCATCATTCATTCGTAACTGTGTATCTATCGATGCGTGCACGTACAATTGGGTTATCGGTTCGCGAAGACCAACTGCGAATCCCATGACCAGGCAGCCGGTGGCTTGCACCCAAGCCAGTGGGAAGACGCTTTGTCCTTCGTAGGAAGTCAAGGCGTCGAGACCTAGCCTTGCAAGTGTGCCAAGCATTGATGAAAGCGCGAGAATGCACAATATAGCTGGCGAGAAGGGATATAACTTTGGTGGTACTGTTGCCGTTTGCGGCGATGGCGCATCTGGTGTGTTCGCCTCATGTACTTGAACATTTGCCGTTAACTCATGCCCTGCTACCTTGCGCTTCTGCGTGTCCATCCGAAGTGTCGATCGAGGCGATTATTCGTTGAGTTCTCACGCCTACAAGGCTCACTCGGTCAGAGCATCAAATGAGTTCTTCCTTGTAGGAGGTCCTCCAACCAGAGTCCTTTTGACCCATATGCCTTACCCACAATCACACGCCATTCTTGATGTAAAATGTTTCTCTCTATATACCATCATACATAAGTTCAGAAACCCCAGCTGAACGCGATTGTAGTAATGACTCCTACAACGATAATATCACACCCTGCCTTAGAATTCACATCCCTGCTCAGATGGTCCTATGTCTAGCATGCCATCGTACAGTACCAGTAAGTGCCTTCCAACCATCTGGAGCAGCGTGTACTATAATCCATCTTCATAGACTTTATAACGACCAACGACACACGGTTACATTTAATGAATGCCAACTGATATCCTTGGGGCCAGTCCAGGAGAATTATTGGGCATGCATGAGCGTAACTTTGAGTCTACTATGGAATGAGTTGTCTGCCGGTTTGCAGCAACTTCTGGGCACCATATCAAGGAGGTTTGGCCCATTTGATTCACAAGCAAGTCCTGAGCGAAGTCCAGAGGATTCCATTTCCAGCTCCGCTAATCCACAGTATGGACCTACGCCACTACGACAGACACTGGCGAGCCATTTGTAGTCATGTATGGATGATGCGCTAACGCTACCGGAAGCCGAGCCAGCCATCTGCGAAACAATCCACGATGTTCCTAACTTAAACTCATGTTCTAATGATGAGAACCTTTGAAACGGCCGACGACGCCTCTGACCTCAATTTGTGTCCCAACAATAAGGATTTGGGGGACATCTCCGCGTATCTTGACGATAAGCAGCAACGATGAGAATCCTCATGAGACAGTCTACGATTTTAGACTCATCTCTCGTGATGGTGACTCGGCGCAAAATGGAGCTGTATAGTTCTGACGGCATCTCCCGTGATTCAACTCTCATTTCTTCCGAACTCCAAGTCTCAACATCTCGACAATGGTCCGCACAAGTCAGTGCACATTCCGAGTAATAAGTATGGTCTTTGGCTGATGATGATAATCCATCTGTCATGTAGATCTTATCGTCGGGGTTAACAAAGGGCATGCCACCACCCCCATCCCGAAGAAGTCAAAGCCTGCCAGGAGTCGTTCCGAGAGGGCTAAACTTGTTAACTCTATTACCCGCGAAGTTTGTGGATTCTCTCCTTATGAACGTCGTGTGATGGAGTTGTTGCGAATCAGCAAGGTCAGCAGAACGGCAATGTGGTGCGAAAAATTCGCCAATACCAATCACTCTTTGCTGTTTTATAGGATAAGAAGGCGAAAAAGCTGGCAAAGAAGAGGGTATGTCTCCAGCTCTGTTGAATGTTCCACCTGTTCGCCGTTAACACAACTGACACTCTAATACATGGATTCTGATAGCTCGGGACGCTCGCTCGTGCCAAGAGAAAACTTGACGAACTTTCCAACATCATTACCGAGGCTCGTCGTACGCATTAAAACGCGAGTAAGGGCGGATTTTACGTTGTATTCATTGAATCCTTCCCATTTCACCGATTCCAATGACTTTGCACCCCATTCGTCCCTCCTCATGCCTCTCCCTCGCATTCGGTGTCCCCACGGAGCACAATAGTAGCCTGTCCTTATGTACTTTGCATGCTATGCTATGCCTCACCAATGAACTTGCTATATCAAGCGCTCGCAACTAATTAGTTCTGCGGTTAAGGATGTGATTACCGAATGGAGACATTCCCCAAGCATCCTCTATGACACAGAATCGGGATTTCTACCTATCCTCCTGGGCTGGAGGTTGAGCCTGAAATTGGGCAAGATGCTTGATTCCGGAAATTTCCTTCCCAGGCAAATCGCGCTTGGCATCTGCCCGCTGCTAGTTGCCTGCATGAGTTTCCTTGATCTGGACATACGGCCAGGGCAAGGTGTAGGGATCTTCGAGTTAGGTACACTGTTCGTTTCAATTTGGTCGCGTATCCCAGAGCCTGATTCGCAGTCGCAACCTTTACAGGGGCCTCTTTATGGACCGTCCTCGATCTCTTGCGAGAGGATAGGACACGCTACCCACATGTCGACGTGAAGTTTGACACCACGCAGCCTGCCATATCTCCCATATTGCTTCATTTGAGGCCGCATATTGATTTGTTGTTCTCGCCGCGCGCCCAGCGCCTGCATACGATCTCAATTCGTCGCCTTCGACACCTTCCCAACAGCTCTTCTCCAGCAAACCTAACACTCAGATATTCTCCTCATGGACGTTCCGAAAGCCCTGTAAATCGTGCGGATTCACCGGGTGGTGGTGGATCACACGAATCCTTGATATTATCCTCACCAACCACAGTCCTTCGTAAATCGGGCGTGAACAAAATATTTGGTCCAACATATCAAGGCGACACACTTTCCTTCCCCGGTATCTGGTTCTCATTTGACGAGGATGGTGGCTCACCACTACCATACTCTCATCTACACCATCCCTCTTCACCTCCCTTAGGTGCTATGTCAACGACACCTCCTTCTGGAAAAGGGTCTGTAGATAGAAACGCCGAGGTGAAACGAGTCGCCGTTTGCCAGAGAGTAAAGGACGCGTACGATGCCCTTGGTGAAGTTTTGGAATGTCCGTCCATGGAAGGGGAGGTACGCACTGTCATAGCTGAGGTGAGCCGCGGTGGTTTTGCGCCTCCATGCCAGAGCATTAACATTTCTATGATAGCCACGGAAAGGGGTGGCACTTTACTTCCATAGCATTTCTCAGGATCCACCTCCGTCCGTCCATATTCGAATTGGACACACAACCTCAGAAGACCTCATATGCGATCTTGGGTCACCGTTACGCGTTTTCTACAAGGAGGATGACAGGATGACAATCCATTCCGGTAAAGGGCTACAAGAGCCTGATGAAGCATGTGTGTCGAACCAACCCTATCACCTGCACAGTCCCTAACGCCTTGGTAAATTTGCAGATTTCTACAACTATTTCCAGTATGGGATGGATGTTCTGTTGTCAGGGACATCTCATAAAGTGCGCAAGATCATATTGCACTCAAATCTTGTATGTATAAGCCCTTCTCACTCGAATGCGGGTGCATTGTACCGAACATGCTTGGACATCTAGCCTGGCTCATTCCTGTTTCAACGCTATAAACGATGTCCCTGGGAAATACATGTCAATGGTTCAGATCCAGACAGAGGTATGTCGTACTTTCCCCAACGTTGTCGGAAAAAGCAATGGCAAAACAATTATGTTTCAGCGCCAAACATAGCACGGTTAGGGTCCCGGGTAAGCATCAGCTCGATGATCTGCTCCAGCACTTATGTATACACATCACTTGTTTAGATAGACACTGTGGGGCCATTGCTACAAACCTCTAGCCATCAAGAACCCCCATCGATGGTGCTTGATCGAGCAGCGGATGTCCCTAACGGTCCGACACTTCCAAGCGGGCTCACGAGTTGAGTTGTGTGCTTGCAAAATCTTGGTATTCCCCCCATCCTAATTGCCAGATTGAACAGAATTACTAGGCTTCGACGGTGTCGTGATGGAAGTAACTGACTTAGGGGACATCCTAAGTGTTATGCTTTTTTGATAAAGTATCGAAGGATGATGGCTGTCATTGCGCTCAAGTGCCTTTGGACGCACCACGAGCGTCAGATACATCACCTTGACTCTCATCAACCGGTATTCATGGCAGTCACACGACAGGGTGCACTCTGACGAATACATTACAGCACCGTGAGCTTCGGAAATGGTGGGCTGCTATGAAACGCGTAAATAGCTGACGAGGACGGTAATCAATATCACTCGTATTAAGTAATTGTATATGGGTTTACAATTTAATGTATACGCTACAAAAACACCACGATGTTGGACATTCCACGAACGGGCCACACCGTAACGTCGCACGTTATAGTGGGATAAGTCAATTTAGGAGTAGTGTCAGGAGGTAGTTGAGGACTATGAAGCAGCACACTTACATAGAGTTTATATTGTGGGCCCGAGTTAGGAACGTAAGTCCATGGCATTGATCGTGACGAGAGTGGTTTGCAGAGAATTAAAACCAGAATGCGCTTTCAATGCTTGGAAGAGACCTCTGCTCTCAGATACCTTCCAGGCACCAGCCCAACTGTATCTCCAGTTTGTTTATCTCCGCCATCCGCAAGCTCTGTCGACCCCAATTTCTCCGATCCCTTCAGGGTTCCACTGCAAAGGCTGCCTACCACAGCGAAACGGATACTCTCTGGGTCGACTTCAACACCATGTGACCGGGGTGAATGATGAGATAACGATCGGAATAGGCGGCGTGGACTGGATGTACTGCTTGGTGATGGAGAGGCGGAGGTGGTGCGCCGCAGAAGATGGATGAGCTTGCCCTTGAGCTGCCGAACCGTACCATCGGGAGACCACGCTGCAATAAAGAACAAATTATTTTTGGTGTCCACATGATTTCGTAAGGATCAGACGTACGAAAGAGAGCGCGATGGATAGTATTTCCATGGTGAGTCAGCAGAGCGAGCAAGATGGGTGCGTGCGACTTGATGAGGTACACACGATGCAAAAATGGATTGCTGCTCGGCTGTGGTGGTGGGCACTTCCCATTTAATGGAGTTGACCCGGATCCACTGGGAGAAGTTGGAAAATCAGATGCGGGTTTGAGTAGAGGGGAGGGTAGGATCAAGTAAGGGTCAGTTGTGGGAGGAGTCGCAGCACAATGGTTCCTGGCTCAGGGCGTATTGTCTGCGAAACGAGTTCTGGTGTATCTGTCCAACTTCGCAGTGTATTTACATTTGTACGACCGAGAAGACCTGACCGATGCCGGGAAGGGTCAGAATGATCATTTAGAAGAGAAGCGGAGTGGGGGGACACACCGGCCTGACCGATCAACACGCCACTTTCGGTGACTTCAGGTATGAAATGAACCTCGACTTCTCCAGGAAGATCACTGGCGTCTCCACTCAATTGAGCGGTCCCCACCGGTAAAGAAGGACTTAACAAGACTTCATCAGGAGGATAATCGGACAAGAGCTTTGGTTGGGGTTTGGGCGTAGCCTGCGCCGCCCGAGTCACTTGAGCGGGGCAACCCTCAGCATCAGACCGAATTTCCGAGCCGTACTCTGCTCTTATGCTCAGATCTGAAGAAGGTGGGCGATAAAAAGACTTTTTATGTGGGTCGCCACCTGCGAAACACGAGCTCGTCGTGCTGCTAGGTGTTGCAGAAGAAACTACGGAAGCAGTGCTCCAGCTACGGGACTTCCTACTAACCCTAAAACATTCCCCCAGTACGTCCTGCAAAGATCATGTGCCGAAAGCAAAAATAGTTCAAAAATAGAAAATCTACAAAACCCCCTGAGATGAGCGCAAAAGGAAATATACACGTGATCAGGGCCGAACAAAAAATGATGGTCCATTGCCTACATGTGACGTTATTATGTAATAATTATTCATTTCACGTCGTCCCCTCCCTGTCATTCCCCAACCCAACCCAATGACAAAACCAAGATTATTAATTACCATCACAACGCTTGTGTATTGTAGAACATGCTCGGCATCGGGTTTGTTTAGTGTAGTTAGTGTAGCATTGCTTATCGCTATTATATATACATTGAAGTCATCCTTGTAACTCTGGCAAAAAAAACCCCACCAAGAATGAATCGAACCCACACAAGCAGAGGGGTCTATAAACAGCGCTATAACCCACTAGACCAAGTAGACCTCACATGTACTCGGCCTTAAAAGTAATATATAAAGGGTTAATTTTAGCCACGGATCCGGGGTTGATCACGAAGTCAAAAGCAGCTGCCCAATGTACACATTGATCACCCCTTTTGGAAGTTTTCATCTTAAAAGTTTTCTAAGGGAGAAACAAAAAAAAGAAAAGAGACAGTATCACATAGGATTTGAACCAGAACCCTCTAAACACAGAATTGAAGAGAAGACGGCGATAGCCGCTAAGCCAAACCACCATCACTGGAAACCTCAAACCAATTCATCTATATGAATAGTTATTCCGGCCTCAGCAATCTTCATCCACTATTTTCTTCTTACTGTATGCAACTTTCTTTTCCCTTCCCTTAAATGCCCCAAGGCGCCCGGGCACCTGCCCGTGCGTCTTCACGCTTGCATCCTATTCATTTCCTTCATGTCGCAATGTTGTAATTGGCGGATTCAAAAAATATCATCATTTTCATATTCGTCAAACACGTGATTTTTTGCAGGATGTACTGGGGGAATGTTTTAGGTTTGCTGGACTTCCTTTTCCAATTCACGGTGGAACCCTCGCGTATAGAACGGGCCTCTGGATTCAGTGACACAGGAGTTATTGCGCTTGGAGGCTGCGGTATAAGTTCGGGAATGCTCGATGCAGGCAGGCTTATTTCTTGGGGCCCGACGTCCCCTTCGGTGTCAACCGTCGACAGCTGAACGAACAAAATGTACATGACGAGAAATTTATCAAGAGGCTGGATTGACTTGCACTCAGCTTCTTCGCGAGTTTCTTCAGCAAATACTGCTGGGCTTTGAGTTGACGAACGATATCTCCGTTCACCGATTTCAATCTTGAAAGTTCTTCCTCATTTTGTTTGCTAACAGCCACTTGAGCTCGATTGTGGGCCGCTTGATTGTTCCCGACATCGATGAGTTCTCTTAGCTATTGAGAATGATAAATGAGCATACAGAAACATCACGGGATGCCTCCTTACGTTGAAAAGGGAAATCAGGTCAGATATACGACGGTGGCATCCTTCTAAAATAACATTGTCTCCATCCGATTGAAGATACGCCTAGAAAGGCTCGTGTAGGTTGGTGCAGAAGTCCAACCAGCGAAACCATAAGTATTACCTGCATCCAGCTTCGAGTCCCAACTTGAACAATGACGATAGCTATATGCTCAAAGGCTCTAAACCCAGAAGGCAATAAAGTCGGCTCTGGTGAAATACGCACACTCCACGAACGCTTACTCTTGTAACCTCTCAATTCTGTCTCGGTCGTAAATATCTTCACCCCTTTGGTCCACAACTTGCTGAAGCATCGCTACGAGTGACTCGCACCTCTCAACAAGCTTGTGACATCTATCCCTGTTTGTCTTGACCAGGTAATAAGCATTTAGGACTAGCTGAATAGAGCTGCCTGCAACAGAAACCAGACTACTCATCGTATAGTTAGACGGCCTTCTGGTTGGGAAGAAAGGAGGCAGAAGTCGCAGCGCCGTGAACTAGGGGTAGCTCGAATTGAATGGCAATCTCCTTTCTTTCGATGGCCATTAGCAATAGGTGTCAACCTGAACGGCTGAGTCCCCGTCGCAAGCTAGTGCCTCACGGCACCCTTATGCACTGTTCTCCAACACCACCCGCAGTAGCTATGGAATCCAACATCGATGCAGTATCTCTTGCTCCTCGAGTCCCTCCCAATCCTAGCCTGAGTCCCAAGCTACCCCTCACTCCGGGAGCTGATAGCTCCTTACAAAACCGGCCCGGTTCATCTACCAGCTGCGTCCAGGAAGACCCGTCTATACTTCTCAATACTGTACTGGCCCCCTCGAAATGAGATGAGAATGTGTTCTCGAAGATCTATCTCACGCGTGTCAAGTCCCATTGAAACTTTCCTATCCTTGACCTTGCCCCAGTATGATCAGTCCAAACTTGTTGACATCGAGAGGGAGCTTCGCTCTCTGACGAGATTAACCCTGTCATTGGTCTCGTCTCTCTCCCCTCTTAAAGGATTCTGAGAAAAGGGGAAAGGAAAAGGAAAAGGAAAAGAACTATCGGAAAAAGTGGCTTATCAACCATTTTTCGAGAGGTCGCTAAGCCCACCCCGATCCGAGGCGAGGCCATGGCTGTTCAGGAGGGGAACCGCGCCCCTGATGGTCAAAGAGCCAATGCAACTCAACCAGATGGATTCTTGTAACTAGGGAACACTGGCACAACCCGCTGCTCTTCTCGCCTTGTTATCAACGTTCCCATCGGCTGAGACCCTGCCTGGGCTTCCCATTCCTCAAGCAATCGCATCGCGAACTGTGAATTCAGAACAACCTAATTTACACTGCAGTGCGCGGTAGCGAAAGCATAGTTAGAGATTGCGCTGGAGGATGTATTTTTCCTACACAGTTATATTTGAGAGAAGTTGCATGCAGAAGAAAAGTCACTTTATCGCTATCGACCCGACATTTAGGCCGAACTTGCGCCCAACCTGTTTCTCAACGTCGTAACTTGGCCAATGAAATACACAATGGTTAGACGACCATTGGAAGGTCCCATGTCATCAGCCATGATACCAACGTTCTCTACCGTTCATATGGGGACTGATACACTCAATCTCCAATGAAAGGAAATGCGGTCGAAGACGCTGTCGCCTATGTATCATGTATGAAATGAGTTACCGAAAAGAATTTCTGCATTTGCATGCTGTCTTTTGCTTGTTGCATACTTTGCAGACATTACATACTTTGCACGCTTCACACACTGTGGCAACTTCCCATAGTTCCCACACTTTCCATTTTCAATAACAAATAAATTGCTTCCGATCCAAGTCACATGTGGGTTCAATACAGAAAGTCACATGCTACAGAGTGTGGCTATTCCGCGAAATGAGATGAGTTCTCAGCTTCAGCTGACAGATGGGACCCTCGGATTTCGGACAATGTGACCTGTGCTCAACACTGAAACACAAGTCCAATCACCTTTTCCGGAATTTGTAGTATGGCTGTGCTCCATCACTATCTGGCTATTAATTTCTTCAAATCTCCCCAACCCAGAAAAAAATTAGTTAACCCCACCCAACATTAACCTGGGAACTATGGGAAGTTGCCACAGTGTGTGAAGCGTGCAAAGTATGTAATGTCTGCAAAGTATGCAACAAGCAAAAGACAACATGCAAATGCAGAAATTCTTTTCGGTAACTCATTTCATAATCATGTCAGGCTCTTTGCTCATCGCCCCGACGCAGTGGACGGACCTCACATTATTGGCGATTGACGCTACTACGGTAGAGAACGTCGGTATCATGGCTGATGACATGGAACCTTCCAGTGGTCGTAGTTTTAAAGTGAGCAGTGTCGACTTTGCTTTTGCCTTCTGCAATTTCTCTCAAATATGACTGTGCATAGGGCAATTGAGTCGTGGGGGAAAAGGGGTAGGGCTCGCTACGGAGTATGGCCGACCAATGAGGGAGATGAATTGAAGGCAACGATCGAAAGTTTGGCAGGTAATCGGCGTGTCGCGTAATTACGTAAGTTTCTGACGACGAAATTACGTATTTCACTTTTTTCTCACGTACTGCTGCTGCCATGAAGTAGGCAGGACTCCAGCCTCTATAACTTCGTAACATTAGATAGACCACGATGATGGCAATCTGACTTTCTGACTTGTTACCCTGCAGTTGCATGACTACGCAACAGTATTCGTGCGGCTACCCTTGATGTATTCTACAACGAGTAAACGGACGGGATGCGTCGCGTCGGTGTTGTCGCGTCATCCTGTTTGTGACCCACGTTGCCTAACGTCAGTATCACCATATCCCTCCCACTGTTTTCCGCCCCATTCTACTTTGGTTATTTGGCCACTTATGAACTCTTCTAGTCCACTGGCTTGTTCTCCAGCACTTCCCATAGCATTGCAGTGAATAGCGTGAGTGAATCCTTGAAATCGCATACCAAATGCACATTGTAAATTCTGCTGCCTGATGATAGGTACATCAAGTTCTTGGTGCGATGCGTAAGGTGTCTTGCACCCGGGTGCAGGTCTCACGCGAACACTCTAGCACGATACAAAACAAGCCACATATAAGTTTTGTTCCGCATCGTTAGAAATGCAGCCCCGATTCTCATTTTAGCTCAGGCTGGCGACCCCTTATGGCCTCCCTTGCCGCCTTCGCCCAATCTGGAACCTCCCCATCGGCCCAGTTTGGGAGCGGTCTCTCCTCGCCACTCTTCGTCCTCGAGCTCCCCGCCAATGACTTGGCCTCCTTATTAGGTGGTGCATCGCAGAGGCTTCCAACAACACCTGCAATGGCCCGAATCCGTTCCATTTCGGAAGCAAACTCGGGCACGATATCATTACGGCTCTGAGATGTTCCAGTGCGAATACTGTATCGGCTTCCGAATATGATATGCCGGCCGATGCGTGTAGGGTCGACAGGGTAGAGGTCTGGGTGTTGACTTGGAGACGGGGACCATGAAGAAGAGGACGGAGAGAGGAAGAATTGAGCAATAATGACCTCTTTAACGAAGCGACTTTCTGGATTGTTAAATGTGACAAAATTCATTGCCTTAAAAAACACCATCAAATAATAGCCTAGATAGAGCAGAGACCACGAACATTGAAATCTTCTTGAACACACTCTGATGGCATTATCGCATACCCATTTCTCCACCCTCCATCTCCCGCTGAGGCAAATTGAAGTTGTCTCGATTGCAATGTCCAAAGGACTTGCAATGCCCCCCATTCTTCATCTAGGTGACCATCTTCAGCTTCCTCAAAGGATGATCCGACATGCCTGGTCCGAATAACCCTGTGCTCTTCTCCCCCATCCCGCTCTCAATATGTCCGTCCCTGAGGAGGAGCGGGCGGACGATGTTAGGGCCACCAAATCCGGTATCGACGAGGTAGAGCGAACTAGAGCTGTCAAGGTGAGTGGGTAGTGAGACTATGAGAGCCATGTGGTTCGGCTCTCTCATCTGGTCATTTTGTATGTAAACGCGGGCGGCGCATGGAAAGCTATGGAGAGTGTGTTCGATCTCGTGCTTGAGCAGAAAAAAATGATAGACTAACGTGTTATATCCCAGGGCACGAAGGATATGAAGTAGCACTGTGCCGTGTTGCATGCAATAACCCCCCTTCCCCAGGGATACGAACCGATGGAATGCACCTTTCGGAGACACGTCCACGGCATGTTGTGACTCATCTAGCGATTCCCGCGGAAGTATTTAGATGAATTCACGGGCAACTCGGTTCTCTGGCGGGACATACAGTGAATGGAGGTGTTCTCAAACGGGATGCTAGTTAGATGATAGAGCATGATTCGACTCAGAGTTCCAAGCGTAGGCTCTGGAAGGGGAGAGTCGGGAGAGAATGGGCTCCCATCTGTCACTTGGAAGGAAATCCGGAGAAGGTACTGCTTTACTTCATCTGGGGAGTATTCCGATCGCTGCGATTTTATTCTCAGAGGCATCCCTTAAGGCTCAGGATCGAGTTTGGTAGGCGAGGCGATCACGATTAGAAGCCAAGGGCAGTTAGTGGCAGTGCGCTTGTTGTAACCGTTGAACCAGAGACGATGGGACGCCACATATAGGCCGCGGGGACCCAGACAACAAGACAGAGAGCAACAGCAGCGATGTGAAGCTCGACAACTAACCGGGCGACGAAAAACCCAGGGATCCCACAGGCCCAATTACATCGACCAGGACGCCCTATCATGTGCGCGACCGGCAGTAACGATAATATTATTATTGTTACTAACAAGCCAGGTAGTCTGTTACAACGGTCAGAGCCTACCAGCACGTGACAACGGGAAGTGCTTTGTCGTAAGTATTAGTCAAGTACCGTAACAACGATAAACGGTGAGAACAGAAGTATGCGGCCTGATCAATCGCCGTCAATAAGCGGCCAAAATACGACTCATTTCCGACAAGGTTGGGTGTGTAGGTGGGAAGTAGGAAGGCAGTAGGTGTTGGTCATTTGCCAACATTCCGGCAATCCCCATTTAGTATGAGGTGTTTTGATTGTGGACAATCGACAACATTGATGCGACCTAATACCTGTATTTGCTTCTAGTTAGGAACGCTCCTTTCCCTTTCTCAACCGCACACTCTCCCCACCCATCTCCTTCCTTACAGTTGCTGACGACTTCTCTCTTGTCCTCTCTATCCCTCTCCAGAAAGCTGCGCGATCTTGACATTCCCATCTGCACATCAAACAATAATATTCTCAAACTGGATAGAAGTAGCATAGCTTGCACTCCCATCACCAAGCCTTGAGCCGGCTTAATCGTACGCCTGTTCCCCTGTACGCTGAGCACCCAATTTTTACGTGCTGTCTAGCAGCGATTCAGACCTAGCGGACACTAAATGCTACTTGCAGACATGCCTGGAGGAGATATCATGATGCTTCGTGGCAACCGTGGGACGGACGTCCATGACCGACGGCCTGGGCTTGACAAACGTGCTGACTCCACCGCTAGCATTGGTGGGATTGGGTCATTAAACATCAGCAGCCCCACCTCTACGTTCACCAATCTCCTCGTCGACAGCTCGGCAGGGACCTCATCAAAAACTATTACCTCTCCCTCGGATACCGCCACTGCTAACCAAGGCTCTTCCACATCCGCGACATCCAGGACTTCCAGGACTTCCAACCCTGCACCCTCCACAGCTACTCCGGGAAAGAGTATTTCGGACACCTCGCCATCCTGGATCTCCGAGCACAAACTAACGCTGGCTGGCATCATCGCGGCCTTCCTGGCACTCGCCATTGCCATTGCGTTTGTAATCATCACTCTTTGTCGTCGAGCGAAGAGGCGACGGACGGAGGAAGAAAAGGCCCGACAGAGTTTTTTCGCTGGCGCAGAGAGTACCCTATATACAGGGACAGCTAAAACCAAAAAAGCGTTATCCCGCGGCAACAGTGTGAATACACCCTCCGCCCTCGAGATGAGCAGAAGAGGAAGTGGGAAACGGCGTTGGGGTGGGCTTGGGAGTACGGAGGGTGTTGATGAACGCTCTCGGGGAATTGGGGGCACGTTCGGGTTCCCCGTACCCAGTGCCGGAAACCCTGGCCCCCAAGGGAAGTTTGCCGTTTCGGCTGGGGAACCCAGTTTGAAGTCGAACCGCTCGGTGGCCGCAGAGGGTTCCAGCTTCACAGGGGTCGACAGACCACCCAGCATCGCGCCAAGTATCCCCCCTCCCCCAACGTCATCCCCATTCATGTTCCTCACAGAAGCGTTCAAAGCGACTTCCGATGAATCCGTTGATTACTTCGAGCCAAGCGCAAGCATACGGCGGGACTTGGAGCCGCCTACTTTCACCCGGTTGCGTCCTGGACCCGAACACTCGCCACAGAGCGAGTCCATCATTGTAGGGGCCTCAGGGTTCGGCAGTGATTCCATTTCATCAAATGGGACACCTGTACGATCATATGCCCCAAGCGCCAGATCGGATGTGGCCCTGATAGAAGGGACAGCTTTCCCCCGTCCACCGCCATCTCCTCAAACTAATCACATGTCAACACACACTACCCTTTATTCCCCAACTTCACCACAACGTCCTTCTTTCGATACCACCTCCACCTCCACCAAATCCGCCCCCCAAACCTTGAAATCATCCTCGTCGCTCGTACATAAGTCCTCGAAAACAGAGAGAAAGCGAAATATACGGGCGCTGGAAAATCTTATTGCCGCGCTGGACGACGCGGCGAGTGAAGGTGGGAGCATCAGTCTCACCGATGCGTCTTTGGGTCAGCCGCCCGTGGAACAAGCACTGGGGTAAAGTCGCCCGGTGGTACGCGCCTTCCAGATGCGAGCATGTGGAAGGCTGCGCTGGGACCTCCTGGCCTTCGTACCGATTAACCAGACGTTGTCGGTCACCAAGGATTCATTCTTGTCTAGATTCTTGCTCTTCCACAATTTCGTGTGTAATGTATTTTGCTTTATCTTGTTTTTATTCCTTTCCTTTTATTCAGTTCAAGGCTGCCCTTACCCGTTCATTCCTTATCTTCGAGAAGCTCCTCGAATCCTTTCTAACACACGCACCTCTACGTCCGAATTCACTAATGGCTGGCTCGCCACGTCTCCCCTCGCTATTTCCCGCAACCTCCGCAACCCCCTTATATTCGTAGTCTGAATTTCGTATTTACTCGTTCCACATTCGAGCATCTCGTTGTACAGCAGTCAGCTTCTTGCCCTTGTAAATCGATTTGCAACGTCTTACACCATCTGGATTTCTTTCTTGGTTGGACAGAATCCTACGAAATGAGCCAATCGTGAGATCGGGATCGGCCGGCTAGCGTCTGGTTTCGTCATCGCGCACCCAGTTTCAGAGGAAACGCGACTTCTCCACTTGAGATGTCTTTAGCCGCAACGCTAAAGCAAGGGCTCAAGATTAAGACCGGTTCATTAAAGCGGTATGCCCAGACTTGCATTACATATTGTTGCATCTTTCATCTCCCTAGGCTATCGAAAGAACATAAATCCTATGCGCAGGAGGTCATTGATCACAAGGCGAAATTGGACAAGTCCATCAAAGAAAATGGGGAAGAATGGGATATCAAGAACGCGGTACGGAACTCCAGTTCACCACTTTGATGAATTAAATCCATAAAAATTGCATGGGTTTTAGAGGAACTTGGTCATTGAATCTGAAAAGATGACGGCCCATGTGCAAAAGGCGGTGTTAAGGACGTATAATGAATTGAAAGAGGCCGTGGTATGTCGTTGCATCTGTTTTCTTTGCTTATACCGTTTCCGAATTCATCCAAATCCAATGGCAGGAAGTGGCAGATGCAGATGAATCCATCGCGGAGAATGACCCTGATCTTATCGCAGCTAAAGCAACACTCGACAGTGTCACCATCCCGCAAGGCGAGGAATAGACTTGTTGGCCTCGCCCCAATGCGATGATTTGCCACTGGGAGTGGGCAATTACCCCTAGCTTTAGTAAACCGCCTACGGTCATGCTATAAATGTTCCATTGAAACATCATCTTTCCAGTGATCACCGTTTGTCGCGTCATTTGGTTTGTGAGACAAGTATGACGCATTCAGCTTTGCAAGCGACTCAGCTATCCCCCTCCATGCGTCCCTCTCTACACGCGCCTCCTGAAGATTACTTGGTGGAGTACGATCATTGGCTTTTGAAGCGGTGATAGTGGTAGGAAGGACGGCAGAACTCGACGCTCCACCGGCCTCGAACTGAGCTGCAGCCGAAGCAAGAGTAGAAGGGGTGATCCGCCGCTCACGGATATGAGCTATTGCCCGACGAAGACCAATTTGTATCGACTACAGGGGATATTGCAAGTAAGACGATGATTATGGGGATGATGGTAAGGAAGGGCGCACGTCTAAAGTCTTAAAATATGCAGAGGCTTCTTGAATGAAGCGTTCGGAACGTTCCTCCCCAGTGGGGAGAAGAACATTACTATCAACATCGCTAGGCTGAACGGTTCTCAAGAGTTGAAGGGACGCCGCGGCATGGCGCATGAGTGTCGCAACATCCTAACCAAACTTTCAGCACACGCGGTCCTGGGAGATAAAATACCACTTCATTCTACCTTCTCTACTTTTATGAGAGCCTCAATCTGCTGGGCACTGGCGCTTGATTTCCAAAGGTCATCGTCCATGAACGCAGTCACGTGCAACTATTCAACTATTACATCCTCGATCGTGGAGTTCTATGATTAACTACGTTCTGCTCGTGTCAAGACAAGGTGAGGTTTTATGATGTTTGAAGACACCTCGTTACCTTCACCTGTATTTCTCACAGGCAAAGTACGGCTTGCCAAATGGTTCCTAACTCTTCCGCCAAAGCAGAAGACCAAAATCGTGAAAGACGTGACACAGCTCGTTCTAGCGCGTCGAACACGAATGTGTAACTTCTTGGAGTACAAAGGAAAGTTCACTTCCCCCTCTCCGTCTATGTAGATAAGTTAACGCACTTTGTGTGAACTTTTCACAGATACCAAAGTAGTGTATCGCCGATACGCTTCTTTGTTTTTCATCTGTGGGATAGGACCTAACGATAATGAGCTCGTAACGCTTGAAATTATACATCGCTATGTTGAAGTATTGGACAGATACTTTGGCAATGTGAGTTACACTGACAGCCCCACTAAACGACACTGATCACCTCACGGTTCAAACTGTCAGGTATGCGAGTTAGATCTGTAGGTAGCCCACTCTCAATTACGATTTCGCATTGGTGGATGTATTCTCCCCCCCAGGATATTTAACTTCCAGAAAGCCTACGCTGTCAGTTCGTTCATTGAGCGCTTGAAGTTACCTGCTTGAATGTTTCGGTTTTTAGATTTTGGATGAAGTGATCATAACCGGGGAACTGCAGGAGTCCTCGAAGAAATCTGTACTCCGGGTGGTAAGTAGAGATGCTTTCACACTATGCATTTTCCCCATTATTGTGGCGAAACCATTATGTAGGTCGCGCAGTCCGACGCAATTGAGGACACAGAAAACAGTGAGGATACATTAGCCCGCATCGGGTCGCGCGTCCTCTAAGTTTATTCTTACCCGCCTCTGCTCTTGTCGTACACTACAATCCAAACTAATGCAAATGCCCTTATGTGTCACAAAATTTGGCGTAGTCATTGAAGGGATGATGGACGTTGGGTTCTGATGGCAATAACACTATTGTTCCAGGCCAAACCAAGGAATTTGTCACATACACATGTTATTGCCGAGGTTAATATCGTAGCGATCCTGTAAACGGTCATCGAATATACGCCATGACTAAGACGACTTGTCAATCCTCATCCTCGTCATCGGAGCGTTCATCCGCGAGCTTCTTCTGGAAGAGTGCCCTGAAGAGGACGCGCCAAATGAGGAAGTACCAGAAAATGTTCACTGGTTCAAATAGTCAGCATCGAAGGAGTTGGCGGAAAGGAAAGCATACCTAGTTGAAGTAGAAGGATAGGGATGAAGATCTGATATTTCATCCTAATTGAAAAGAGTTAACTTGGTGATGTAGGAGGGAGATGCCTGAAGGACTTACCACCACACCATCCAGACACCGTCCCTTGGTGTGAAACGCTTGGCTTGGTCTCTGGAGATTGATTGATAAAACTAGACTTGAGATGAAATGAAAGAAGCGCTTACGGTATCAGATCAAATTGCGTCCAGACAGACCAGAGAATTATGATATTGAGGTAGTGGCGTAGATAGCTGCATGGGCACAGATGGGTGGCGAAACGTTAGATGAAGCCTCGCTCACTTACCTCCACACACAAATGAAGAAGGCAAAGATGACATTGGTAGTTTTCTCCAGCCGGAGATAGTTGCAAACCTTGGAAATCTGCACTCCCATAAATCGCGGAATACGATAATAACAGGCTTTACGTACCGCCAGAAATATGTCAGAGACGTCCATGGTGAGGAAAACTGAGCGAAGGGTTAGTCAAGGCATTCCCACCATTTACGCTGCTGACGTGCCTGCATTTCCGATCCAGGTTAAGTTAATTGCATAGCTCCATCTAATGTATAGTTAGGATGTGCTTGGACGAGTGAGATATCATTTTGCAGACCCGACAAGCCATATGGTAACGAAATGATGAATGACTAGCTCTGCGAAGTCTTTGCGAGGCTTCTCCAGTCTTAGGATGAGGACAAAAAGCTGCTGTACCCAATAGGATAGTTGCATTAAATAATATCGCTTTAGCAGAGGTGTCATCCGCCAGTGAGGGTATTCTGGCATTTTAGTGAGATTTGATGCGAGTGATATTGCAGGCAACTGGGACTGTACCGAGCCAGAAGTGCTCCGTTCGATACCACCATGTCGGTAATTGGGACATAACATACTGCGAATTCGATTAGACGTGGTAATGGGTGAGCGCTCAGTGTTCACTCACCACACCCAATAATCCAAAGAAAGAGAAGTATATCGCGGTGTAACCTTGTTCGGCAAATCTATCCAGTTTAGCAGGCTTTTTAATACCGAGTCTCCGTGCAAGTGGCCGAAGAATCTTGAGGACCCAAGATTGACGGATGAATGAAAAGATAATGACATAGTATGCGATGAATAAAATATCCTATAATCGAGATTAGGATACGTAGTCCCGGAGTCAAACACAGGGCTGCGCACTAATGGACCTTTAGCGAATTTAGGAAACCCTGGCTCGGAGTCGGGAAGATAATACGATAGAAACAACATTGGTTCGAATGGGTTGGGAAGTCCCAAAAAATGCAGGATAGCCCAACCGACGACAGGGATCATAAGTAATTTAAACGACGAAGCTAGAGGGACGGAATTTTAGAAAAACTCATCAGGAAAATACACAGATACCCATTACATGGCCGGGTCATCCACCTCATCGTCGTTATATCGTTCCATAGGTCCAGAGATCGTCGCAGCTCGCTATCCTTCAGAGAGGGCGAGGGCCTATTTGGGGAGCTGTCCCAAGCATAAAGTCAGTTGAAAGGGAGTGCACAAAAAAGACGCGTTCATGAGGGGCCAAGTCCCAAGAGTGACTATCGCTTACTCAATGACGTGAGCTACGTTAGACCCAGAAACTCCCTGAGTGCGCACTCTGCGGCGGGAAGACATAGTGTAAGTTGACCACAGAAGCCTGTCGGCAAACGCCGATCGCGGCCTCGAGTTATTGCGTGCAGACGTTCATTCTGCTTCTTGTAATTATGTAATCTGGAGACCCGACCAGCCTCTATATGGAGCCCCAGCCTGAGATTTACAAGATATCACAGTGGAAACTTTGGCCCAAAAATCTATCTCATTGGCCTCGTCGGCTCAGATTTTACTTTTGCAGAGGCCTCCCGGTGACACTGGTCATGATCATCTGGTGAAGGACAGACATATTTGCTACAGGGTGAATATTTGCAACTCGACATTAATATTCATATTGGCGCTTTTATCTGGAAGAACAAGTGCTCGGGGATTGTGATATGAATGAGTCTATTCCTACAGGTCCCATTACAATTGATGTGCACGACAAGACGCATCCCTCAATGGGTCTGATTGGGAACTGTTCTGAATAATCCGTAGTACATCCGCCTGCCCGTGGGAGGTCACATCGGCTGCCTCTTCTTCCCGATCTCACTGTTTACCAGTTCGAGCGGAGGTTACATAAGTAGGTGCGCGATACGTGGTGAGGTGAAATATTACAGATATTTGATTTCATAGCTTGGCTTCCTTAACGGTTCCCATTCCTTCCGACCTAGATGTCACACAGCCCATGCTGGGCAGTAAATGTGACTACCATAACCACCAGTACAAGCGCTAATTACTAGATGGTCTCCACTTGTCTCCGCGTCCTGTAGACTTCCCACTCAACTGACCATTCTCAGACCACGGATAGGTTTATCTACTGAAAGCTCATGCATCCAGAGAGTTGGCAAGGAACCCAAGAGGGCATTAGGAAATACGAGAAAGATCTCAAACATTATGTGTCCTAGAGTGGACTTATATCTACGGCAATAATGTATCATTCCTGTTCTCATGTTGGGGAATACTCGGGGATGCACTGGAGAGCGATTCCGCCCTAACCGTCCGTTCGACTACCTAGCTATTCATTTGCCGGAGGTACTCTGCGTGCTGTGTGCGATGAGCACGAACAGCGGAATCAGCAGAGCGACGCCAAATTGGTACTCCAATCTAATTCCCATCATCGTTAGTGCTTCGAATGGAAAGCTTAAGCGTCAATGCAATACGTGCCCATGCTATGAAGCCCAAGATACCATCAACAAGGGGATTATTGTAGGGTGCTGCACCACGGGTTGATGCCCGGAAGAGATGGGTAATGAGATCCCCGGCAATATGTGCCTGTCCCTTTTGCACCCCTACCACGGGCGGTTAAGTAACATGTTCAATTGAGGATTGAGGCCCTGACCTTTTAGCAAGGATGCCGCAGCTTTCTCGGAGGTGGTTGGAGAGTCTCCTTCCTCAATTTTGTTGGTGATCCAAGGTTTAGTTTGCTGCTCTACCTCGTAGCCAGCAGTATGCATCGTATTTGGAGCATAGAAATGAACATCGATGCCATAAAGCAGGCATTCGTTGCGCAAAGTATCCGAAAAACCTATTGGTGCCAAATTGGTAAGTTCATGAGGTAGCATTTTATCTTCTGAATCCTTGCCTCTTAACGCATGTTTGGCGGGGGTATACGAGCCGTATCCGACAAATGCCATATATGAGAGTGTCGAGCCGACCAGTACTATTTTTCCTTTCGCACCTTCATGCGCCATACGTTTCACGGCAGCCTGGCAAGCTTCAATATAAAATGGCAGGTCGGTTATACAACAACTTACAATTGCAGACCAAGCTTGTACCCAATAGCCTTCCACCATCCCCTGTAGCATATCTTGTTCAGTCGAGTCGACGATAAACCTCGGCCTAGAGGCCCCCGCACACAAGAAGAGCGCATCTGGGGATTTTCCTCCATGGAGAGCGCACGCTGCATCGAGTGCTCTTGTCGATTCGTCTCCTGAACTCAATGAAAACGAGTAGGACTTGATGATCTGCCCCTCATGCACTCTGAGGCTCTATACCACTGGGTGATTAGATGCACACTATATCAATGGCTACAGCGCCGTAATTCTCACTTCCAGACGCTTGATGGCCTCATCCAACTTCTCCTGATTACGTGCCACGATGGAAACATGAGCACCCGCCTTTACTAGCAGAACAGAAAGTGCAAGCCCAAGACCCGTACTTCCTCCTGACACGTAGCAATGCTATCCAGCGACTCGTCAGAAACGAAGTCAGTGCACGCGGTACGTAATTTTCCAACCTTGTCCTTTGGGTCCCACCTTTTAGTAAATGGAAACATGATGGAAAATGCAAAGACCAAGAGAAATAAGGACACTCCAAGAGGCCACGGGCTGAGATCTAGGATGTCGCTTGGGTGCATAGTCCATAAAAGAACGTCGCGATTGCAATGGACACGTGATTTTACATTGCCAAAAAGCCATGTGCGCTTGGACAGCACGTCATCACGAGGCCGTGGGATATTATTATGTAAGATATATTTATCAGCACGGCTGCCACTTTGACATGGTCAAGCTCACGATATGCTCCAACCCGCAGCACTTCATATGTACAGCGTACGAAGGATTCGATACCATAATATTGCTACTGGGATTCAAATCTTTTTGGAGAAATTACATTTCGGTAATCTGATCGCGGCACTCTTCGAGCGCCCCTGGGTATATTTTGATCTTCGCCCGATGGCTCCGGACCATTGTTGCCTTGGAGTTCGGACCTAACGACGTGGTCGAAACTATGCCCTTCTGTTAACATCTGGGCAGTGCGCCGGACGTAGGAGCCACTGCGGGTGAGAGTTGAGATATTCGTCGCGTCTGATGATAGTCTATTTGGTGTTTTGGAACCCGATTTATGCAAGATACCAGTCTCGGCGTGGACTTACCTCTTCCTTCCCCTCTCCTCTTACCCTCCAGGTGCTTCGTCTTCCTCTGCCATGTTGGGGCCCATCACACGTGTTGCGCAACAATATGCCCATCGCGAGACGAACCGTGCTGGAGGGGAACGGAGCGCTGAGATAGGGTGGTCGGTCGCTTTTCTGTTCTGTTATGTCACGCATGTATGAGCAACTCACCTTCTTCAACCGATGTCACCCACTGGTCCACCATTGGCGGAGGACTCCCTGCTCTGAGGAGGACAGGTCTCAGAGCATGCACCAATTTCTGAGTGATGGCACATCGCGGAAGAGCATCCATATCAGTGAGGACGCGAGACCAGCAGTGCAACTTACTGTGAAATTCTCTTGCATAAGGAGCCCAACGTCCTCACCTCCCCATTGGCCAACCGGGATGGTCATGATGAAGGACTCCTTATTTTCCAAGAGTGGATGCTCTTCCACAAACCTTTGCAAGTCATCGATGGCTCTGACATCTGATCCGTTGCCTTCGATGACGTCTTCCACCCCTGAGTAGCATGTGAGAGAGGCCCGGGAGCAAGCAACGTCGGAAAACGTACACTCAAACAACTCCATGAACTGGCCCTCGGGATCTTCCCCGTTGATTGCCAGGTTTGCCAACCGGAGGGGGCTCTCGACCAACAATAATATACCACCTGAAATTTGGCACCACAAGCTTCACGTCAGAAACTAACTGCATGGCATGTTCTCCCTGAACATACCTGGTTTCAACCATTGTACCATCCTGTCCAAGAATTGTTCATAATCGTTGATCTATCAATAAGCTCCGTAATGACAAACTAGTTGGCGGAAGTTCAGGCTAACGCACACCCAGAGAACATGATCTAGCGTGGACCACGTCGAAGCTTCCTAAAGTGCCAAATGCTGATACGTTAATGACGCCTCACGCGCAAGTCGAAATGACCACATACCATCGAAATGTGTCAATGGCTGATTGACATCATCAAATTCAACTCTGCATCTGGGTTCAGAGTTCATTCCAACTAGATTTGAGTCGTCCACACGAACCGGCAATTAGGGGGCATCAATTCCCTGAAATATGAATACATATCAACTCCTGAAGGTGCTCATCCAAAACTCGGCAAGATCTTACCAGATGAGCCCCGGCGCGAGATCAATGCCTACAACCTGATGTGCGACATATATCAGTCTCGCGTAATTACGTGAAGATAACTTGAACACCAACCTCTGCATGAGGGAATTTCTGTAAGAACAATACTGTCAGGTGGTTTGACGTTGAATATGAACTGTGCGTGCATACCCTCGCCATTTCGATCATCCTTAATTGCAATGGTCAGAATAATTTTCCAGCCATCATTATGCACTAACCATTCTCCGCTTCCACATCCTGAGAGAGTTCTCAGCACTGTTCTTGGTGTGGCGGATATATAATGAAGCAACAAATCAACATACCACAATCCAAGATGCGTTTCTCCTCCCCTTCTGTATGGGCAAGGAGATGGTCGACGGTCATTGGGGCCTGGTACAGCCCGCCTGCACACGCTTTCAGGACCTCATGCAGGTCTGCACTGAGAGATTGCAACCATGAGATTTACCAGAGGCATTCGCTGGGAGAAAGCGTGAACCTACAGTCTTCCCCATTCTTCACCGTCTGCCACGCAAGGCGTTGTAGGAATGAACACAAATACATCGGCTGTTGGACTCCGTCTCACAATTGAAGAGCAACTTACCGGCTGGCAGGGGATACAAGCGATTGAGCCTGTTAAATCTCCTCCCCTGTTCGTTGAGAAAGAATCTTTCCCCGTCTCTCTCAAATTCATAAGAGAGGACGGAGTCTTCGTCATCTTCTTCCTCCGATTCGGCCTCGTCACTGCGGACAGAGGTGTTGTGTTGTGATTCGGACACGGCCATGGACACCATAGATCACGGTCCGTTTGCTCTGGATCGCTCCAAAGCTCCTCGTTCTCGTCGTTCATGAGGTGTTCAACTTCAGAAGAGGTTGTGGCGGAATCAAAAATATATCAATATTTCTGGCAATCAGTTGTGGACCCTTAGCAATATTGATGACTGTCAGACCTTTCGCCGGCCCCGTCGGTTCCGCCAAGGCACATGAGTGGCACAATAGTGGGTTATCCATGACTGGTTTCAGGTATGGCCTTCTCATTCGACGCACCTTATGGGTTTCTTTCGAATTCCGTTTTGGATCACCAGCCTGTCGCAGCAGCCAGCAAGGTAGGTGCAACTGTACTTAATTTCATATTTAATTTTCCGTCTAGCAGGGAGCAATTGTCAGGGCAGGAAGTTTGCTTGCATATCTTGCGCGTTGTAATACGTATTCTCCCTCAACCCCAGCAGAACGTAATCGTTGGCATGGGCGGAACAAACAGAACCACGAATCTTGAGAGAAGAGATAAATGAGCATTATTCACAGCAACTGTAACATCTCCATAGTAGCTATAACGCGTCCCCAGCGGTCTATGTCAAATAGATCATCAGGCAAAATGCCAGCTAGTCGTAAGGGCAATGGATCCAGCGTTGGGTCGAGGAGGTGTCCAGTTATGTTTGCCCCTTTTCAGTCATCACAGCAATAACACGTCCATACATAAGAAAAGGCTTGATTCCAAGTGTTAGATGTACCAGTAAGTCCCATTAGTAGCAGCGACACTGAGGGATCAATACAGTCATGTATTTGCAGCCTAAACACCAGATCTGAGAAATAACTGTTTACTTCTTGATGCATGAGGTCGAAGGACGTACCCATGGACGACCTTCGAGAATCGTATAGCGGCTCCCGCGGATTCTGTCCATAGCGCATCGTGGTTTGTGACAGCACCAGTTCTGGCATGGGACATCAAACAAGGCTAAAGCTCTAAATCGGTTCATGCTCCTTCGCTTTAACATAGAGTAGAGTCATGGTGGATAGGGTACTGGTCCGGGTCGTGCGCTGGGAGAGGCCGAAATTTGGCCTAAATGGGCACATCGTCAAAGAAGAGTGGAACGGCTTGAACGTGCTTCGATGCACGATATTATAGTGTCCCCCAGGAATCCCATGTCTCGAATTATCTATCAGATGCTAGGTAGCTTTTTGCCACCAATGCGAGCCAGTTCAAAGTCCCAAGAATTCGGGCCGAACGGGAGTTCCCGCGTAGTCAACACGCCCTGATCTTACTAAGTCCAGACTACCCACCGATCCCTCTGCTGCGATGCACAAGCACGCTGGTCCCAGTGCGGTTGCGCTGAACGGAGACATCTGCTATCACATTATAGAACAGCTCGCCGCATCGCCGTTCAATCTGTTAGTCTCGTCAATGTTATCCGGTTTCGGGTCATCCGAATAGGTGGTTGGGGCCCGAGGGAGCGCTGAAGTTTGAACTCGGCATTCTCAAGCGACTGGAAGACAACCCATCACTCCTGTCATACGTCCGCAAAGTGATCATCGATAGTGCCTACGTGCGTGATGACGAAAGTGAGGAGGCAGGGAGGGAGTTTTAGAAAGGCTCCTACATCTGCTTCCCCGCATGATACATCTGACGGACCTTCAGTTTGTCGTGTTGCCTGCTTGTCATTCCTTTTCAAAACAAATAAGCTCTCTCGTATTTCACGTTGTAAATTGGGCGCAACCACACAAAGAAGGACAAATCCTCCCTCCCCTTCGGAGACTTTCTATCAACAATATTTACAATGGTGGATCCTGGCCTCATGGTATACCATGGCGCGACCTTACAAATATACTTTCCCGACGTCCTCCTTGACATGGTTGATGAAATGCACGGCCTTCGTTCCATCAAGCTGATGGTCCATATTCCCAATGGCACATGAGCGGGAACCATTTGGCGGTCAAACACCGCATTGCTGTTGCCGAATTCTTTCGCAAGGTCCCTTCTGCCCTGGAGGAGCTCGACTCGGAGGAACCCACTGGAGACACCCTGTCTCTATCTCTGCCCGGTTCGGCCGCTCTCTCAAAGGCTCAGACTCCACAACTGTAGAAATGATAAGAAAGTGGGGTCACGACCAGTTCTCTCTCTCCAGCACCTATATGGGATCTGCGTTAGCTGTCCCCATCTGGAAGAGCTCCAAACTGACACTAATCGACGGGGATTGGGTACGTATGAAATATCCATTCTTCTGTTGTGGATGATTTGAATGGTCAATTTTAAATTCAGCCACACGATATCTTGGACAAGGTGGCTCATTTTCCCCGTATAAAAACTCTATGCCTCGAGATTAGGCCCAGTGGATACGAATGCGTCAAGCCTTACCTTAGCTATTATACAAGCATCCAGCTCTACAAATATATAGACTCCCAACGGACATCCAGTCCTTTGACCGAACTCGTCACGCTGGACGATCATCATTGCTCTGGCCTGTATGATGTAGCGTCCTCCAATTGGGATATTACTTGAGGACGTACAAAGCTGTGTCGTGTCGGTGGTTCAAGGATGCGGGTCTACTTGATGTGTGGTCGTCGCAAATTGCAGGCTATCGTACGGATAGTACTGAGTCCTTCTATGGACCTGTTGGTGGAAATACCGGAGATGACGAGGTAATTCGGCACGTCACAAATCAAATGGCTTGATTCAATGCGGCCCTCGAATCGTCGCATATAGTGGTGATGGCTTCAGCAGTGCTGGTGGTGTCCAACTCCTAGAAGGTACGAGAACCGCGATGCCCTCGGGATGTCCCAGGCCTGAGCCGCGTGCCGGCGTTACTGCTGGTTTCGATCACTGACGCGCTCTCTGTGTTTTTGCGTTTATTTATATGGCAATTGGGCCAACGAGGTGTCCGACAGTGAGACATCGAGCTATAGTGCCTTGCGTTGTTGAGTGTGCGGGGTCGAACTTCCTTTCGTCTCATGTTTTGTCATATGTCCAGCTACTCTCGGATTCTAATACGAGGTCCGACTCTTTAATTTGACCTCAGTGTAGTCGCCCAAATGTCTTTGTGATGATTGTAATCACTGACTGCGCGCCCCTGTTGGGATGCTCGCCGCTCCGTAACGGTGGTTGCGCTTGCATGGTTTACCGTCAACTAGTCAATTCAATCAACATCCACCCCCACCCGCCTTTTTTTCACCAGTTCAACACGTTTCCATCTTGACTGATTATTTTTCAAACTCAAGTGCTGAAGGTCCTTGATTGGCTGATGACCTCATCGTCATGGCAAGTTTTATTCTTTAATCGTCGAATGGGACAATAGGTATATAAATAAAAGGAAACACCCTCGCCCAAAGTCTGCGGCCCTTTCCAACCAAGACGTTTGGAGTCCGTGAACCCAAGTACTTATTATCGCCACAATCCGACAGCGTGGGCACCGAACACAATCACTCCGAGAACGACAGCAAGAACGGACTGCTTTCAAAGAGGACCTTGGCGCTTGCACAGGCACCCCAGCCCTCTTCGCACGGGAAGCAGGGTAGCGGGCCCTGGAAGCGACGCTGCCACGGCGGGTACCAGGGCTGGTGCTACTAGGGTTAGGAGCGAAAGCAGGTGGTCCTGCCAAGATCCCTGGTGGTATGCGTCGTTGTAAACGTGGTGTCTGACAACACAAAGTAATAATAATCATTCATGAACCAAGGTGTCGGATCAACGTGTGATTGTTGGTTTAACGTACATCTCAGACAAAAGTTGCGCCACATCACGGAGAAACTGGATACGGCAGTGCAAGTATTGAGGGATGCAAAGAATGATTCGCTGTGGAAGGATAATGCCAAGTTAGAATATGTTCACTGATAAAACTGTCGGCCCTGTTCGTTAACGAGGATCAGTTATCAGAATTGCGCGAGCCGAGAATTATGGAGGAATGTTCACAAACTCTCGCAATTTGAGGCCCAAAGAGCCTGTTGCATATAGAATTAGGCACATTGAGGAATTTCCTGCGCGGAAAGAGGCAACGGCCGGGGGGGGGATAGCAGCGACGAGGCGGAAGAAGGCAACTACGGAGGTTTGCCGCCGGTGTGTGCAGCTGATGAAGGGAGCACGAAAAAGGTGCAACCCATTTTATATCACTAAACAGGTGAGGGCCGGATGCGGCACTCTGGTGGAATTTGAAGGGATGAAGGAGCATTGCATCCTGGCTCAGTATTATTAGGCCAAATTGTGGTTAGGTTTACACCCCATGATCACTAGCTCGGCCCTGAACCGAGCGGCGATATCTTTCATTCCTCCAAATCCGATGGGCGTCTTGCCTAATCGAAGCGAGAGCCTGGTAACCGTGCAGTTCAGCCTTCTCAACACATCGCAGAAGCTGAATCCCTATTATGTGTGAAATGTGTTATTTTGGATAATTCTTAGAATGATCAGGGTCGAGAGGGAGAGTGGCCTCGCTTGAAGTCTGTGAGGCTTTCCGTCCAAGACGTTTGGAGCCCGTGAATCCACGCATCATCACCACGATCCAGCAGCGTGAGCACCGCCGTGGACTACAGCTAGGACACCAAAGGACTTGGCGCCGGGCGGAATTTCCGGAGGTTTCATATTTTTGTTAGTAACATATAGCAATAGACCTTTTCCAAGTCCCGCGACAAGCTTCAAGGAATCCTATTTGACATGAAGAGGACTCTCCAGTAATGTTGGCGGTATTTCTAGCAGAGGTGATTGGTTTCTTCCAAGGACGTTTTGGACCGCCAAAGAGCCGTTTACGTTTGGGGGTGTGGTGGGAGAGGAGGTATTCATAGTGGGGGCTCGAAGAATCTCGTATCCATAATGATCATGTGGAAATCATCCACACCCGTGCCCTCCTTCCTTCGATGGACGGCATTTTCCGTAAATCCAACCGCTCATTCAACCCTCTCCCTTCCCGTCGCCACCTCAACGCCAACGTCGTCACACAATGACGTAACCCTCAACTCTCCAACACGCAAATGACTCAAACGTCCTGCATCGGCAAGCGTCTTTCTCTGTATTGTTGGTACCAATTCGGACATGCACGGCAGTGACCAGCAGCATGATAGTTATCACCATGGATTCCCGTGCAATGTTGACTTCGCCATGAACGATGAACGATTACGATTGATAAACGCAAATGAAGATTCTAGCACTGCCTCTGACTTTGTGATCTCTCCCTTGTGCTCAGCATACGTGTGTACTTCTTTCTGGAGATCCGATGTTGCACTACATAGTTCCCTGAACTACACATAGTACCCTCAGGCTCCTGGTGGATGAGTGCATCGCTCTTTGTCGTTGAATACGGCATCCGATGAATTAGCATTACACTGTTGTGCACTGTCTGCGTAGTCCATCCACATCTAACTTCGCTTTGTACGCCTGTCTTCGCGTTGCTGACATGGAATATCCCTCATCATACCAGACACTGCCTCTATTATTGTGATGCCGGGAATTATGTGCACAGCACCCCTCGCTCCTCTGTAATCAACCTGGCCTGGATTGTAGGACGTGCACCTTAACTAATTCCTGGATGTCAGCTTTTTTGGACACCTCGTTATTGTTTTGGGCGGCCTTGCTGCTGTGTATAAGTAGCTTTTTGCCGCGTTGGGTTACATAATTCCATGTCCATGGCTCGGCTCTCGTTCATAACGGTGCGGCTTACATGTTCCAATCGAGGCATCCTCCCTGGCACAACATAAGCCGAAAATAAACTCAGGATGTTTTTGGCCAGCTCAACAGCCCTGTATGGTGGCCTTGGCGGAAGAATTACCCTGTAGACCCTGAATGGGAAACCAAACCATTGGCGACCATGTATTGCCAGTGTGTCCTGTTCTCATGATTCCCATGGCCGTGCGGATGTTGTCACTCGACGTCTGCCAGCTATTGTGCGCGTATGATCATGCGCGCGCAGTTCGAATTCACTGTGATATGTAATTTACAACATATGCCTGAACTCGTTGGGAAATCGGTCCCGCATGGACTTCAGACCCTTTCCCTACCTTTCGGGAGATCTCCGCAGGAAGCCATTACCCAGGGTGCGGGACTGGCGTTGGATAAGAATAACATGCGCGTTCCTTCCTACCCAACTTCTCTCTCCCGCCCAATTACTGCTGCAGGATGAGGCTCGCATCTTTTTTCATCCTCATATTGCCCCTCAGCATCGTACCAGTGCTTGCTGTCACTTCAAGGCGTTTTGTCACCCGTACTACCATTGAATCACTGGCAATCAGGGCCATCAATTCCACTGGATGGTTGAAACGTTCTTTCTCCAGCTATTCAGAGGACGAACTGTTTAAAAAAAGAGTCATCCTTCCACTACGGATTAATCTCATGCAGCCTAATGAAGACCTCTCCACTCAGCTCCTGTACGACATTTCGAATCCCAATTCGGCAAATTATGGGCAACATCTCAGTGCGGGAGATGTTATGAAGCTTTTTGAACCCACCGATGAAACTGTCAAGGAAGTTACTGAGTGGTTGTTCAAGGAATTGGGTGTTTCTGCAAGGGAACGCGTCCAGTATTACCAGTCTAATGGTGTACGTAGCATCAACTTTCCCGCGCTTCCGAACTAACATTGTTGTATCGACATCATATGATTCCGACGTTGATCCCGATCTCAATTCGCGTTATCTATTCAATCATATGGGTATTTAATTATTTCAAATAATTTAGGCACTCTTGGCCAATGTCACAATCACCGAAGCGGAATTTCTCCTCCGAACAACGTATTCCCTCTACCACCATCCTCCCACCGGAAAGTACCATATCGCCTGCGATTCCTATTCCGTTCCGACATCCATTGCTCAACATATCGATCTGATCACCCCTACAGTCCATTTTGATCTGCTTTTGGGAGGGGTTGGCACATGGAACGAAGAATGGGATGAGGTCGACAGTGATGATATTGATCCGAGCAGGAGGCATGAAGGAGGTGTATCCAGAAGGAGAGCCAAGGGTTCCAAGTTGCACTTGGCGTCGGGTGGAGGACCTGTCACGCTCAAGACAGATGGGAAGATTCACGCCCCATTTGCAAGTCAAGGACTGACAAATTGCGATCAGAAGATTCAACCAGCTTGTTTGAAGGCTTTATATAGCTTCGAGGTATGTATTTATATTCGGAACGTTTTGAAATCACCCCCTTTCTCCAATAGTGGTATAAACCGCGAGCGATAAACCGGAATTCGTACGGAATTGTGGAGCTTACGCCTCAGAGTTACATCCCTTCAGATCTCGACATCTTTGCTAAGCAAGTCAAGCTGCTTCTCGGTTCTGTTTATCACTAACATTGCCAATCGAAATCATGTACAGAAATTTCACACCGAACGCCGTAAAATACCGACCCAAACTCGCAAGTATAAACGGTGGAACCCTCGGCAGAAGCAACTCGTCTGACTTTGATAACAATGCTGAAAGCAATCTGGATCTGGAGTACTCCATCGCATTGACTTACCCTACGCCCAACGTGTTATACCAAGTTGGAGGTGAATCATTTATGGTCGGATTATTGCACTTCGGCGGCTTCTAGTTATCACTCATTCCAATGATCGACTGACCGATCAGATCGCATCCGAGGGGCTTCATTCGATAACTTCCTTGATGGAATCGACGCTTCGTATTGTACATTCGAAGGAGGAGACGACCCACTCTACGACCCGATCTATCCCAATCCAGCACCGGGGGGTTATAAAAGTACGCCTGTTTCCGTCGACTTCCGTATCGGTAGGGCACTTTTGACGCCTGAAAAACACTCCTACATCGTTTGCGCTTCCGCTTCCGGAACCGGTGATTCATGCAGAACAGGATTGTGGGAAGTACAAGCCCACTCCTGTGATCTCCATTAGTTATGGCTATAACGAAGCTAATTTGACTCCGAGGTATGCGAGGTACGTACGTTCCGTTTTCCAACCCTGGCTTTTGGACGGTGTTGCTTACCATCGATGGATCGATCATTAACCACGAACCTTTTCCTGTCTGTCCGCGCTCTGGTCACGGTCTCGGTTCCTTAACCACCAGACGTCAATGCACGGAATGTATGCGCAGCTTGCTTTATCAGTCGTCAGCGAACCAACGGTTTCTATTACACTGTACCAACCCTTCCCCCCTCCCCCTTAATGCTGCGTATCCGTAGATAAGAAGCTTGGATTGATGGGCGTCACGGTTCTCTACCCTTCTGGGGATTTCGGTGTCGCAGGAAACGAAGACAAATGTATAAATCCAAAGACAGGAGAATTCACTTGGGATCCAGCAGGGACTAAGTTTGCTCCCAGTGCGTTTAATGTGGGGGGCGGGTTCAAGTCTGCTTACTGATTTGGGATTTTGTGGGAAAAAAAAAAACCCTATACACACAGGCTTCCCGGGAACATGCCCTTGGGTTACCAGCGTTGGTGCGACGCAGATGAAGCCTGGCTCCACTGTTACAGAACCCGAGGCGGCTTGCGAGCTAGGTTCGTCCTTCCTCCTAGGATCTTTCTCCCGAATCTACCGTCTCCAAGTTATCTACAGTGGAGGAGGGTTTTCAAACATCTTCCCAATTCCTGATTATCAGAGGAATGCCATCAAGACGTACTTCAAGTTTCACAAACCCAAGTATAGCTCTGCTCAATACAACAATTCGATGAAGACCCGTGGCTACCCCGATATCTCGTAGGTAGCATCTCTCCCTTTCAACGATAACGATTACTTCTTGCTGATGCAGTGCAAATGGCGCCAATTATGTTGTTGCCATTGGAGGCTCGTGGTATCGCACCTTCGGGACGTCCGCTTCAAATCCCGTCGTAGGGGCTATCATCACTCTTATCAACGATGCTCGGCTCGCGGTTGGAAAGCGTCCCGTTGGATTTATCAACCCAGTGTTGGTACGTTCATCTTTCTCTTATGAAGAGGCAACCTGGGTTTTCCGGTGTGGCGCTATCAAATTGTCCTTCGGATGATCTTGGGTGCATGTTGGTATGGACGTTGATGTCACTATATAGTACACCAGCCCAGGGATTTTAAACGATATCACTATGGGGAATAACCCGGGGTGAGTTAAATCTCCAATGTATCTTTTTTTATTTTCTATTTTTTACCTTTTCAATCCTTTCCTTTGTTCACTTACCCTTCTTTGACTTGGTCCTGAATTTCTCCCACTTCTCTCCATTTCTTCTGTGCTAGGTGTGGCACTTCTGGTTTTGAAGCCGTCAAGGGTTGGGATCCCGTCACCGGCTACGGAACCCCAAACTTTTCCAAGATGCTTGCCACTTTCATGGCTTTGCCTTGAAGCTGCCTTTTTGGCGTTCAAATAATTTAATGTGGGCAACGTTGACCACACGGGTCTGCGCGATTTGTCTGGTGTCGTTGGAAACGCCCCTGAAGATTCCTTGTGGAGTTATATATAGCTTTCTAACGTACTGGCTTGGTGATGCGTTTGAATACTTGAATACACTGATCGTCTGCTGTGCACTGCATTCATGGATCCAAACGCCCCACTGAGATAAACGAGAACATATATTTTAATTTCAAAAAACTTGGTGGTACAAAGTGACATTTCCCATGACGACAAGAGGGAAGACATGGAGCAACCAAAAAAGGCCCCCCATTTCGGGGTGAGCAACTAGCTGGCGGTAAAGTTTGACACTTTCTTCGATGAATGGGAGCGCCTCGGAATTCCGTCCGAGATTCTGAGGTGGTATTCTTGACGCAATCGAAAACAAATCCGGTTCGTTGGTGTGCGCTTGTTGTTTTGCAGAGGTAAAATAAATACGAACGGATTGCAGATGACATGCGGAACTATGATTGGGCAGATGCCAGAAGCGAGCATGCACCACGGTGGATTGGACAATAGCAAGCCATCGATTACGAGAAATACATCGCAAGCTGAGTGTTGGCGTGCAGAGGCTTGAATTGCTTCCGGAACGCCTCGAGGCTGGTTGTAGCCTGAGGTCCCGAAACCTGCGATACGCTATCGGAGAACTCGAGAGACGCTTTTGGATCATACTATAAAAAAGACCAGAAATGGGTTCATGCGAAGCGGAGGGAGTGAGTGGGACGTTGGCTTTGTATAGTAAATGGAAATGCAAAAGAAAAGCGGACGCACATGATTCTTCGCGCGCGCGCACACGATGTCCGCATCTTTTTCAGCGAGTAAGATCAGAGTTTGTTCAGGAGATTAAGCGAGTGACGGACGCACAATAGACAGGTGCCGGAATAGAAACTGAACGGGTAGATCGAGCATATACGTGACAAAGCGCGAAGGAAAGTTGTTGTAGTCCGTCGGGCTGGAAGCTGTTTTCATCCAAGAGCTGAGGAACCCAACGTAAATCGCAGGCATTGTACACAGGTGAGCCACGGTACATACCACATTGTAGTGAGCTGGACGAGAAGTCCCAAGAAGTCCACCATGCGACTGGAGATAGAAGTCTGAGAAACACAAATTAAAAACAGCGGAAGGATTGCAATGAATTATACCAACCGAACTCGAGTGGGTGTGTGACCTAGGAGATATTCGAGTTAGACTAATACACCAGTTACTCGTGCAAGTACTCACGTCGCGATCGATGACAGTTCCTGCAGGACAATTGCCGGAACGATCGCCCTTATCCTGGGATATGGGGAAGAATCGTACGTGGTGACGTTTTCCAACGACGATGACAGTGATCTTTGGAAGCGGATTGATGTTGTGCCTCCGGCACGCCGCTAACAAGAGCACGGAGAAAGTAAATATCGTTGAACACTGAAACGAAAGCTAACTACATACCCTTGATGCGGGGCACCTCGGTCTCGAGTACCGTCTTAAATTGTCCTTCTGACACACCGTCACGGTAGAAAATGATGCGTTTCGGAAAGGCACTAGGCTTCCTCTCCTTCACTTTGCGGTACCCGATATATTTCCCCAAAACATGCTGCCAACGTGCCTCAGAATGACCAGTTTTTAAAAAAAGGAAGTGAGACAAGCTTACAGCGGCCATATCCTCAAGATCCTCGATCATCTCCTGTCGTGAGGTTTGGACCTTGGTAATGGCAATGTACTTGGATGTATCCGAATCAACGTTGCCAACGAGACTGGTAAAGGAAGGTCGACCGGCCGAACCAGGTGCGGGATGGATGACATCGGCACCCAGGACAAGGGTGGGGTTTGCTTGATCGGTGAGGAACGGAACGGATCTGGGATCTGGAATGGTGTTGATACCACCGAGTTTGACATTGATTCTAAGACAATGGTAAGATAAGGGTTGTGGTGGACAGGAGGAAACTAAACGAACTTCAAGCAGACGTTCGCATAATATTGAGGCTTAGCTCTGTAGCACTTGCTACTCTTCAAACATTGAGTCGCGACACCAGCAACGATATCGCCAAAACTTGAAAAAAAAAATAAAAAAAAAAAAAGCCATTGGTGCATGTTTTGAATTTGACGTACTGTTTGACACCGGTGTAAATGTCAGTTGCACCTTCCGGTAAAACGACAATGATCAGAGCGGGGAAGGCACCCCTGGCGGCATGGTATGCTTTTCCCGCTTCGAGTAACGCCTAACGCGAGAGGGAGAGTACGAGATAAGAGTTCACGCTCCAGAACAGAAGGGAATAATGCTTACCCCGCCAACATCCCCTTGGCCATTAGCGTATCGAATCAGGGGCTCTGACTGCATCCCCTCGATGCCTAAAGAGACCCGCAGTTTTATGTAAAAAAACCAAAGCAGACTTGCCTGAAGGATCTTAACTCACCCACTTCCCGTGTCGCATTTTTCAGCCCTATAATCATGTCCTTGCACGCAGACTCGTTGAACCGCTGCTGTCTCTCAAAAATAACGACAGTCCACCCTTTGACTTCGCAAGGTTGGTAGAATTTTGTGTCCTTCATGTTCCAAGCGCCATCGCGTGGTGTAATATTTTGCTGTCTGCTGCCCGCTCCATACTTCAAGGTCGGTGGAGGAAGGATCCTTCCAGCAATCTCGATGGGACCCGTGGAGTCGGCTGGAACGGAGGCAATGGTAAGCCCAGAGTCAACCATAGATGAACACAACACACTGTTCACAGCTAGTCCGAATTGTCGGACGTACTCAGATTGTCCGTATGACAGCACCTGAGATTGACACATAAGCTAAAACCTAGCCATGGAAGGGCAAGAGGATCGTACCTGCAAACCTCGCTTAATACTGTCGAGCCGATCCGCAGGTTTCATAGTCGCAAATTCGAGGACATCCTTGGTTTTCTCAGGAGGAACTTGGCGGCGCATAAATTGCCCTTCGGGGATTATACAGAGCTCAATGGGTATCACGGCCCCATTGCCCGTCTACATGCAATCACTAGATGAGAATCAGAAGTCGCTGTAGGTCCAGACTACCTGCCTCGATACAAAATGCGTCAGGGTGTTTCAACGTGATATTGTACGTTTGTTTGAAGTAGTTTGCCACCGTAATATTTCCTCCCTCCCGGAGTGAAAACCTCGTGTCGGTTGCAGAGCGATCAGATAATTTCCTGATAACTCGAGGCTGTGGATTGCCCTTACCAGTGGGGTCCGTGAGGACACGGACACCGGCAAGGAACCTTTGCAATCGGAGGCGTTCACGATCCGGAAGACCGAATTTGAAACTGAGTCTCCTAGGGTCCTGATTTCCGCCAAAGAAGTCCAAGCAGACATTAATCAGTGGCCCTGGCCTAAACCTGTAAAAATGGCCGCGTCAGCGAGAACCATATGTTTGTCCCCACGCCGAAGGAGGGCAATCACACTCACATAACGGCAGTGCTGATGTCTATGTTGATCAACATCCTCCCGAGAGCGGGACGGGCGGATCTGTTACAAGAGCACAAGGCGGAAGTTAATGAGCAATGCCAACAGGATGTTGGGGGCAACGCACTGGAAATAACCACGCCAAACCTCAAGACCACCCCCAATGACTTTCTTTTCCGCATTAGTGAAGAAAGAGCGGACGTTGAAGGGATATTTTCTGCATCGCGTGATAGAGTATGAGCATGGTACAAAAGTAGGCGAGTCGAAAAACAAAGAACACTGACATGGTAGGCTCCATACGGATGACGACATTAAGAGCCGTAATCGCAGTCAAAACTGAATTGTCGTTGCTTTGCTGCCCTTGCAGGAAACGACTCAAGGTCCTTTATCACAAGCGATGATAACGGATCGCGTTTCAGCAGAGGATAGGACATAAAGGAAGGAAAGGCTCACTCTGGATTGATTTCTGCTACTTTATTGAGACGAACTTTGTATACCTTGGGTCCCTTTCCCGGTCCTGAGCCCGCTCGAGGGACTGTAAGGGCCGCAGGGGCAGAAACGTGTTTGGTATCCCCAAGGGTAACCTCAAACTGGAGAGAGAACGTGGGAAAAAAAGCGTCAGTTCAGAGCGATCAACACAAGATCTGCTAGAACAGACCTCAGCCATCTGACCGAAAGGAAGGGTATGGGCGGCAAATAAATTCTTGCGTCCATCATAGACGGCACGAGGTGTAAACACCTGCGGTGCGATCTTCTCCTGCAACGTCGCAATGATTTCGACATTGAGTCGAGCAGGCAACACCTTCTCGGAAGGAAGGATCACTGAAGTGGGGTCAATCGGAATGGGAAACCTTGGACCAAGAAACCCTGTGGATCACTTACCAACTATCCGGACGTATAGAGGGAGGATCGAGACATGGATGGAGTGAGGAAACAGGAATTCATTCGAATTGCGGGAAACAGACAGACCATCATAGTGCGAAATGATTTCAGATGGAATCTCCGCAGTGAAATGATTAGTTTTGACACGAAAAGGCCTCCCGGCTGTACCAAACCTATAAATGAAGGCGCCGACCCCCAAAGAGAGGACCAGCTCAAAGAACGTCCGATTTGTAGCTGCTGAATTGAAAATTGCACTTACCCTGCACGGCGTACACCAATGGTCGTTACCGGTGGACCCGGAGTGACGATGGGGATGACGGGTGCTTGTTGCTGCCTAGGAGCTCTTGGGGGCATAGTGACAGATTGAGGAGAGGGAAGGGAGATGAGAGAACCAGAACTTCTTATGATTCGTAAAAGGCATTTGCCGTTTGCAGTATATTGGGGGGCAACTTGTAGGAAATACCTGCCATAAACGACGGACCCAATCTGTCCAAAAGAGGCAATTGAGCCCGATTTACTTGAATCGTTTCATTTTCTGGATCACGTGTGATTGTCCTTGCATAATCGCTCAACGTCCCCCTCGATGTGATTAATGTCGTTCACGCTCCTCATTCCAGGTGATTGTCCCGCATAGGCTGATGCCGTCCCGCTTCATGCATCTTCAAGACAATCAGTGGGGGTTGCCTTTTCAATCGATCATGGCTGTATGCTTCTGATGTAACAACGTGGCAAGCTTTCCGTCTGATGCCGCAGTTACAGCCGTCCTATGCGCGCGCCAGATTTGGATGTGAGTCTTGTGGTAAATCAGGGTCAAATCTAAGTGTCAATAAATAACAATGGCATTTCCAGCGCTTATAACAACGACGTGTGTGCCCGGGGGTCCTTACTCAAGTTTGCTGGCAGTCTAGCTCTGCCCTGCATCATGTAGGATCACATACTTTTTGCCACGAATAAAGAAGTCCCAGCATCGCGCATGTTCTTGCCCAGGCCCAACCTACGTCCAGCCTGTTTCACCGACAAATACTATGTAGTTGGCCCGCCCGATAGTGTGCCCCGTGTACTGTTTGAAGTCGGCATGGCCTTCACTCGTTGATTACGTACCCCGCAGTTCCTCCAGAATCAGGACCCTTGATGGGTAATGCAAGTGGACAAACACGGTGATCGCAGTCACCCGCCCAGAACGGCAAATCTGGAGAAATGATAGAGTTGGAGCTCAGCCTCCGCTGCGCGAAAGAATGAATTGTGAGATAGGGGAGATATTTCGGACAGTGGTGATCAACGCGCTGCAGCTGGTACAGTCTACTGCGATCAAACTTTCATCGGCCCCTTATGCTTTGCAAGACTGCAATTTCAGCCATCCTCCCAAAAAAAAACAAAAATCTGTGCAATGAGGAGTTTGAGATTCAACCAGTTAAAGCACAAATTCTCCGTGAACTGAAGCGCCGTCATCACTTATACAATTACTACTGGTCTGTATTTTTTTAGCTTTAGGAGGGTAGCAGCTGAAGCGAAATATCACGAGCGCGACATAGAACGACACACAGTACTTGTCCAGTAAGTGTTGCGGGTACGTTGGGCATTTTCATCGAAAAATTGCACGCGGCCAATAAGTTCGATTCTCAGTCACCTCAACAATGCATGGCAAAGTCCGAAGCACCGGTGCCACATGATCAAGAAAATATTTACTTGATCACCTGATCCTGATTCTTGATCACTCTTAAAATGGGAGTTGTCTTGTTGCAAATGCATAAATTCGCCACAGCGTAACACTCTAGAAACCAGTTTTATGTAGCGGGAATTTTCTGCGACAATGTGTTGGTGGCTGTGCTCAGGGTTGACGTGTTGAAGATGTTCGGCCGAATCCTCGGCATGCAACCATCGATTCAGACTGGAATTATTGAACAAAATTGGGCACGAAATGAAGGATATGAACCTCAAATGTAAGGAATATTAATTAAGCACTTGAACAATTTTACATCTATTGAATGCGTCGGGCCTCCAACGTCAATTGCAAGGCCACCTCTCCTCTACTGCATCGAGATCTATTCATCTCGCCATCACCAGCCGACAGGTCCACGATAATTTAACAGAAAAGACGAAATACTCATGCGATCTGAACGCTAGCCAAAACCTTCTCAAAAGGTCCTCCAATACGCTCCAATCTCGATAGTTCGGAACTTGAAGCGATGAATTGCATAATTCTGTAATAATTAGGCCGTGTCCAAAGGAAGAGGCGGGATGCGGAAAAAAACGTCTTGCCGTAATCGCCTGTCGGAAGGAAGCGGGAAGCGGGAAGCCCAATAAGGCGTAAGAAAGCGACACGAATGATTGAGGCGAGAAAGGGAAAACGCACGTTGCAATTCTGCACGTAATGCCAGCCAGTCACTCGTTACGTCAGTGAGGACGACGCTCGCACCCCAACGGGCGACCTGGTAGTAAGAGGTATGAGCAGTACATCCATAGACACCCAGAATCCAATCCCACCTCAATCATTTCCTCCCGGCGATTAACGGTCCAAACCATGACTTTCTTCCCATCCTTCGCACAGTCCTCACGGAACTTCTCTCCTTCCCACCCAAGTAAACTCGAGAAGCTCATCGAAAACGTTTCGCAAGTTTCCCAGAAGTACTCCCTTGCGATGTGAGTGCTCATCCCGATATGGGCAAGGCGGAGGAAAGGAAGACAACGCCGGGCTGGCCCGATGAATTTAGGATGCCACAATCCAAGGACAATACGAGGAGCCAGTTGAGTTTCCCAATTTGGCTGGGCACAAATGATCTCTCTGTCCACGTTTATCAACGAGTGATCATTGTAAGCGAGCCATTTGGACGTCACAAATAATAAAGTTATGATCCTCACCGCATGAGCACGAAAAGATGACCCGGATCATTTTGAACTTTAACGTCAACCTAAGCCCCATATAAAAACAAAACAAAACACTTCAGAAAACTGTACAAAGGTCTTCGGGGACGCACCAGCTATGATCAAGCTGGAAAAATGTTACGCATCCAAAAGGAAGAGGGAAAGATCGTAAAGCTGTGTACATTCGAACTGGAACTTACGTTAAATTTGACGTGGTTGTTTCCTTCCTGAAAAAACAAGGGAATGAAGATGAGTGCAACTGCGCGCGCATGCATGCACGAGCCCGCGTAGCAGCCAAAGGTGATCACGCATTTCTCGTTCATCATCCACGCTCGTGAGCTATAGATGAGGGGAGAAGAAAGCATTTCTCCATGCAACGAGTTCCAAGGCTTGCTGGAACACGACGAACCACCTTCCGCTCGAGGTCCTTGGTGATTCTAAGAAGGCACCTCACCTTCATGATGAGTTCTACGGTGTCCTTGAAGGTAGGGATTGGTTGCGGGTGACCATCCAGACCTTTCTTGATCGTACGAGCATGCTCCATATCACCGAACCAATCCTTGTCCCGGATTAAGCCTTTCACGTTCGTCGTCCGGTCGAGGGAAGGATCATGAAACATGATGACGACATTGTCTTTTGACACGTGCACGTCTAGCAAAGAGATAATATTGATGAGAAAGAAGCTTTTGGGGGGAAAGAGAAGAGGTAGGTGAAGAACGTTCGTTCGGGGAGAAACGGGTTCGATTAAGATGAACTGAAATATGATTCTCTGTCGCCTTTTTTCGGCAACATACATATGCCATAAGAGAACTGTCACACCACACTGACGCGGTTGTGACACACGAGGAACTTGGAGAATGCCCTCGGCATCAACTCACCGCTTTCAATGCCTTCAGCACCATCCCGGATGGCGGCAGAGAAGGAAGCCAATGTATTTTCAGGAAAAGCAGCGCTGGCCTAAACACAGTGGTGTCAAGAGAGAATGTTAGGTCGTATGGCTCATTGGAGACACACTCCGCGATGCCCCCAGCTACAGTAGTATGAGAGTGTCAAGAACAAGAAATCGACAGATCAATGACTGCGAACGAGCACAAGAGACGCGACTAACCATTCAGGAAGTGTCAACGACGATACAACCATTATGATAGGTGAAGTAGAGTAATATGCGCAGTTAGTGATGAGCAACAGATCGCTGGTTTCGATGTTGGGGGGACAGAAATGGGGGAGTTCGCGGAATCCCTGGGCCTTTTATAGATTCTGATGAGGATAAAATATGTAAATGGGGGGAAAATGATAAACATAAATTCTGGAGCTCGTGATGGAGCACGCGTGCAATCAGGGACGAAAATATTGAGGGAATGCTCACGCGGGAGTAATAGCCTGAAGAGGTGTAATCAGTACTTGAATTCAGACAAGTGCCTAGGGATTAAAGAGAGAAAAATAAACAGGTAGAATTTCCTCTTTTGCTCGTGTTACATAGTCCATCAATCGGTGGGAAGGCTCATGCCCCAAAGTGAGGGAGTAAAGGAGGGAAAAGTCAAACTGTAATCAGTCACTGCTTCAACTTCATTCCCGTGACAAACGTTTGGGGAGCCACAATTCAATTTGATGAACGAACGGTCGTCTTCCAGATATCTCTGCAGGTTGATAATTACCTCTCTCCAACGTGCAAAAGATACACTATCACTCAAAGGGAAAGTCCAGACATACTTACTACATTCCCTAGCCCGAGATCCTGCCGGCCGATCACTCAACATATGCTGAGCGTCATTGCCATGCCAGTGTGGTCGACTTGATACATGCACCCAACGAGACTATTGGCCATGCATCTTCCCCACCAACCCCACCCACCTTTCCATGCTAAAAACTATCACTACCGCACTGCGATAGCAATGATGGAATCCTGATCCCATCCAATACATATTTACTTATTTCACCTCTTTAGACAATCAGACTCGCCACATTACGCAAACATGATGATGATGCACCACAAATCCAATTTCCATATTCATGGCTTGTCCACCAAAACCCCATCATCCTCGCTCGTCTCTGTACCAGTAATACTCCCTTCCGTAAATGAACCCGTCCCCGTTACAGGACTAGGTGGTACCACCGAAGATTTCACTTCCTCCTGGACTTGGCTCCTCATCTCCATGACCTTGGTTGTTCCTGAAGCGGCAATCGGCTCCCCATCTGAGATCTCCCGCAGAGCTGCAATCATTGCCTCCCTTGTTTGAGTGACCAAGTTGGGAATATCCTCAATCGTCAGGTGTGCCGTAGGTATGGGTTTAAGCACTTTGAAAACGGATTGGGTAAAATTGCATTTACGTTTATTTTTTTGGGGTCCGATTACATAAGCCATCCACATACCTTTGATCTTCAAGTTCCCATCCGTCAACACTCCCTTGTGGTATATCGACCAGTAGTTTTGGCATATAACAGGAATGATGGGGACACCCGCTCGGACGGCAAGATGGAATCCCCCTTTCTTGAAAGGTAACAAATCACTCTCCTTCGATATATGTCGAGTGCCTTCCGGGAAGATCCACAACGATACCTGTTATTCCATATCAATGAACGTACTCCACATCTTCATCTTCTCGCTGTGGCGTCCAGACAAAGGGACGCAAATGAGAGGGAAAAATAAAAGAGACTTACGTTCTTCCTTCTCACTTCTGCTCCAGCTGCGGCAAGTGCGGCGACGGCATCCTTATTATTCTTCCTATCCACAAATACGGCACCAGACAAATACACGTATTGGCCTAAGAAGGGTGCAAACTGTAGTTCCTTCTTCACCATTATCGATGCCCGACGTGGAAATATCCTATATGTGAACCACGATCGTGTGAACTTTGGGGATTACCACCGCAAGGCAGCACCCAAGCGGTTGAGCCGGATTATCCGCGTACCTCCCAAGGACGATGATATCCAACATGGACTGATGATTGCCCATCATGACATATGGTCCCTTTGCCAAGTGTTCCTCGCCCTCAACGGTGCACTTGATCCCCATCACTACACTCGCAACGTTGTAGAACATTCTAGCTGTCACGTAGTTGATATCGTATCTCCTTCCAATCAGGGTCATAATTATCGATATGATGGCGCCACAAATAGAGCAAACGCTAAGCGTCGAGACATAGAGCACCAAACGGAAATAGTATTGAGTCAATGGGTTCCGGTCCGCGGCAAGTCTAAGGAGGTATACTGGGAGCGAGAGGTAAGCAAGACGAGCTGCAAAGGTCATAAGAGCACCGAAGACGCTCATCGCGTAGTCGATGAAAAAAATTAGAAAAGGAGGTTTCCAAAAGTGCACGAGATGGCTATCAGGGTCAATGTTGTCGTTAGAATGCTCTGTCGCCGGAAGTAAAGTTGCGTGCCGGAACTCGAGACGCGCTTGCAACTCCCATCACCGGTTAACACAACGGCTCGGCCAATTTCAACACCACGATCAAGCTAATGGACGCGTTAGTTTATTAGGAGAAACGCGAGGGAGTTATACACGTGGCCGCATTATGTGTTGTGCAGACATTTGATCACTCAACCCAGGTGTCGTTCATGAAGTGGATTCCAATGTCATAACACGACCTGTCCACATGGACCCTATCTGCTCTTAGACCATTACTGTCTTTACTTTGTCCGTTTGGTACATACATTTCGTGATCCAAAAAAACGCATTTATTTTAAAACAACAAACCGGCAGCAATCTCCACATTACCATTAGCTGCATCCAAAGCTCTAATTGCCTGTTCTCTAGTAACACCTAGACCAACAAGTGCACTTATGTCCGACTCGGGGTACCTTGATGGGCGCGTTTCATGCCGCGGTTGTGGTGTGTTCGATGAACCAGACCGCGTCGCCCCAAGCGCCTGACCCGTTCCAGGGAAACTGGAATCTTGCCGTTGACTCGGATTGCCGGATACCCCACTACCAAAGGTCGTTCGCCTCGATAATGGACTGCTTGGTTCGTCGATCGGAATCGGATTGTCTCGAGCTTTCGCTGGTAGCTGATGCTCAGGCAAGAATTGCACCTCTCTGCCTTGTATGATAAGGGCATTTTTCGCCAAATCAATGCAAGCTTGGTGAGCTTTAAGCATATCTAGCCCAAAAAGAAGGTCCACCTCTCGTCCCTACGCGCATTGTGTGAGAATCACGAGCATGATCGTAAAATGCAACTGACCTCCATGACAGTGAAGGAGCATGGAAGATGAATGTCAGCTATTTTTATTTGTGCGCTGTGCACCCGACCAAGGATGTTGGCTGTGCCGACTCCTCGTGCGACGCCGGAAAACCGCGTATCTAGTAATCGCATGATGCTGAATCAGGTCATAAGTCGGAGGGAGCGCGCTTTGATTGTGATGCCTGTGACACTCACCCACATTGCTCAGCGCATTCCGGACTAACTAAATAAGGCTCCGCATTTGAGTTTAGAACGAGGACATAAGTCGTTTTGGAACTGACTGATTGTTTGTTGTGCACCACTGTCCACGAATGCCGATACAGGATGGCCATTGACTTCGACGGGTATACTGGTAGCAAGGGCAGTTCAGTTCATCCCATACAATACCGCATTGAAGGATCGTTCGACTTACTAAAGCATCGTCACTCTACCGAAACTTTCTGGGGAGTACTCCATTGCATGTTCCAAGTTTTCCATCACAGCTTCCATCCGAATAGCTTCTTCAATCCTCCGTTGCGCTTCCGCATCATAAGGGTCAGCATTCAGAGCTGCTATTTCCCTGCGGCGCGCATGCTCGGCTTCTTGCTGTCGTTCTCGTTGTTGACGAAGCAGCTCAGCAAAACGCGTGGGATTGTGTTGAGCAGCATCTGCAGTGTCAGGTTGGGTCTTTCGGTGGAAGCTGAGTCAGCGCAACGCATGTTAAGAGAATCGCCGAACATACCGCTCTTAGCTCTCTCATTAGGTTGGGATCGCCCAGAATACGCAGACGGATCATTTCCGCGTCCTGCTCGACCGTTCTTTTCATTTTGGTCAACGGGAACAGTATTTATATAGAGACCAAAAGTTAAAATTTCTCAAAGACTCACCGACCGGCGATCACCACCTTGCGTCGCAGGAGTAATACTGCGTTGTCCCCGATCCCTAATTCTGATATTGTGGCCTTGGGGTCGCTCAAATCCCTTCCGTCAATCGAGATGCTCTGATCCGAGATTGCAATGCCAGACTGGAATTTCGGTCAAGTCAGTGGGAGTGGTGGGGAAGAAATCCGCTGTACCTCAGCTTCGAGAAGCGCCATGATGTTCTCAAGCTCCATATGAGGGTCGATCTCGACCTGGTATGCTTGACCAGTCTCGGTGCAGAAAGTCAAACGCATGATGGTCCCTCAGGAGGCGAATGTATTGAGGGGTAAGCGGAGTTGGTAGGGCGGAATGACGATAGGATATGTTATTTAAGCCGGGATCAGCAGGGAGTGATCCTAGTGGCATCCAAAGCATACGCGTCCACGTTAAGACTCGTCGATCCGCGATGACTCTAGAAATCGTATAGAAATCGAAGGATCCGGAAAAGGATCCAAGGGAAAATGCCGGGACAAGGGGACGCGAAAGTCTGTCCTAATCGAGAAATCACGAAATATTGAGCGTAACTCTTCTCACTTGGGCAGGACCTCAGCTTTTTGATCTTATTCTCCTTGTCTTGAGCGAAGGCTTTCGCCTTTCAGCCTTCATAGATTCCGACTGTCCCAGTGAAGCAGGTTGATTAATGCCATTGGAGGTTTGGGCTTAAATATACTACTGATCAACTCCTCGTTCCTCTCCTGGTTCATTTGGATGTGGGCAAATGAAGTCGTGTGGCAGATGCGTAAACTAAGATCCCACCCATTCTCTTGGAGCGGAATGAACGGGTTGAAGGAAGGGGTCTGAAACAAAAACCAGACAATAAAAAATCCCAATAATTCACGGCCACAATAACTTAAAATCAAAATGGGTGGTATTGATTTCTCAAGATACACAGGCGCAGAATACTCGATTGGGCAAGCTAGGATTCGGCCTTTCCGCGCTGGAGTTTGCAATGAAGATGGCATTGCGCTCCACTGAACTGAGGATAATTTTCGTTCGACCGTTGGGTCGCTCAGGACCAGGAGCCCAGAATTTCTGGAGACGAGCTCGTACATAATTGTGCTCACTTGCTTGCGAGTTGGATTGAAGTAGAGATCCCAATTCCTGCACCGGATGGCTCCCACGTCAACGCCTATTACAGCAGACTTGATGGCCAGGGCAGAAGGAATCAACTTGAGACTTTATTTACACAGGTTCCTTGCTCCATATGGCGAGACTAGCGCTCGGATCGAATGGCTGGTGACCGGAGATCATGGGATCATGGGCCGCACTCAGACCTGAACTGGATTTCGCCTCCCGAGGCAAGTATAAGGCCAATTCAGACCCACTTTTTGTCCTCTGTGCGCGTAGTGAAGATGAAGGACCATACATGTGGAGACATCGGCGTGAATTCTAGCCCTGCGGTGTTCTAATGTACGGACCGGGACGAGAGGTCAATAGCCCATGCAACCTACAACTTGCAAACCTTTCCAATGAATCTGGAATGAACGCTAATCTCTCTCTCACCCGGATACTAAGCATGCATGCGATAATGACGATCCGAAGGCAGTTGAGCTAGATCATTTTAAATCAGTAGTTTTTGAAAAGTTGGTTTTCGCAGTGAAATTTAATTATTTGGATCTGGGAGTATATGTTACATGGACACGGTTCAAATGCCATATTGCGAAGGTTTCAACTTTTAGATGACTGTCCATCGAGATCGCACAGGAAAAATAAATAACTGGAACGGTGGCAGAACAGATTATCCTGTTTGCGTGAAAACATGGATCTGGAACAGTGGTGCAGAATGAGCATGCTGTATCCCGGTGGGGATGAGGGAGGGGACGAACTTAGAATCTGGAAGCGCCGCCACCCCCTGATAGCACAGTGTCTTCAAGAGCAGAAGCGCTAATACTTGCATCTAATGAATAGTTACATCATCGATCAAAAAAAAGCACGATGAGTGGCGGTAGAGGAGGGCAAACACTCACCGCTTAAATCACTGAAGCTAGACGCTTGGGATCCATGGCTACTAAGGCTCCGATTTCTTCTCATCTCAGTTTCTAACCGTGATGGTATGGACGTTGTCCTTATATTATTTTGACCAGGAGGACATCGCACATTCGCAACACGTCCTGGACTACCGCTGGGTGAGTGTGAACTGGACGATGGAATGCTGGGAATGGCATCCCTGGAAAATCGTGACGTCCTTGGAGCCACCATAAATGTTGCCACCTTTCCCCCGCTCTGAGTACCAGCGGAAGTGTAATCAGGGGTAGGAGGAGACTCAGGTTCCTCTTCCCTTCCACTCTCGCCTGTTTCCGGCACATCGGACATAGAAGGTGTCTCCTTTTGTCTCTCTTTCCCTTTTCTAATCAACTTTCCGCGGTAAGCACCAGACGAACCAGCAGCGAAGCCAAACCCGTCAGTATTGACCAACTTCTCTAATTCCTTCAACCGTCGGTTGACATCTTCTCTTTCTTCCTTCTGCCGATCCCCTTCGTCTCCGGTTATTTCCGACTCAGGATCAGAGGAAGAGGAGGAAGAAGATAAAGGTTTCGATGCAATAGCCGAACCAGTCATGGCATTTTTGAGGAGTGTGGTAGGGGAGCGGACTGCTGTGCCCGCGGATTGTATGCGAGACGTAGAAAGGGTCGGGAGAACGAGTTTGTCAAGATTCCCTGGTGAGCGCGGCACTGTCACGATCGTCTCGGCACGGGAGGATGTTCTTCTGCTGGGGGTTGGTATCCGCTTGCCATCTTCATTCAAGACTCGGGGAATAGTAGCAGTTGGGATAACAGGCTTCACTTCATATATTTTTCGGAGGTCTTCTTCATAACGAGCCTGCGTTTTGTATAACAGATAAGGCAGTGGAACGACAAGGTGTGCAGCGAGGTATTGCCCTAAAATCCATAAATAAGCATGAGTGGAAATGGACTGTCTAGGCACTCGCAGTCGATATCTTGGTGAACGTGCGTCCTAGAAGAAGTCAGCTCTTGCCATAGAATCCTTTCTTTCTCCGCATTCCATTCAACCTGATTGATGCAGCTTTAGGGCTTTATCCCAATTAGCCACCCGAGAGTTACACTTGACCACGAACTGGAATGGGATCGCGCAGCCCTCCATCATGAGGGCGATCATAGGGAAGACGAACAATGACGATGGGAGGAAGAGGGTTTGACATCTCGAACCTGTTGGCTGTTGCCGCAAGCTTTAGTGGCTGTGCTATCGAAGCATCAAGATCATGACTACATTTCTCATCCAACCACGGTCGGCGCATACGGCAACCATTATATTTCTCCATGGACTAGGTGACACAGGTGGGGAGTCTAATAGTCCTTGGAATAACATGTCTCATTACGCACATAGGAGCAGGCTGGAAAGCAATCGCCCAAACGATTGCCCCTCAGGTCGGTAGTTGACCTGACGAAAAATCTTATCCGTGCCCCTCACGCCACTTTGAATCATCTTATGGCTGGCGGGTCTTTTTCATTGCTGGCGTTGCAGCATCCTCACGTCAAATGGTGGTACAGGTTGTCTTCGCATCTCGCTCCTCGTACTTACGGAATCTCGTCGCAGGATACTTCCCACTGCCCCAGAACAGCCTGTTACGTTATTCGGGGGAATGCCGACCAACTCCTGGTGCGGCTCGATCCACACCTTCGTGATTAATTTGACGTATGTCCAGGTTTGATATACTCTCATTGAGCGAGAGTTTCGACGATGAAGGCAGTGTTAAGACGGCTGCCCGGTCTGTGGATAAGTTAATAGACCAGGAAATTAATGCTGGGACTCCTTCAAGCCGCATCGTCCTGGGCGGCTTTTCCCAAGGTGGTGCCCTTGCAACCTACACAGCCTTACACTCCACAAAGCAGCTGGGTGGGCTAATCGGGTTGTCGACTTGGCTTCCGTTGGCTGGGCAGACTGAAAAAGTAAGTTAAATGCGCGTTCCAACATGAAAGCCAGCGAGGATCTCTCATCACTTCCCCACAAGACCATGTCTCCCACGACCAAGATGGTGCCGATTTTCATGGCTCACGGGACCGAAGATAAAGTGGTGCGCTATGACTGGGGTCTCAAGTCGAGCAATTTCATGACGGAGAAACTTGGTCTTCGGTCGCGCAAAGCCCCAGATTTTGGACCTGGTGTCATCTTTAACACATACCAAGGAATGGTTCATTCCGCAGATCCACGAGAACTGCACGACTTGACTCAATGGCTCAAGAGCATAATTCCAGAGTCTTCATAATTGGGTAGATGTGATAATAGGAAATGTTGTAAAGAGGCTTGCCATATGCAATCAAGGAATGTCTAAACGCTGTAGCCCGACGAGTTAGGTTGAGTTGCGTAGAGTCAAGTTCTGCACTAACCTGCTTTAGTCCTTTGATCAAAAACAGCTCCTCTTTCGATAGCTCCGCTTTGAACGACTCCTACATCAGAAGGAAATGTATTAAACTCAGTTGCACTGAGGTCGTTTTGGAACGGACCTTCATTACATCGATGCTTTGCCTTGTGATTTGACTCAAGAGTTCGTCCTTATCGTCAAAGTGACGGCCATACATCTTCGCAGACTGGTAAACAGCATGTTCTATCTTGACAGCAACCCCAGCACCGGCTTGGGACTTTTTGACGACCTATGAGACATGGGAACTAAGCGGAAAGTGGCGGCAGTACGGTTCAATACACACTTCCATGGATTTATGGTTGATCTCCAGAGAGGTTCTAAAATAACAGTAATTAGTAAGTTCAATTTCAGTGAAGCATGCCTAATTTACATTTTACCAAGTGAAATGATTTCCTTCTTCCCAGTTGTCGAGTCTGTCTTGACGACGCACAAGGGAGTGCCAATTCGTAACGATCCATCCAGGATATCTACTCCGAGGATAATGGGATCGCGTTTAGCAAAAACGGCGATGGTTTTTAGACGACATGGCCAAATGGCTTGAGGTGCTGCATCTCGACGTTTTGCCTCCATAATCTCTGCATTGTAAGCAGTAAACGCATCAAATAGGTGATATATGATGTCAGCTAAAAGGGAATGGTGAACTTTAGCGCGCCGTTGAAGCATTCTATCAGACACTTGCCCTTGAAGATCTTAATCCCTAATTCTTCTGCAATTCTTTCTGCATCTTTGTCGACAGCAACATCGAAGGCCAGGATGCATGCCAATTCTTTTGCGCGCTCCAGCATAATTGCGGCTTGCATGATGTCTCGCTTGTGCACAGTGCCAAGTCCAATACCTGCGACCGGGATTTTGCTAACTTTCAGGAAGTCTAACAAAGCCTCAAGGGAACCCAATGTGCTTGCTTGTACTGTGACACCCCTCCCCGAGCGTTCGACAGATTCGAGAAGACTAGTGAGGTCGGACATAACCTCCTCTCGCAAATCCACCTCATCATCATCTGGTCCGACCACCATTAAACGCGAACCAGCAATGGATTTCTCGAGATCTGGTGCGGCTATCTTCACTCCAAGCGCAGCTCTCACTTCCTTATGATGGACATAGGCGGACTACCACAATCCGTCAGAGCTTCTTTCGAATCCATCAATAACACGTTCTCACCTTTATCCTTAATTCCCTCATAGGTTGGGGTGTTAGGAGAGCACGGATCTGAGTGACAATAGGGCCGTTTAGTCCGCATAAAACTATCTTGTCTCCTTCTCGCAGGACGCCGTTAGAGAGCACGACATCGATCGTTGTGCCAAGACCTTCAATGACTTTGACCTCAAGGACAGTGCATTCCAGTTCGGACAGGTACATGAGACGATCACTCATCCTCGTCTGAGTGAGATTGACAAGCAGCATTATCAGATCAGGGACGCCTTCACCGGTAATCGCAGACGTCGGTACGAGTGAAACAACCTTTCCCATGTTTTTATTCTCGTAGTAAAGGGCGGCATTTAAACCTTGCTCTGCAAATGCTAAAATGGTCTGCTGGCATCTGTTGTCGAATTCACGTTTAACAGAGGGTGGCTGATTCGCTAATGAAGCTCGGAAGGAGTTGTCTGGGGTGGACACCCAACCGTACATACGATCAATCTGTGACGGAAGACATTGAGCGAAACATGGACAAGTACAATGATGTGGGGCGCCACCTTATTGAGAGCAACGACGAATGGCGTCTTCCTATCTCTTAGAAGTCGCAGAGATTCCAAGGTCTGGGGTTCGAGCCCGTGCTGCATTATGGTATTTAAGAAGACGCCGCGTTTCCTCGTTCTTTAACACTGACCATAATGTCAACGACCAGTACCGCAATATTGCAGAGCGAGCTTCCCCGAGACCTGAGGTTGGTAAATGATTCATGTCCAGGAGTATCAATCACGAGCAATCCAGGAATATTATAGTCGAAGTCCCCCGCCTTCAACCTCTTCAGTATTAAGGCTACGAACAAGAAAATTGGACCTCTCGTACCGCATTTACAACTTTCGTTTTCTCCTTGATAGCATCAACCGGGAAATAAGTGGCACCTATTTGTTGTGTGATGCCTCCAGCTTCGCCTTCTTGAACGTTGGTTTGTCGAATCTGCGTCGTAGATTATTTAAACAGGACATCACTGTAATGCGCTAAAGACATGCCTTATCCAGTAGCTTCGTTTTCCCAGTGTCGACGTGTCCCAGAATACAGCATATCGGGCTTCTCAGATTATCCTTGCTGCGAGCTGCGAGCGCTTCTTCGTGACGTTTTTGTCTCCGTTCAGCCGCCTCGGCTTTTCTCACGAGAGCTTGTTTCTGGGCGACGGTGAGTTCTTCTTCAGACGAGCTATCGCTGCTGGTTTCGTCTGAATCAGAGGCAGATTCTTCGTTATTGGAAGACTTGTCGTTGTCTTTGCCAACAGTATCCTTGGTAGAAGTCTCCCTTTGGGCAGAAGCTATCTGAGTAGATGTTGGAATATTCGTTTTCGGAATTATTTTCTCAGAATCTAGTACGACCCATGTCATTACGTAGCTCATATTGGCTGGAGCTTTGGATATAGGAATACCTATTGAAGGGGCCTCCGGCTCTGATTCATCGCTAGAGGCGTCCCATTCATCCTTGACGTCAGGATCTAGAACTTGATCTTCCACAGGTGGGGCCGGGACGGGTTTAGCGGGTTCCTCAAGCCCAGACGTCTTCCCGGGATTGGAGGTTGACGCGTTCATGTCGGGCTGTTGCGCAGAAGGCTCAGTTTTTGATGGTGGAGGTTTTCTTTTGCGAGTCTCGTATACAACTCTCTTTCCCGGCGCCGACGCGCCCTCCTCAAGGCCCTGAATACGAACGCCAGAAGCCAGAAGAGCTTTCTTCTGCGCCTCGGCACGAGCCCTTTCTTTCTTCTGTTTATCAGTCAAGTAGCGACCTTCCTTCTTAGCAAGTTCTATCTTCGCCTAAAAATGCAAGTTTAAAACCGGGGAACGACTTCACCCCAAGTACACACCTTTTCCCTCTCCTTTTTGAGCTGTTTAGCTTCCTCCTTTAGTCGTTCCTCCTCGGCAATTCTTCGCTCTTCCTCCTCGATACGTCGACGCTCCTCTTCTTCTTTCCTTCTAGCCTCCTCCTCTGCAGCCTTCTGTGCTTCCATTGCCGCCTTCAGAGCTGCGAGTCCAACAGTCTTTTTTTTGGAGGACTTCGAAGACTTCGGTGCCTCTTTGTTAGCTGCTAGCTTCTTCTTCCCCGAGGCCCCATCGGCGTCCCCTTTATTGGCCCCAACGGATGTTGGAGCGGGCGTTACTGCTGGGGAAGGCGACTGTGAAGCGGTTTGGGCTAACACGCTGGACACGGGCTCGTCGACGGCGGCTGCGGCAATATTAACCTCTGCTGCTTCAGCCTTCTTCTTTGCCTAAGATGTGGCGGGGTCAGAATAAAGGCACCCAGAGACGCGCAGCGCGTAGCGCACCTTCTCTCGCTCCTTCTTCAGTTTTTCCTTCTCCTTTTTGGACAAAGTGCGTGAAGCTGGAACGTCGTGATCACTCCCTGCGTCGCCTCCGCCCAGGGGTCCTTCTTTGGGCGGCTGATCTGCCACCTGGTTGTTTTCTAATTCTGAGTTAAACAGATGCCGTCGCTTCTATCGATCACATCGTTTCACCTTTTTTCTTTTGAGGCTTTCCTTTTGGTTTGACTGGTAGTGCCCATTCATCGTCAGTAACAGGTTGCGTCTCAATCGGTTTAATGCCAGATTCTGAAACCGTATTTTGAGGGAGCTCTTCTTCTATGAGAGCAGGAGTTTTCTGTTTCTTCTTGTTCTTTTTATTCGAATTCGCCTGTATCATCCCCTATATCGTGGTGATAATAAGATCGACGCTTGATGACGGATGTTCATCTCACCAGTAAACCGCCCCCCGCGTCTTCGTCATCCAATTCATCATGTATAGCACCAGAGCTATAAAAGCAGGTCAGTGCGAGCACAGGCCAGGCTTATGGTATCTCATCCGCACTGAGAAGTGACCCTGGACTGATCCGATTTTAGCTCAAGATTCCCCGATTTCAGTGAGTCGAGGCCGGGGATGTCCTTCTCAAATTTCTCCCTTAAAAATTATGTCAGGAATTAACGTTCCCCCTTGGGAAGCCCCCGCACCACTCGGCATCGTCATCGCCTCTTTTTCCCTTTTTTCCGCCTTTTTTCGGTGGCATTGTCGTGCAGATTGCGGAGCAGAACGAACTATAGAATTGGTCACCTGCACCTCACATTGAATGTTGACATTTGGCATGGAGTCAGACCAGTTCGCTCCATCCCCATCCGTGGCAGATGTGCCTCTGTCTAAGAATGCCCAAAAACGCATTCTGAAAGCTCAGAGACGCGAAGAGATCAAAGCCATACGCAAGGCAAAAGAGAAGGAAATAAAAAAGTCCAAGAAACGTTCCAGGGCCCACGAAGGACAGATTCACGCCCCCTCCAGGGGCCGAAACTCCACCCAAACCACACCAATGCCTTTCCTTGCGTCCGTTGTAATTGACCTAGCTTTTGATGAGCTCATGACTGTGAAGGTTGGCACTTAGTCGCGCAGATCTGTGTGGATCGCTCCTCTTATTCGTATTACATTAGGAGTGCAAGTCTATGGCATCTCAGCTGTGTCACACTTATGCATCCAACCGAAGAGCCATTCGTCCATTCAACTTGTTGATTTGTACATCTCTCAGCGGAAGATTAAAATGCAAACTTGACGACATTAATCACGGCGCTTATCGAAGGTGGCGTCGTGTCATGTTCTCCGAGAGCGGCTATGAAGAACTGTGCTCTCCTTCCGCCAATACTGTGACTGTAGGGAACGCCGGCGAAACTTCCAGCCAAACGCCCCGATTTGACACGAACCAGCTGGTATACTTGACTGCGGATTCTGAAAACGAACTCAGCGAACTCAAGGAAGGCGAGGTATACATTATCGGTGGTATCGTCGATCGGAATCGTTACAAGGTAGTCGCTCTGATGGTTTGGGGATGTCAACCGACGCGTCGCCATAGAATCTATGTCTTCGCAAAGCACAGAATCAGAGAATTCGGACGGCACGTCTGCCAATAGGGAGTTATTTGTCCGACATGAAGACACGCAAAGTCAGTTTTTCTTTCTCTCTTTTTCCTCACTGTGGTTGTAGTTCACCTGTTAACAATTCAGATTTTGACAGTCAACCAAGTGTTCGACATTTTACTGCAGTGGGTTGAAACACGCGATTGGGAACTTGCTCTCCGAGAAGTGATGCCGAAACGGAAAATGAAACCTTCCGACTCCAAAGAAGTACCGTTCGTTCACGTGGAGGACATTCCTGATCAGACAAGAACGGACCTATGACTGAGACGGACGATACAACGCGCTCAGTTTAAGACCTATGTTACATTCGATACAAAGAAATGGAGCCATTACGATTACCATCAGAGAATGTCCTTTAAGTTTGTGTCAGCACTTCCTCTGGTAAGAGGTTTCCGTTGATTGGGTGTTGGTGTCCATCCTATCTTTGAAGGCATCAGTCAGAAAATAACTCAAGTGCGCAGGGATCACCATATGTATAATTTGGAATGTAGCGGGGATAGTGCCTTTCTTGGTGGCGTAGAGGTCTGTAACAATTATCAGATTGAGCCTTACAGGGTAAAATGCTTGCTTGCTTTGGTAAATGGACGTGGCCGCCAGAAGAGTGTCCCGGTGGATGAAGTGCCGTCTAATGGTCCTCAGAGTGAGCTAGGATCATGACACGACGGAGATCTTCTGACCTATCTAGCACTGCGTTGCTCTCACCCATATCCTGGAGGTCATGAACAAGCTCCCACATCGTCGGGTACTCAACTCTGATCTCTTCGATATCTACCGTCAGGAGTGTGAACCCGGCACGTCCCAGTAGACCGGACATGTCTCCAGTTGCTTGGAGTAGTCAGAAGCGGCCGCTTGCACTGAGAACTAACATACATGTCATGGGAGAAACGCGAGGCGAGATTCCCCCTTCACGCTCCACTTCGGCAAGCTGCAATGATGTTCTTCACGATATGTGAGGGAAGCCCTCTTACTCAACTACACGACGTACCTCAGTTCAAACAGTGTGTCGCCTCCAAACATGGCAGCAAGAAAAACACCATCAGGTTTCAAGGCTTTTTTGATTTGAACGAGAACTCCTAGGAGCGCATCAACATCATTTGAACTTCTTCAAACTCAAACACTCGTACCTGGCAAGTCATTCACCCAATGAAGATTTAAGCAAGAAACGACCGCGTCTTGGCTATTTGCTGGGACTACAGACAGCAAACTTTCTTCATCAAGTTGTTGACGAGACACGTGCACTGCGTAAATGTAAATAAAATTTGTCACTGTTAGAAGGGAGAAGGACAACGAGCCTTCAAAATCAGTCATTGGGTCCCTATGCAACACGGAATCTGGGCCGAGCAATTGGTAAGCGGTGCCGACTCCCATATAGGCACTTCGTACAGCTAATGTCGACCATCTTTACTTGATTAACGGATCCTGGAGGTAGCAGTCTCGAAAAATGACCGGGGCCAGCCCCAATGTCAAGAACAGTGTTGAATGTGCGTTTTATATCCTATCATTGCATCCCGGACAATTGATATTACAACCGACCCACAGCATGTGGACGTACTAGAAAACGCTCAAGCATCTGATTTGCAGCCTCTTCTCGAACATAATCCACTTGACGGCTCGCGGCACCATCATCCTTAAGCGCAGCTCGATCCCTCTGAAGCAATTTTGCATGACGGTCGAACAGCTGGTACGGTGGGGAAGTCTGCATGAGAGATACCCCTCTGGATGTTACAGATGCATAATTTCGTGCCAGAGCGCACCTCAACAACACAGGCGCCATTGGCAATGTTGGCAATACAATAGCCCACGCTGCGGCTCCTTCCGACTGTCATTGAGATTTCGATACAAATCTCCTGCTTGCCTTATGGTTAAGAACCAAGATGAATACTAGAGGAAACGCTCAGCAGCATTGGCAGCCGTCCGAAACTCGTGTGAATCCGGAGTTACAAGTACAGCAAGTTTCCACAGGGTCTGGCCTGCCCATTGTTCACCCTCAATCTGCCCCCTTCTCCGGTCAGCCACGGCTTGCGTCGGCACCCGCACCCTCTGTCTCTTCGCAATTACCTACTCCCCCGACTTATTCTTGGCCTCCTTCCTCACAAGGCCAGCCTCCCATCGTTCATCACCACCAATCACGTCAAACTGCGTACGCTTATTTCTCATCTCGTGGTGCTGATTTTGATTTGGACATTGAAACAGATACCCATTGTATTCATCACCTATTGGCTACGACATTTCACATGGAAACCCAAACCCACCGAATTCCTCCACCGCACCGGTGCCATTCAATCACTCCCAGCTTCAAACGATGGATCATCGCACCAGCGCAACAGTTTCTTCTGCAGACAAGAGTCAGCCTGGTGGACGAACCGTATCGACCGTTCAGCAGCCACAGAGGCGAGAACAGGGTACGTGATTTGTTTCACCGATATCTCTGTGCAATTATCAACCTCGTCTTCTTAGCACAACTCGGCCAGCCCTCCACTCACGAGCCCCAAGACGCGGTGGCTGTAGCCCTCAAGTTCCGGGGATTTCGTCCATGGGGGGGCTTTCAACTCGCACCACAGGGTGAGTTTTCGGCTCACATCCGCCGCCCATTCCTTCACATCGCTCGCAATAGCATCCAACAGAAGATTTGTGCAATATCAGCCGGCAGAGATTCATCCTGGGGCGGGCTCTACCTCGAGCGAGTCCCAGCTTACACATGATAGTTTGTTGAATACCACAGTTTCAAAACGAGAACTAAACAGTGCCTTGAGGTTTGTAAGCCCAAATACGGTTGCACGAGACGTGCTGTATGCTCTCGAAAAGCATCACATTTTGGATGCTCTGTCGGCTGACCATCAAAAAACTAAACGGAAACGTGCTTCAGGCGAAGAGAGTCAGACAGAGTTATCTGCTGTAGACGCTACATTGCGGATTAGCACGCCAAACGGGACCAAACCCACTGGAAATGTCGTTATTTCCTCCGGACATGGTGACTCAAAGGTGGCGCCGTCTGAATTCACACATGTCGGCCACACCATGGGTCACCCAATAGGTTTTGATCCAACATCGGCGGGTGGGCTACTGAACAGCTCGGAACGGCACCTCCATGCAGTCGATACCTCAAAACTTGCCACCGCTGAGCCTACGCTATCTGAGGTTACAACAGGGAAGGCACCTTCCGAAATTGGCTCGAACACAGCTGTACAACCCAAACTTACGTCTCCTGCCCCATCTCAAGCCAGCCCGTCAAATATTGTCCCGCAGTCCAGCCCTGTTTCAGCGGCGACTAAGGCGGCCTTCTCTCGTTGGAGATCTTCTTTAGGGGCGAGTTTTGGAGACAGCGAAAATATGCGGCTTCGGATGCAGCAGCAGTCAAGCAGTATTCAGGACGGTACGTATTCCGCAATCTCGGGGGCGGTTTTGAAGTATCATCTGCGATTCGCTATTAGCGGTTTCACAGTCACTAGGACCCAGAGATGCTATTCTTATGTCCTTTCCCTCTCGACATAGCCAAAAGCATGGTTTCCCCCATCCGCTGGGGTCTGAAGCTGACAAGAAAGCGTCAAATGTGAGTGCTCGCTGACGGTTTTCCCATGGCCGTGAAGTCTCATATCATTTTCATCTTAATGAGAATCCAGGGAAATAGGGACGGCAAGATGGAAATGGCACAAGCGGGCGATTTTCCTCCCATTGCTGGTGATTACCACTTGTGACATTTCGAGCAGCGTTCCTCTAACCCATTGAAGCTGAAGCAGATACCAGCCCATCATCCTCGGACCATTCACTCGAGCTAGGCGGGGCACCATCATCGCTAGGGGCCACTTCTCAAGGCTCCCGTACACAAGCGAATGCTACCAATGGCCTCAGCTTTGAGCCTAATTCATCCCGACACAGCATCAACTGGACCGACGAAACTCCCGGTTTAATCCCACTTGCGAGCATCAGACTCCCACCTTTATCTGTGCTTGGACCGAATTCAACCGCGGAAGTTTCACGAGGGAATAATAGTGTAGTAACTAAACGTTTGAATCAGATTGCTCCTAAAGCACATTTTGCCAGTGGTCAGATTCCTTACGTCGAGATTCCCCTGGAATCGCCCCGCAAGGTGTTTGAGGGTGAGCTTCATCTCCCAACACATCACGCCCCAGACAGTCATGTCAATTAATCCAGGGCCACGAACAACTGGCATGAAAAATGAGAGGAGCGGTGAGTGACAAGGGATAGTGGCGTATTCGTTCGATCGACGGGGTAAAACCATGCAGTATATGACTTTGCCCCCCTTTGGCACACACTTCGCCCAGTATTATGCAACTGGTCAGGATGTGGCATAACGCTCGCATCACTAGAAAACCTCCGACGTCACATATTCCGATCGCACGAGGAAGCGATAGTGAGTCAACCTTCGGTCCTTCTGGTGGGGTCAACTCTCTGATTTCCGTATCTCAGAGAAGGCGAATTGCATGCCGCTGGGCGGACTGTCTGGACAGATCGACAACTTTCTTGTCAATGCAGCACCTGATAGATCATATCATCGGCAACCATATTTCCCATGTGTCGCTTTGTCCCTACCTTGGTACGTCATCCAACAACCCAGTAGTGGAGCAACGTCACTTATGGCAATCAAGGATGCGAAAGGTTGATACATCCCCTCAATGTCGAAAATCATTGCAGAAGAAAGCATGAGGGTGACAGACGACGTCCTAGTGCAGCTCCGCAAAAGCCTGTGGTTACTGTCGCGCGCCCCCTTCGATACGTTACCCCTACCTATGAACTTAGTCCCACGCCTCAACCTTCACCATGTCCAAGAAAATTTTTGCACCTTGACCGCCCCTTGCTGAAGGTAGCGCATTATCAACTTAAGTGAAGCGTAACGCTGACCGACTCGGCTTAGGAGGCCAGACCAAGTGCCAATCTGCCTCAGCGGAAGATAAAAACTCTCCTGCACAGTAGTCCATTCAAGTTCAACGTTGTGCGAGACTTCACGCTTACGTCCCTTGGAACAGGACCTCAGCCGGCGCGGGAATGAGTTGCTCATTTTAGGATTACCTCTATCACCTAGTAGATAATTTCTGCCTGTTCGTGTAATGTCAGGGATATGGATATGTTATGGGGGCCAATAATTGAGATCCTGATAATCGAAACAGTGCGCAGGAGAATCCTGGATTATCGTGGGTTTTTCTTTTTTCCCCTTCGTACCAATTCAAAGCCCTCCTCATCAATCATCCTTTGGAAGTTTCGGGGTTGGGGTAAAACAGGAGGCGGCACTTGTGGATCATTCATGACAACTTCGTCTCGGCCATCGTCCTCGCCGTTGTCCTCGTCCTCGTCCATATCCGCATCCTCCCACTCATCATCCCCGTTTCCCGCTCGTCTTGAAGCCTGCAGTTTTTCCGGAATCAGACGTTGCGCGTCGCACTCCAACTTGAGCACAAAGCCCATCTGATTGTTGGACACGTCGCGCCAAATGCGAACAATATCGCAAGCAATGGTTCGAGAGCTGCCATCGTCAACTTCCGTCTCAAACCCCTCCACTAAGGCATCCAATAGGAGCAATTCCACATCTTCCTCATCCAATGGGCTGATTTCGAAAGCATCAACAATTGACGACGCAATCCATCTTTTCTTGGACACACTATCCGGTCCTCCCCATGATTCTTGGATGGCAAGACGTAATACTGGCCAGCAATCGAGTGCAGCAATGACCCCTCTCGCGAATGAGATCAGCTCGATGCTCGGAAGTTGAGATGAGTTGGTGGTCATTGCGTTTGTTTTTGCTGCCACGTGAGTGGAGAAAAGAGATTACATAAGCCACATTCAAGTCGTCAAAAAACGCCGTGAGGATATGGCCGCCGAAGAACCCCATGATACAGAGGCCACTCGACGTGAGTGAGTCGTCTGTGTAAACCAATAAAGAGCAAGACTCATTTTATTACAGTGCGCCATTGCACCTAGAACATGGCAGGAATATTTTTACGCTTGCCCCCGAAGAGATAATGAGCCTGTGCCCTGCTTTGTCTGGGGGGAAATGTGCTGTTCTTCTCATCAAGCCTGATGAAACTTTGTTTTTCGTCGGCAAGATACGTTTGGTCCTACTTCATGGATCTGTCTCTATCATGGGGACAATTATCAAGCCAGGATTTTTTGTTCACAACGTTTTTGCTCCAAGAACCCATTCGTTGCCTCCAATCACCGGCCGTGAACTCGAGGAAAGGACAAGCAATTTTTCCGATATGTTTCCGGCCAGGATTCTGCATTACCTTGACCCTGTGCATTCAGTTCTCGCGTTGGGCAGCGACACGAGCGGAATCGATCTTCTTTCACGTTTGTCTTCCTCATATGATGTTCTTTTCAAAGTAGATCACTCCAATACCGAATCAATCCTGGCAGGCTTTTATCCAGTAAGTCAATAATCAAACATTAAAGACACCAGTTTGAGACACCCTTCCAGTTACAGTGGATTCCTTCCAACGTTAATATTCTCAGATTCCCCAGCAGCTGGACCAATGCTTTGCGAGCTGCCGCTGATTGGGATTTTTCATCTACTGCGCAACTTGATCTTGTGGCTCGCCCCTTTGTTGGTCTCGTCAAAGGTGGAAAGGGCGTAGGGAAGAGCACTTTCGCCCGAATGCTACTGAATACTCTACTTACGAGGTATTGCGACAGATTCCTTCCCCTGGTTGATCTGACAATACCGCAGAAATGAACGAGTGGCTTTTCTTGATTGCGACATAGGGCAGTCCGAATTCACCCCAGGAGGACTCGTCGGCATACATGTTCTTGATCATCCGATTTTTGGTGGGGTACAGCCACTCACTTATATTCTCTCTGCTGACAACTCTTGCAATCGTCAGGGCCGCCATTTACTCATCAATCATGGCCGTATAAAGCCCATTTTATAGGTTCTTACTCGCCCGGTCAACACCCGTCGCACTATATTTCATGCATTGCTGATCTTCTGGAAGCTTATCGCCTAGATATCCAGTTCTACGAGAAGGATGAAGAAATGCACTCCGTTCCATTGGTCGTTAATACTCAAGGTTGGATTAGAGGCCTAGGCGGAGAGCTCTCGTCGCAGATCGAAAGCATGGCATCTCCTTCCCATTGTTTCGACTTTGAGGGTGGCGAGGATGTGGCGATGACCCGGACACCTGGATGGTCATCGCGGAGCTCGTCCTCTCGATCACATACATTGTGGTTGGCCCCTCAACGACGTCCAAATTCGCGATACACGAGTGCGGACCTGCGGAATTTATCCGTGATGTCCTACTTGCATTTTTCCCCACTCCGCAAGCCACTTTGTGCTATGCCTCCGTGGGAAATCAACACTGTTGTCGCATATGATTCAATCCGGTTGTTAGGGAATGGGGGTGAAGATGTGGAGACCGGTGTCATCAGCGACGCACTTAGAGGCGGGCTCGTTGGCCTGATCGTGGACTCCGCGAGCGAAGCCCTCCCGAGGAAGGGGGATCTGTCGATTCCGTACGAACGATCGGTTTCGTTCCCTTCGCCATCGACATCTCGGTGTCTTGGGCTTGGGGTTGTTAGATGGATATCTGGAGACGCCAGAACACTGCATATGGTGACGCCGCTGCCCGGAAAGGATCTGGCGAGCTGCAGATGCATCGTCAAAGGCGATATGGAATTGCCACTTTGGGCATTTCTACCATACGCAGTTGACGATTTGGATAGTAAGAGCGATTTAGAGTCCCAATTTGTGAATGCGCCATTTTTGGTTTGGGGCACCACCAGTAGCACAGGAGCGGGGGAGGGAATTTGGAAGAGACGAAGTGTTCTGCGTCGCAATTTGCGCGTTACAAACAAGGGCTAACTGTGATTGCATACATGACAAGCTAGGGCGGTGGGGGAAGTCCAACAAAACTGATGGAGTCCTGGGCAAGATTGGGGCAAAAGATGGTGGCAGGTCAATACATGCACGACAAATGGTGAGGCTCGCGGAACACCTCACACTGGTGAAAACGTGTTATTTAGAGTGCAGTCTTACGCTTTTCTGTCGTTATAAGCGCGCGGACACGAGGTCCGGCAGTTGCCGTCCTCACAATTGTTCTGATTTCTCATTTTCTATGGCCATCATATGTCCTTAAGCATTCGGGGCAACTTCTTTCATCAGACTGCCATCTTTCCTCTTAGCCCTACTGCTTGTCATTCATGTCTGTTGATGCTGGTCATCGTTCTCAAGACGCCTTTGATTTGAGAGACGAGATCACTATGCAGGGCAACCACCAAGAGGATTCACTTCTATATGAGTCCCAGGATGAGGATCGGTCAGTGCTCGTAGACGAGGAAGATGAGGAAGATGACGCGTCTTCTACACTGTCAATTCCTAATGAAAGCATTGATTTTGATCTCGTTTACTCTTTCCACACTTTTGTTGCCACAGTGGAAGGACAGGCCAATGTCATGAAAGGGGACAGTCTGTTTCTGATGGATGACAGCAATAGTTATTGGTGGCTAGTTCGCGTGCTGAGAACTGGCCAAATAGGTTACATACCCGCAGAAAATATCGAAACGCCATTCGAACGCCTTGCCAGGCTAAACAAGCATCGTAATGTTGATGTTCGTGCCATTTAGTTACCTTCCATTTGTCGTTATACAAACCTTTCCTCCTTCAGTTGGCTGCTGCCACGCCGGCAGAGCAACAGGAGGACACAAGACATTCTCGTGAACGAGTCCGCAATGCCTTAACCGCAAGGAGTCAAAATATGGAGCATCATTCTCCCACTTCGAGCCATAAGAGCGTAATATTCACGGGATCTTCTGTTTATTATTATCCACCATTTGTCTGGGGCGACCCTTCACGCGCTGTGGGGGAAGAGGGTGATGAGCCCTGGGACGAAGACGAGTTTGGCAGCGAAGGTTCTGGCGTGGGAGTTGAAGAAGTGATGGAAATGATAAACGGTATGGAGCCAGACGATGGAATGTCGTGGGAGGAGGATGCGGTCGTGCATGGGCAAATGGACCAGGCGGAAGCCATTCATCTTGGAATAACTGATGGATCTACTCACACCTCTGTCTCCGGATTGCACGTAGACGATTTTGAACCCTCCATTGATGCACCTTCCCATCCCTCTTTGGACACCCATCCATCATCCCTTCGCACGCAGTCATCCCGCGAGAAACTCATGCATCAGCTTTCCCCAAGCCCAGCTCCCAGCTTAAGGGAGATGTTGGATCCTGCAGAAATTTCCGAGACCAAGAAAGTCACTGTTACTCCTTCCATCGCCCGTGAAGATGATCTTGCCCCTGCTCCCCATATCGCATCGAATGCAGTTCAGCGTTCATTTTCACTTAGCAGTGTCGCCAGTGGGGTGAGTAGTCAGGAGAGCGCTTCAAGCAAGCGGCAACGCGAAGACAATGCGGATTTGGATAGCAGCGATTCTAGGCGGCCTCGATCGAAGGGGGCGGATAAAAAGTTGCGCAAAGACAGGTCTGTCAGTGGTGATAGTCGTGATTCCCAAGACAGCGGAGAGCCCACTTCACCGTCCGTGGAGAAGGAGAAGAAGGAGAAGAAAAAGGGCGGATTCATGAGTTTGTTCAGCAGCAAGAAGAAGGATAAGAAGGATAAAGATGTCAAACGGTCGGCAGCGGAGAAGGAGGCTCCAGGTAGATCTTCTACCGATTCCATCTCCGCAGAGAATGGAGAGGATCCTTTACGTCAGGAACTCTCTTCTTCCAGTGCATCCAGACGCACCGAATCTCCCATCTCTATCCACACCGCCCGCTTGCAACAGAAGGATCAAGAGCAGCAGCAGCTGTACCAACAACATCTCAGGAAATCCCCGTCTAACAACCCCGATGAATCCTATGTGCCTGAACCTCAGCCTTCGCTATCCCACGGCGCCCCATCCATAGTTTCTGGAAACCAGCCCTCTCAAGGTGCCTTACTTTCACCAGGTCAAAGAACATCACGTCCCGGTTCCCTAATTCTAACCGGCGCAACTCTGGAAGGCTCCTCAGTGGTTCCTACATTAAGTGTTCTTCGTATTTTCGCTGGTGGAAACTTGCAATCCGATGCTACATTCAAAACTGTTCTGGTGAATGCATCTACAACCTCAGCAGAATTAGTCCGTCAAGGGATGCAGCGTTTCCGACTGCCCCATGGTGAGAATCCGGATGATTACTATCTCTCTATCAAGCAACTAGAAGGGGATGAGGCTCTACTCGAGCCTAATGAACATCCTTTACTTGCGTTTGAGCAATTGGTGGAACGCGCCTTGAGCATTCCTACGGTCAAACGTAGTTCTGTCGGAAGCATCAGCAGCGTCGCGAGCAACCTGTCAATGCATCCCGCAATCGCGAAGCTAGAAATGAATGATTTCACAGACGATTCCGCAGTGAAACTCTATCTTCACCGCAGAGTCAATTCAGTTCAGGATCTAGGACAATCTTCTGGGCGAGACGTGGATTCAAACAACACTTCGATCCAGGCTTTGATCGATAATAATGTCGGGTCTGGGTCAAAGCACCGTTTGTCGATCACAATATCTGACGGACTTGGGGCAGTCTCTCCCGAGAGATTCAACTCACCCTCTGCACGTTTCTCTCTACAAGTTGTCATCTATCCGGAGGACCTCCCTGATGGAATGGTGTTTGATCCGCATACAGAGGCAATAGTTCCAAAATCTTCGTTACAGCAACGCTCCTCTTCTTCGTCCGGTCCGTCCCCTGGAGTCCCACAGACTCACAGAAAGAAAATTTTCGCGTTTCCGAAAAACACTACCGTTGCGGAAGTGATAGAAGCCAGTTTGGAGAGGTTTGGTATTGTAGAAGGTGTTGTTGAGGGTGGTGATGACGTGGAGGATAAACCGGTGAAGCGGAGAAGCTCGAGCAGAGTGAGGTACGGATTGTCGGTGGCTTACTCGGATTTGCAACGTACGTCATTCCTTTCCGCTTTAATCAGTACGCATCGCTAATTAAACCTTCCAGAACGAGAATTGCAGCCATCCAGTAAAGTATTGGACGCATTCCTACAGCCTCCAGCGTTCAGATATGTTGACAGACGATCAGCTGAACTAAGGCGACGCTCTGGAGATGCAATACAGATACTGGGCACCCAGGATGACGTACAACGGGGCGACCCCACCTTCATACTCCGTAAATCCTCTGGCATTAAAAGCGGCGGTAATGCTCGTTTTAGGGGGTCCAACCACCTGGATGAAATAGCCCTACATCAGAGGTACAGGGACTCCACCGAGTCAAGCCAACTTCACGGTGCATCGAATCGCAGAGACTCCGAACTCGTAGTGTCTCAGACTGATGGTTTACTTGTACGCCAAAACGTAGACCGAGGTCTGGACATTATCATTCGAGGGAAAGGAGTAGTGAAGAGTGCAAGACATGGTGGTTTTGTCCGTTACGGGTTCATTCCACCGACGGGAGACTATCATGATATTCATTCCATGGTAGTCGAAGAATGGAAAACCTTGGTGAACAACATAAGTGGTTATCCACAACTCAGTCCAAACGATGACATACTCGATGCCCTCGTGAGAAAGCCACCCCCAGTCCTACAGGAGTTCCTCGAGAAGGCTATGAATGGAGTGCGGCACGACACCCTCCTCGCAGCACCACCTCTCTCTTTAAGGGGAGATGCATCACCTTCTATTTATTCAGAAAGCGGAACTCCGGCGACATCACCCATCCATGGCGAGCACGAAATGTTGACCTCTCGCAGCGCGTCCTTGGGACAAGCCACCCATTCTGTCTCTGCCCATTTAAACTCCATTGTCGAGCCGAAGGGTGGGACAAGCTCTGGTGCGGGGCCAGCATCACCGCGATACGGAACCGCTGGGGGACGTCGCCGAGACATTCGCCAATCCATGGGCTCGATGGATTCCGACATAAGCCAATATACCTCAAATTCTGACACAAAGGAAATTAGCACCAAGGGAAAAGCGAGCGCTCCAACACACCAAGAGGATGTTGGGAGACACGACTCAGGGCTTTCTCGCATGCTTGCCATGATTGAACTTGGGGCTGATCTTTCCCGCCCGCCATCGCCCTTGCCTATCACAATGGTCGACAGGCATTTTCTCGGTATCCCACTTGCATCGGATATGTTACACCCCGTGGCGCGCAACTTCTTCGAGACTTCATTCCGTCGTGTGGAGGAGGCAGACAAGGTATAGTTAACTTGTGTTCAACTACACCTCTCGATACTGATGATTCCCTTGTGCAGCGCTTAGACTCTTTACTTCGCATGGCTCAAGCCATCGATTCATGACCCAATTATCTGTATTTAACACTTCACCCACTGGTCCAAGATCGTTTTGTTTGTAACTTCTGATTACAGTGCGAGAACAATCAACTCGTTCGTGTTCATGGGCATCCGGAAAAAGAAAGACCTTGCCATCTGGATTACGCAATGATTGATGTTGTGAAAGGGCCCCAATCAGGTGGATGGAATAAGTCCGTGAGCGTCGGATCCTGCTGTTCATGAAAGTCTGGGCCTCAACAGTATTCGAAACATCCGCCCTTGTCGCCACTTGGGCCTTTTCCGTCTGTCATCTCTCTTTCTTTGGTTACTCCAGCGAGCATTCAAATTTTGAACTCCCCAAAACCCTCCAACAGCTCTTCTGTTCTTGAATTGGACTCACCCGCTTCCAGACCTCAAGAATGGCTCTCGCTATGTTCCTATAGTCTCATATCTCGCTTACACACAGAACATCAAGGTGGACGTACTCAGTAACCACTGTAGTTCGGAATTGGGACAGTTTTCCGCTTCAACTTCATTAATTGTTATCAGGAAATTGCATTCGCATGGAGGCTCCTGGCGGATCGGATGACACACAAATATCCGCGGTTTCAACGTCGCCCGCTGTCCTATATACCCCTTCTATGTTTCCATATTTTTTTTCCGATTTTTCCAAGTCCTATCTAACCACCATGCCTGTTGTTTCCAAATTAGGCAGCTGACATCCATGTTTTCTGCCATTTTCCTCATATCTCTGTCAACCTGGACAAATTTGGTATTGTTAGAAAGCTCTCACCAAGCTAACGATATGCGCAGAAGGGTTGGTTTGTATGCCTAATTTGGAACAGTTTCAAACCTCTAAAATCCGATCGGATCAGGAACCCTAATCCGCATTCTCCACTTCCCTCGTCTTTTGTAGCGCATTTGGAGCCAGACAAGATGTAACGACGTCAGGTTGAATTGATGATGAGATCTGTTTATAACGTTTCGTAAATCGGACAGGTCGATGTAGCGTGGTATCGAAACCAAATTAGGTTACGTTATACAATGTATTGCGGGACTCTCGAAAATGTGTTGTCATGTCGAAGTCACAACATGTGTTGATCCCGGCCTAGGGATGGTTCGAGGGCGGAGAGGGGAAAACCACAGTTTCAAGTGGAAGCCATTGTTGGATATGCAGGTCAGTGTAGTCGTTTAGGGGGCACCTTTTATAAGGGGAGTTAAGACACAATCCCAAGAAAGATATCAAGGGACTGACTACGTTAGGAGAACGCCGCTTCGTGCAGTCAAATGTGATGCTTTCTGAGGTTATGAAGACCCATTGGTATCCGGCGGGAAGAGATGGATGGTGAAAAGGTAAAGACAGGAAGCAGAAGGTGAAGCCATGGACCGGGTCATTGTTGGATGTGGTAGATGGTGTCTCAATTAGAGAGGCAATGATACATCTCCTGAGGAGCCAAGACAGAAATTCGGGACAGATATCAAGTAAACTCACGGCAGACGAGCGCGGTTTCTAAAGTTGCGGTAAAACAACTTGGGCACTTCGCGACGTTGAAGGTGTCAAACTTCTCGACAAAAAGTCTTCGAACAAGCCTAAGATAATTGATGGCAGCCTAGAATGTGATAGAGCTGAGAATTCACTAGCACACAAAAAGAGGATTCCTGCCGAGCAGTATAAAGTTTTCACATTTCGGCACAATCCTACTCCCGCATTAGTGGGAACAGGTAGGTCTTCACAAACTCCAATTACTGCACATGTTAAGCCGGAGGTTTTCGTGACTACGTCCTCCTTTAAATTCTCATAACCCATGGCTGTAGAAGTTTAGCGGCAGAGTCATCTAGTGCAATGTATTTACCCTCCATAACCTTCATCATGAGATCCAGACGCTTTGTCAGGGAGCATCTGACTTTTGTTTCGTGCTGAGCAACGCGGCCGGGCACACTCGTCTGCCACAAGAATGGATCCCGTGCTTGGATATTGATGTTGTATACTGCCGTTGGGACCCCAGCTACTGCCAGATTTCGGAAGTTTACCATCTGCAATCATGAACGCGAGTGAAAATGAGTCAGCAATGGTGACATACGCCATAACTCATTTCATTCAATCCACGAATGATCACAAAAGCCGAAGTAACTTGCCCACGCGCGCGTATCACCGACGCTTCTCCTTGCTCCCAGAACTGTCACAGAGCTAGGCAGGGTGACTTTGACTGGAAGATCGATTGTGGGAAGTAGATAAGTAGTCGTAAAAAAAAAAATTTTTGGCCTGATTCTTGACCCTGTTCATGATATTTTCTTTCCTAGTATATAAATTACAATATGCATTCACGATGCTAAATACCAGACTCTTCCCTACCACAGTATTCGAGCTGCGATGTTGGAGTAACAACGACTCGTGACTCACAAACCGGATCCACCTGATCCGTTGTTTGTACTGTGTCCGTTCCTTCTCGTGGATCGCTTGTACATATTGTTTTGATCTCTTTTCTTTTCTTTTTCCTCAGTTCTTCTCTGCGCCGTAGCTACCGTTTATAGGTTAGCACTCACCATGTAATATAAGTCTTCCGTACCGGAGATTGAGCTATTTGCGAGCTCGCAACTACGATCGATGATGGTCCAACCACGGGAATGCGTAACCATAGGGAAGCCGGCCAAATATTGAAGACCGACCCGAGAGCGATTATTTGAGTGCTGTCAGAGAGCTTAGTGAAGGGGGTCGATGCCAAGGCGGAGTCCATCTGAGACAAGGGCAAGGAGGACTTATTCTGATCAAAGTTTGTTTCATACACTCTGATAACTAGCGAATTGGCCAGGATGAGACTCTCAATATAATACCGATCCAAGATTTAGAAGGCTATTACAAGACAGATTAAATCCAAGGGGTGCAGAAAACTATCGGATGAAATGGGCTTATGCTCTGTTGAAGGCTCAGGCGAACTTTCAGATGACTCCCTGGCTCAATACAAGATCCATCTCGTCATAACGTGATGGTCCAGAAGCACTGCTCTGAGCATGAGTGTAGACGTCGGCACCCGAGGCAAGAGATTCGATTAGGATGGACAACATATTACTCGTCACCTTTTTCTCCTGCGACTACATTTAAGATACGGAAAGACAACAGTTTGGAAAGACATACAGCACGTATTTGTTCCAAGTCATCTTGGAAAGCATCTACCACAGCTGCCATCCAGAACTTCCTAAATTTTTCTTGCAATTGTTCTTCCGTTGCTGCGTTTCTCTCCGTGGTATGGATTGAGGGTTTGAATAGCGTAGGGACATCGATGGTTGTCGACGAAGGAGACCGACTAGAAAAGTCTTCTTCAGAGGGCGTATCTTCATCATGCCCATCCAAATTCATTCGGGATGGGGATGCGGGCCTGCTTTGGGCTGGGAGCTGGTCACGGTTTAAGTTTGAGTCGTCTGACGAGGAGTCCGATGACGAGTCATTCGATGAGGTGTCTGATGATTCGATTGACTTGGCCCCGTCGCCCCGGGATGGGGACGATAGGGACCGGGCGCCTTTGGATGTATCAGGGGGGTTGGAGAGGGTTTTGACCAACTGCGGGTGCTCATTTGAATCAGAGTCCGAAGAAGAAGATTCCGAGCTCGAGGCTGCAACTTTCCGTCTTCTCTTTCGATGACGACGCCGCTTGTCTGGTTGCTGTGGCCCCATTTCTTTGTGCGTACGAAAGTGAATAAATAAAATACAATCCATTCGGCTAACTCCGCTACACAATGAGACAAACAATCCGGCCAACTCCGAATACAAATCACGTGTCACATTTGTTTCAATAGGAGTCCATCTAAGTCTCTAATTGTCTATCATTTTGACGCCGACGTCCTGCTTGCAGGAAAGTCGTCCTCTTTTCGAACCATCACCCCAGGGACCCATGTCTAAGTGGAGCACAGAAATTGGCGCCCCTCTTTCATCATCATCGAAACGGCATCGCAAGCAAGCTTCGTCTGGCGTATTCTCTGTGGCAACTTTGCCTGAATACCAGCACACTCGACACCGCCCTTCTACTTCTCTCTCGGCTGTATGGAGTCCTACGGGGGATTATGTACCCCCTCCAGACTATAGTGACGCTCAAGACGTATCGCTCGCAGCGCATGATACTCTGGCGAGTGCCGATGAAGCTGATGAAGATTCGGACACCCCACCTTCCAGAAAACGGATCTTGAAACACATGCGATCGCGCACTGCGCTGGCTCGTGTGACAACCACACCAGATATTGATAGTGTCCTGGAGCGTAGTGTTCAAGCCCTCGAGATGTCAAATGTACTATTGCAATCATCTTTGTCCACTCATACAGCCTTCTCTAGAGCGTTAATGAGCGATAATGAGACCGAGGAGTTGACAGAGTGGCATAATGAGCTTTTGTCACGCAGACGGGAAATCCCTCGTATCCAAGGGCCACACGGCAAACACGTTATAGATGACGAGGATATCATTGTCGAGCAGTCTTCCCTCAGCCAGAGTGCTCACCATTGTACTGGGTCATCTCGTACCTGCGTAGATACCCCTCCACACTCCATTGGTGCTCAAATACACACCAATTCGACGCGCCTGCATCACTCCGCACTTCGAACACTGCACCAGCCATCCATGCCAAGCTTAACCATTCACTCGCCGTCCCCAACTACTCCAGCATATGATCTACTCTCGTCGATTGCCACGCGGGCTCCAACTTTGGGTGTGGAGGGGCGTAGCGGGCGAAAGTCTCGGCATTCCCCCTTTCCACCTTCAGATGTTACCGACCATCAGGACTTATCGTCGCGCTCCCTTCATCCGCCGTCAGCGTATTTGTTACATGTCACACCTCGAGCATCCTCCCAGAGATTACGTTCCGATAGCTCTCGCCCACATTTCCCGAAATCCTCTCTCCGTGCGATAATGTCGCCTAGCTTCTTTTCAAAGCCCACCAAAGATTCTACAATGTCATTCCCTCCCCTCTCTGATGGAAGAGGAGCTGAGGCTTTGAGAATCATTTTGCAGCGTGATGTCGCAAAAGTGGCAGCAGCTCAAGATAAGATGTACAGGCAGTACGAGAGGCCCTTGAGTTGCTCCCCTCGATTAGAGCATTCACGGTATACATCTCGATCCCCCAACATCATGCACACTGCCCGTCCTCCAAGTCCCGCTGGAAGTGCAGAATGGATAGTTGTGGATCCGCCAACACCACCGAGATCTGACCTTACCGACTCGAACTATTCCGCCCCACGGATTGTGACTTCGGCAAGGTTATCTGCACCCACATCTGTGCCCCGGCGTGGTCCACATCCCCCCGTTATTCGCGTTTCTCTAACCAGTGGCACTGATGACACTGAGGCTCCCGGTTTCCTTGCTGAACAGTGGAAACGGGAGCACCGTGATGTACGGCACGAGGACACCGATCGGGAACAGGTCCAATCGGATGGTTGGTTACTTTAACAATGTATTATCTCGATTACAGCACTGTATCCTTCCCCTTTTCACCGCTCGTTTACTGTATGCGACTCTCACTAGAATGATACCCAACCCTTCTACCACGGATGACCTTGTATATCACCACGATACGTCGCGATTTTCCCAAATAGATCCAATTTGGCTAAGCGGTGGTGCACCCCACACGAGGAGGTTTCCTTCGGTAGGATGTCGAACCTGGGTGAACTTATCCAAGATAGTCGGCCGGAACTGGTTAAGCGCTGAGGGGACCGAAAGGGGGAGGCTGCTTGGCGAAGGATGGACTGTCTTTAGCAAGTTAGGCCGAGAAGCATTCGTGGGTGATTCTGATGAGGACTCCGATGGGTCAGCTCGTCGGGTGCCAAGTTTCACTGCCTCCGCATCAACATCGTCAAAGTCCTCCTGCTTTACAGCGGATATGCTGTATGCCCATACGGAAGTGGCAAAAGCGAAAAGGAGACCACCAGTAATCGCATTTCTAACACGGAAGGGTTGACGGGCACGTTCAAGAGCTGGAGAGATACCCTGGATGCAGCAGGTTAGTAGCATTACGGGTGCTTGCTGTGAAAAGGGCCGCTCACATATCCGCGCGGGCGGTAGGACGCGCCAAATTTAGCCTTGGTAGTCATGAAGGTGGTCGTGAGTTACCGGACAGCCACATAATTCATTTGGAGCAGCTCATAAAATGGATTCACACTTGAGAAATGATTCGTCATGCTGCAACTACTCTTATCATCTACCATCAGCCGAATTGAAACTGCTTGTTCGATTCGCCTGATTAAAGTGAATCCCAGTCAAAGTAGGGAAGAATAAAAAATGGATTGTGAAGGCATGAAGCCAATTCATATTCCGGCATGAGTAGTCGAAGGGCATGAACAGCATGAGGACCATAGACAACGAACTAAGAAATACCCGCACCCATCAGAAGACGAGCTTGTGGGGGAATTCCCCTTTGCCTAAGCCCCATGAGGATTTGAGGTATTTCGACAATAACTCCTGCTTGTTTACGGCCGCAACTACAACATTGTCTAACTCCTTCTGATCAACGGCCTTGGCCTCCGGAATGGGTTCCTTTGGCTTTGGTTTCCCATTCTCGAAGAACTCTTCCTCGGCCGATTGCTTCTTTGCAGGATCCTTGGCGAAGTACGCATCGGTGAATTTGTCCGTAATCTGAAACAGCTGATATTCAGAACCAAAGATGACAGTGAACAACGGAATGAACCAACCGAAGAGTCAATCTCAACCTTCGTCGACGTAGCAATGACATAAGCCTGGTTTACACGTCGCAGAGGGACTCCATTGATTTTGAATGGTCCAGTAATGAGCAGGAGACCGGACTCTAGCTGCTTCAGGAAGACGACCCGTTTGCCACGAAATCGACCAGCAAGGAGAATAAGGATGGTGCCAGGTGTGATGGAAGCCCTAAGTTTGGGTGTCTTCTTAGACCGTTTGGGCTTTTCGGAATGTAGGGACTGTTTGGACTGTTTCGGTTGCTTGGACTTTTTCGGGTGTTTAGGCTGCGGTCTGGGCTGCTTGGACAATTTAGGCTGTCTGGGACGCGCTTTGGCTTCAGCTGTTAACCTTGATGTCCGAGCCATCTACAGATGCGATCCGTTAGCAGGTTGCATCCAAATCCCGAACGACGCATCCAGAACAAAGGAAGTCATTAATCTTCAATGGCTCACGACTATGGGGTCTCTGGACCAACCTAGTGCACCCTATATAATGAAAACGGCCTCTTACCTATCAGAAAGGGCCTAGAGAACGGGGATGGTGGTCAGTGGACGCGGGCCCTTGCCGAATGTATTCAATTAGAGAATCAATTCAGTTCCTTATTAGGTAAGAGCTCATAAGATATACATGCACACACACTCAACCGCGGCCGATATCAACGCCTTCCTCTATCTCGATTGTTAGGATATGGAAACCGATTGCTATTATAATCTCCCCGCATCCCCCTCACGGAATGATGGTATGCCTGATGGTGCCCAAAACCCCCTCTCTGTCCATGATTACTGGCACCGTGTCCCCCATAACTACTCTTATCTCCATGAGAATAACTCGTTGGAGAATACGGAGGGGAATAGGTGGGGTAGGATGTTGGCCATTGACTGCCATAGGTTGCGCCAGAATTGAAGGTCCCACCATGAAGAAAGGCATTATGGGAACCGTAGCGATAATCATTGGAGCCATATCTGGGGTTGTCGTCTGTCTGGAAAAACCCTGAAGAAGTGTGATAACCGTCTCTACCACCGCCATTAATTTCGCCACGGGCCCCATCGAACCTCCTCTGCCCCAGTCGCTGATGATCCCAGCCTGTGAGCACGCGCCTAGGTTGCCGGGCACCCGAGAGAAGTGCTGAACGATGCGGCTGGATTTGCTTGGGGTAGAAATAGAGAGCCGAAATCGAGTGATCATCATGAACGTCGCGACAGTCGGATCTTGATAACGGGGAGTAGTACGTCGAACCTGGCACACAAGCCGGGTCTGCCAGGAGGGAGCCGGAGAGCCCATCGCTCAGCTCCGTGTCAACAGGGGTCGGCTGGAACCGAAGAGTAAGTGAGGTAGTTCAAGGTCAGCCAGGTGTGACGCACGGTTGAAAGTCGTTTCTTGGTGTAGAGGGCACAAAAAGAATCGTAAAGCGGACTGGAGTCCGAGGTAAAAATTGCATTGTTACCAAAGGAGTTGCGTTGGAGCTCTTCATCCGTTAGCTCTCCAGATTTGGGTGTCATGGCAGCCAGCAACCGATTCTGATCTATGAAGGAGAGAAGGGCTACTCCTTGCCACGCCATCTTCTTCCCGTTCATGTCGATTTCGAACGTCTCGGGGTAGAAATCCAAGATAGGGGAATCTGGATCAATCATCAATTGCTGGAATGGCTGCGGTAGGTGTTTTCGGCTATGCAACATGGTAAATCCAAATGGGACAACAGTGGGTTCTAATGCACCTTGCAGAGGGGAGAACACCCATCAACTGCTCGAACGGTTTGAACGGGACTCCGAGGGTAAAGCGAGTCTCCACACTGCCCACGTCCTCAAAGTCTGATGCGAATGGGGCAAAATGATATGGATAAAACCATTGCCACGAGGGTGTCTGCGGAGGAACTAGTGAGCCAAGCGGTAATTGCGATGAAACGAATACGAACGCCCTGATAATAATAATGCAGCACCCAACACAGACCCTCAAGGTATGCCTTGGTGATTCTGATAATTGGTCAGTACGTGGTGATACTTGAAAGAAGAATATTGACTTCTGCTTTGTTTCGCGGTCATTGTGATCGGCTCCAAACTTTTGTTGATAGTAGCGGTCTCTATAACCAGGCTCCCACAGCCTACCCAAGCGCTTAAGCACAACAACATCGGTGGCTTCATACAGTGCCCACCTGATCGTGTCGACCTGTTCCACGGTGCCATCAGGGTTCACTTTCCTCGTAAGCGATGTCGATGAAACGTCCTGTTCCTCATCTTCCAAAGGCTCCGCAGAGTCAGACACAGTCTGCACTTCTTCCATCAAATCGGCCTTGCGCTTTACTCCGTGTGGATCCTTCTCCCTAGCATCTGCTTCTCCAGCGCTATGGCTAATATCTGCTGACATCTGATCAGATCCCGGTGCTCTCAGGGAATGCTGGTCGCCAGTGGGCGCGGAAGCGGACAGTTCTACTCTCTGAGTCTCATTATGAGTTTGAGGTGAAATGTAATCTCCCAGAGGTTGCTCCGGTAGCTCGTTTGGTATCGAAGTGCCGGAATATGGAGCATTTGGTCTCCCTTCTCCAGATGCAATGGACGATCGCTTAGCGCCTCTGCCAAGAGGTGTTCTGCTCGCTAGCTCGGCCTTTAAATGCTCAGCAGCAGTCATGTTTGCTAGCCTTATCGCTCGTCTGTTGTTAACAACATCGGCGTTAGAACCACTCAGCGCCTTAACACCTCGCTCCGAGTGGGACGCACTGGATGAAAAAGAAGATGATTCACTCTTTGAAGTGGGATGCATATCGAACGATGGACGAGGGGGCAGCGAATGGTGCATCGGGAAAGTGTTAGATGAGTCAGCAACTGCAACTGGGACATGAGGGGTGGTTTGTATGGTAGAGCCTGAAACGGAGTGGGAGTTGCTGTCTTCAACTCCAGTGCGCCCTTCAATCCTTCGGCGCTTCGCACTCTCATCCTGTCTCGTCTCCGCTGTGGAATATGAACAGAGATTCAGACAGGAGCGGACAATGGATAATGTTGACAAACATACGTACCTTCCCTGCGTCTGCGAAAAATATCATTCTCTCGCTTCCCAAGACCCTCTAAAATATATTGGGCCCGCTCCATAACAACAAATCCCTGGTTGGTGAGGTAGCCGCCCATGCTAGGCAGTTCTTCCCTCCAGATCCTGAGAAGCGTATCAATGGCGCCTTCACGAATCTCCAGAGAAGGCAAATGAGGCAGGAAATCATTCCCAACAAAAAATATTAGGAAAATCCAATCGTCGATGGCCCTTTCCAGGTCAAATTGGAAAGGCACATTTGGAATATTGAGCTCGATCTCCAGATATTCTCGCAGTACAGACACATCCAAGAAAATGAATGGTTTCTTCTCCACTTTCTTGTTCGGAAGGACAAGTGAATCGCCATTTTTTCCGGGGCATCGGTCGGCATAATGCCCAAGGTCTCCGCATATCCGGCATCCTTTCTCTTGAGCGAACACATCTTCCCGGAGAACCTTGAACCGAGGTTCATGCGTGGCGAGCGAAAGCATAATTAGATCCGCATCCTAATGACAAGATTAGCAATTATCCGATACAATCGATGTAACAGTCCCTACCAAGCCGTATATCACATGCTCGGTATTCGGATTATGACCGGGATTAACCCTCTGCCTGCGAATGAAGTCCATAATTTTATGCTCCCCCTCCCCGGGGACACTAGCATCGGATATGATCACTTTCAACTGGAAAGGTGTCAGTTCATCGGCATTACTCTAGCAGCAACACCCACGTTCTTCCAAGCGGGGTCGGTATTTAGCTTTCGTGTTACCCAATATCTCAGACTTGCAGCCAACAACTGCATGAACGGCGTGCCTGAGAAAAGTGATCATCAGTGGAGCTGGAAATTGAGAATGCGAAACAAGCAACCTGGCGTGATTGCATTCGTATCCCACGACTTCTTGTTCTTGGTCTCATCGCTGACAACGCGACCCATAGCTACGTTTTGGGCATGAAAAAGCGATCACTGCACAATATAGCTGAAGCCTACCCTCAAACATAGCAATGCCGGCTTCGCGCTCCTTCTCTTTCTCTCGGGCCTCCTGCACAGCCCTGAACCTTCTTGACCTCTGCTGGTTCATTTTAGCACGAGGAGCCACACCGTCTGCAAACGGTTTCAGGTATGTTATTCCGTTCCAATGAGCAAACACTTACCAACAGCCATAAAGAGCAGCTTCCTTGGCCGTACCATATTAACAACCCTCTCTGTATAAATGAATATTTCTACCATCATATCTTCTTCCGTGTCGGGTGGAGGCTGTGATTAGAGTTAGAAAGGTTGACAGCGAAGAGATACATGTATTCGCCTTGCCCTCAGGGTGAGTACATGGATGCACCTGATACATCGGAGAACCGTTACTTCAACAGTCCTTTGGGCAATGAGGAGAAGACACACTATTCCGTTCATGTCCAGGTACAGATTGTCCACTTCAAAACCATTCGGGTTTGGAAGGGATGCGTCCAAATGATCACTTCCCGAACCATTAATAGCAGCCTCCTCTGCCTCTATTACGGCTGTGACTGAGAGGACCATCAGGATAGCTGCAACCTCATAGGAGGGTTGCGTTGGCTTACTTATTTTGGGGTATTTTTTACTAAGCCACCGGAAAAGCGCTGGGACTCCCTAAGAAAGAAAAAAACGATTAAGTAACATAGGCTAGGCGACTTTCGCTGAAGTGTACCATGTTAAACTGCTTTTAAGCAACGGCGCTTCGGTTGGGGCTACGCGGAGTGGCAAGCAGGAGATTCAATATATTGGATTCCCCGGCACGTGACATAAGTACACCTTATTTTTCGCCGAATCAATTCTCTCATTGTGCCTCTGGGTCGCGATGTCTAAAGCTGCAGAAGCCGAAAATGCTGATACACCAAAGCCAAGAAAGGACAAGGTGGCAGCCTCCCAACTCAAACCAAAATTATCAAAGGCGGAACGTAGAGAGGACAAACAGCGCGGCACGAAACAAGAAATAGCCCCAACTTCAAGCATCTCCTCTGACTCCGACGTTCTACGTGACCTGCGCATATTTTCTCATTTTGGGACCTCAGCCAGAATCACCGGCCATTCAGTGCCATCCAAAGCCGACATTCATCCTGCAGTTTCAAGACTGGCACTTCAATTCTCCAGCTTCCGAGTGGTGGGTGCCAATGCCAGGTGCATCGCAACGCTTTCTGCACTGAAGACAGTAAGCTATAGCCTACTGTTTGATGTCTCCGCCTCTCATTTGATTACTTAACCGATAGGTCATACAGCAATACCACACCCCCTCTGGAACGACGTTATCCAGGCACCTTCCAACATATTTATCTCCTCAAATCACTCACCTCGTTGCTGCACGGCCAATGTCGACCAGTATGGGAAATGCAATCAGGTACATGAAATACGAAATCAGTATCCTAAGTATCGATGTTCCTGAACAGGAAGTAAGTGGTGGGGAACACATGGGTACAATCTCTGAGATTTTCCAACAGGCCAAACGATTCCTCAGTGAAAGACTAGACGCGTTTGTTCGGGAACGGATACTCCTGGCAGATCTCGTGATACAGAGTCATGCGATTGAAAAAATAAAGGATGGAGATGTTGTTTTGACTTTTGCTAGGTCTGTTTGGGGCGGGCTATCTATGTTGATGCGCTCAAGTTCATGTGTTCAGATCATCTGTTGTGGAAGGCGTCTTACTGAAGGCGCATGAGTTGGGGAAACGATTTACTGTCATCGTGGTTGACTCCGGCCCATTGTTCGAAGGTGGTGCCATCCATTTTGCCCAGCCTTATTCTAACCACGAGCTGCAGGAAAACAATTGCTCTCCTCCTTGGCTAATGCCGGGATCAAATCCACGTATTGCTTGTTATCGGGGATAAGTACCGCAATCTCAGGTGCTTCAATTGCCTATTTGGGTGCGCACTCCTTACATGCAAATGGCGCACTTTATTCCCGGGCGGGAACAGCATTGGTTGCTATGATGGCAAAGCAACATTCTGTTCCTGTGCTTGCTTGCTGCGAAACGTACAAATTTTCAAACGGCGTACCTTTTGATGGTTTCACAAAGAACGAACTTGGTGAAGTAGTTTGCCAACATACCATTCATCATTACTGATTGTGGAGCAGTCCCCGATCTTACACAGGAACCTCGGCCTTACTTGCAGTCGTTAAATCCACTTTACGATTTGACGCCGGCGTCCATGATATCAGCCGTCGTAACTGAGGTTGGATTGATCCCTCCAAGTTCAATACCCACTTTACTACACAGGGAAGGCATACCGGAATAATGAGATGATGCGCTATGGTGGGCTGGCACACTGGGAGGTGCTTAAATCCGTCGGTGTCCTCCGGAAGATCTCTGGCCATACCCGACGAAGCTCCCCCAGATCGGAGATGACATGATCTACCCCGCCGGTCGTACCTGGGCTCAACTCTGCAGAGCTCGATGCATCTTTCTCACAGAAATATACACAAGATCCCCAACCAAGTTTCTTCGCGGCTTGGACGTTGGCAAGGCTGTCATCAATGAAAAAACAACGAGAAGAGTCCCGTACGCCGGCCTGCATTAGTGCCTGCAATAAATACCATATCAGCGGGTGAAACCAATTGCGCACAGAGACAATTGACCAGCTCGTAAAATTGGGCTTCTGGTTTGCATGAAAAGTTTGGGACCCCATAGTCACAGAAGACTACACCGTCCATCTCGTCTTCGAGCTCTAGAATTTGAAGAACTCTAAAAGCGTGCTTTTAAAGGTGGTCGTCAATTCTAGAAGGGGACCGTTTCCATACGAACCACCCACATTCTTGTACGCATTCGTCAAGGACCAGACATTTACCTTGTCTCTATCTATGTCGCGAAAGAGAGCCTTGACCATTGGGTCCGGCCGTAAGAGGTTGTCCAGAGGCAGTGCGCTATCACATTGCTTATCGAAATCCAGGGGATCTGCATAAATTATTTGGCATTTCCGGGTTTGTAAAACAGGGACCTGGCAATGCATTTACCAATGCCATGATGTCTTGACAATCCCCGCACAGCAAGACCAAACTCCGTCAAGTATTTCATGTGCAATTCTGACGCAGCCTTCTCATCGTCTGGATGTATATGCTTGTGGAAATATGCTGTATGATCATCTTTCGCCTCAGCTATAACTCTTTCGAAGTATAGATTGCTTTCACATCTCACCTTGAATACGCTGAACAGTGCATGCCGTCAACAATTAATGATCCCCACGCCGAAAAGTGGGTGGCGCTCAAACCTGACGCATAAGCTCCGCTATCTGGGCAGACCTGGGATACAGGGTGTTGTCAATGTCGAACCAGACGGTAAGCTTCTCATTAGGTGCCATGTTGACGATCGGGACGCAAGCCGCAATGCAATAGTAAGTAGATGAATAGTCTAACCCGCGAACTGGGTGATCATGCGCTTCAGGTGGAGGGACTAACGACGTTGGGGAGATCGATCTGATCGAATTCACACGCTTCGTTCAAATGTCATCCTCAACGTCTAATCGCATCAAAGCGTACACCGGGAAAGATGCCGAAACTAAACTAGCACTCCCTGTATTCTTGAGAATGCTGACCACACATTCCGACCTGGACATGCAAACGGCCATGACGATCGCAGGAAAAGTGTCTGTTCAAGCTGATCGAATGATGCGCACAATCTGGTGACGACGATATTATTTGGTAGTTTCAAGACGCACAATACACCAGGAACGCTATCCACTCTGAGCAACGTAGCACTGGAGCAGCTGGGCGTGTCAAATAAGGAGCACCGCAAGCAGGCCTTAGCGGCCATTAAGAAAATGGGATGGACGCCTGAGTTGCCCTCTAAGGTGTTAATTTCCCCCCCAGCTGTCGCATTGAAGCCTTCGAAAGTGAGAGTTTCAAGTCCAACTCCTTCCGGCTTTCTTCCATTAGTGTTCCAATTCTACCTTCACCAGGGTGATAAACAGCCAACGGCAAAGCGAAAACGAACCGACGAAGACGACGAAGATGGTCCAAGAAGGAGACATGCAGGTGCAAATGCAGGGCATACACCTGGGCCACATGCGTTTGAGTATAATGAGAATGTGGACGAAAAGGTGTTCCCAGTTTTCTGTATCAGCCACTGGCCTCCTTTGAGTTACCTTTTCGTCTAGTCGCTGGCATCAAAGGTTATCATCATCAATCGGGCCCCAGTCATGACAGCTTGGGCAGCTGTTGTTGCGGAAAGGCTGAAATTTACTCGAGCGGAGGCCCTGAGCATCGGTAGTGTCTCAAATCTGCTCATAGCATTATATCTGAAGGCCCCATTTTATATCCAGCTTCAGTGTATACCGAAATGAACGCTTCCTCAAAGGGTGTCGCGCTTGGCATTTTCCACAAAGATAAGGACTCTGACTTTGAAGGAGGTTCGACGCAACCTTACGTCGAATTAATGGGCCGAAAGTAAGTCGTTGTAAATACGTGGCCAAATGGTATACCAATTGGAATCTTATGGAAAATCCGGTAGAATGTATGCGAGATATTTTTACACTTATAGGGGCTTAGTTGCTCTAATAGACCCGTAATGAAGACTGATGCGGGGGAATGGCGCGGGATTGTGAAAGGAGAGGCTGCAGAACCCGAAATGGTGGGTGCAATTCGACTGATGTGTGTGGGGTGAGTACTAATCTGGCTGGGCTTACAATTCGTTATTAGGCGTACGGATATATCCAACGATCATTCAAGCACTTGATGGGTTCTGTTATTGGTTCAATGCGGCTTTTACAAGAGTAAGCGAAGGCTAGCGAACACTAGTCGAAGCGAGCCGATGCTCAATGGCATGATTTATTTGTAGATCATATTCACCGGAAGAGTTGAACAAGAACGGCTACGACCTTTACTGCCAATTTCGACCAGGACAGGGTGATTGGGGCCAACGGGGCGAGATGAGGATGAAAACGTTACTGGATCTGCGGCGTTAGGGATAAGCCAGGCCTATGTTTGTAACGGAAGGCCGCTTCGATTGATCACACACTGTGCCGAGTGACAGCAATATTCGCATGACGAGCGGCTGATTGCAAGTCAATTCCAATCCACATGCGTGGTACGCCTTTTGAGCTCATCTGTAAAGTGCATCCCTTGGAGCCAAGAATCTGTTCGTGTCAACGTCGATTGTGAAGTATCAGTGCTGGATCAAGTTGTATGGAAAGGGCCGACAATCAATTGGCGTGTCAATGCAGTGTTGGATGGTCACAAGGACGAGGTTCTTATCAGTGATGGCTCATTGGTTGGACGATACAGCCCCTGATCAAGATGGGGATCACTCGGGGATCACAGTGGAAGAAATTTCGTACGTATCTATTTCGTGTGAAGACTTGGCTTATCTATACATGTACTAACGATTAGGCACGCGATCCCATGGACAGGGCTTTGTGAAATATCGTGCAGAGCCGGGGCATGCGTGGTGAACTAAAAGCTGACCGTTGTAGGCAGGTGACCAGCCTTATGGCCGTTGGGCCACTACATACTTGGCGGGCCAACCGCTTAGGGATCGCCATGCAGATATGGCGGCATGTTACGGAACAGGAAATTCTGGGTTGCAAAGAATACATATTGATGCTGTATTCAGACGATCCATGCGAGCGGCACTTGACCGGAAGCGAGGATCTGGATGCATGCGTCGCAGGAGGAACCATTTGATAAGAAAGTATTTTTTTCTACCAGCGCCTGCAGCGCTTGGAGTAGACGATAGATGTTGTCCAAGCAGTGCATAGCATTGATGATATGGGTGGTTTAGATGCAATATAGGGGTGATTAGGTAATCGCAGTCAATGATGACCATAACCCGTTGCTGTGAAAGGTAATAATTGGAATAAATTGATATCGGCATTGAATTTGTTGATAGCAGCCCTATTTATTTCCCGCATTCCCATATAAAGCGAGGTTTTTCGCATCAAATGCCCCCCGATCCACCTTCTCCCTCTTCGCTGCGCTCACTCTCATAATGGCTCTCTCTCGTCCTGATCTTCTCGCCCCTTACCTCTCCCTCGACCAGGGAGGCAAGATTCAAGCCGAATGTATGTATCGCCGCCCCTATCATCGTTTTCTCTTCTCTTCTCACCTTTTCGTTCCCCAGACGTCTGGATCGACGGTGACAATGGTCTTCGCTCCAAAACTACTGTGAGCCAGTTATGCTCATTTCGACCCTCTTCTGTTGCGTCCCATGAATCGAATCGATTAAAGCCGATTCATTGTTTCGTTGTCATTCTGCACTCTATATCTCCGGTCCCCATCCCTTTGTCGTTTTAATTCACACACAGTTTTTCCCCCATTTTGTGGAATATATTTCATCCCCATTCCCTTACTGCTATAATCACGACACGGACTGCGAACCGGTACTTACCACCCCACCCATACATCATAGACCCTACCCAAAGTCCCAAAGGACATCAGTGAACTTCGCATCTGGGATTTTGATGGCTCCTCGACCAATCAGGCCCCTGGCCACGATTCAGATGTCTACCTTCGCCCTGCTGCCATCTTCAGAGACCCATTCCGTCGAGGGGACAATATTCTTGTTTTGGCCGAAACTTACAACAATGATGGCACCCCTAACGCCACAAATCACAGGCACTTCGCCAAAAAAGTCATGGATCAAGCCAAGGATACTATCCCATGGTTTGGCCTTGAGCAAGAATATACCCTTTTTGACGTCGACGATCACCCACTTGGATGGCCCAAAGGCGGTTTCCCAGGTCCCCAGGGACCTTATTATTGTGGTGTCGGTAAGTATCGATTAAAGACCTCCTACCCTTGGATGCCAAAACGACGTCCACTTCTTCCCTCTAGGTGCTGGCAAGGTGTTCGCTCGTGATTTGATCGAGGCCCATTATCGTGCTTGCCTCTACGCCGGTGTCAAGATTAGTGGTATCAATGCCGAAGTGATGCCGGCTCAGTGGGAATTCCAAGTTGGTCCATGCGAAGGCATCGAGATGGGTGACCATCTTTGGATCGCTCGGTTCCTCTTAGTTCGCATCGCCGAGCAGTTCAATGTTAAAGTCTCGTTCCACCCCAAGCCACTCCAGGGAGACTGGAATGGTGCCGGTTGCCACACCAACTTCTCAACAAAGGCAATGCGTGAGAAAGGCGGAATCGCAGCTATCGACGAAGCCATCGAAAAGCTTTCCAAGAGGCATCATGAACATATTGCCGTATACGGAGATGACAACGAGCTTAGACTGAGCGGACGCCACGAGACTGCTCACATTGGTGCGTTCAGCTCTGGTGTGGCGAACCGTGGCGCCAGTGTTCGTATCCCCAGACAAGTTGCGGCTCAAGGATTTGGCTACCTTGAGGATAGACGACCTGCCTCAAACATCGGTAAGTCGAAGGTCCCCGGATCGTGAGCATTTATTAACATATTTTCTCTTGCGCAGATCCTTACCGCGTCACTGGTATTATTGTGGAGACGGTGTTGCTGTAGTAATTTTTGGTGGTGACCCAGAACACAAGAATAACTTGGATCCCCATGTATTTAGAAAAGTAATTTTTCCTATCGTCTCCGATCCCCTTTAAACACCTCCGTTAGTTACGTGTGCCCCTGGCTAAGATGTATTATTTCTTGAGGTCCGTACACACCATTCCACACTGCCATTTCTGGCACTGCAAGTGGGTCGGACCTGTTCGGCAGTATGATCCTCAATATGTTGCCGCACAGCACCAGAAAGCAGAATCACAAAGTCAACCGCGTGGTGTTAGAATCTGATCACTCGTGATCATCCCATGATCTAACGGGATAGCGAGAATGAGCCATCTTGAGCGGATCCATTCTCCAAAGGCTCTCTCGCCAGCGGGGAAAGGGGAATTAAAGCAGAAAATGAGGGAATAGATTGAACCACGACTGTGTTATGTACTCTGTGTAAATTGCCGGAAATATATATATCCTCCGATCGTCATCAACCGGGAATCACAAACTGTATAGTCATCGTTGCCGTCGAAATGGCTTCTACCATTTCTCGTGCGCAGGGCGAAGATCGAGCTCCCACGTCCAGGCGGAGCGGTGTTGACGGGAAAGAAATTCGTAGGTCTGCTAAAAATCAGGGGTTCATTCGGAATCACGAGAAGTGATGGACGTACCTCTGCTATCGCTTCCGGATAGAGATTTTTGTCAGGATTAGTCTTCTCCTCCCCTGCGTTGCGGTCGGTGGCGATCGAACCATCGATTATGGCATGCACAACCTGGAAATTGGTTGACAAGTGCGCTCCCCCACGGATAAGCCAAATTTGCATACATGAATGTTTTGCTTTCCAAACTCCTTAGCTAGGGACTGTGACAGTGCGCGGGAGGCAAACTTCCCTGAAGCAAACACAGATGTTGTGATGTTACCCCTGGTAGCAGCGGTAGCCCCAGTGAAAATCAATGTACCGCGGGATCCCTGTTCGTCGAGACTGGAAGCCCATAAGAACGGCAACGTGTGGAGGGCTTAGCTTGTCACCTACTCCTGTTGCTGGAATGCTTTGATTGATTCCCTTGAGAACGAGATGGGACCGAAGAAGGCACCTTCGGCTGTCTTCTCCACATCCTCATCTTTGATATCTGTCATTGGCAGTGAAGTTCTCCAGGAGTAACAACGTGTCAGGCGATGAACCCACTCAAAAACGCATCCCAGACAGCATGTCCTGCATTCCACACTGCAGTCCTGATGGGGACTCCCGGCCATTGTCTGCGAATCGCAGCAAATGCGGAGGATACCTCCGGCCCAGAATAGTTCCTCACAGGGAAAGGTGCAGCAGAGCCGCCGCTCTGTTGAATATCCTCAGAAAGCTTATTTAGGGAGTCGGTGTTCCTGGCAATGAGAGCAACGTTATAGCCAGACTTGGCGAAGAGACGTGCGACGGCTGCCCCAGTTCCGCCTCCGGCGCCAATGCCTATCACGCGGTGCATTTCCGACAGGACATTAGTAAAGGGATCAGCCGAAAGGTGTAGCCAACATGCAAACCTGCGACGACAAGGATCTTGCTTGCGAGCGTTGACATGTGCTTACGACTGGAGGTGCAAGAACCAAGCGAGAAGTAGGTGTGTTAGGGAACCAGGAAGGGCGATGGCATCTTTACGGGCCTCTTAAGTGATAAGGTGATCCTGTTTGTCATGCAATGTAACTGCGCTGATCAATGCTCATCCGGAACTTGCATGGTGTGACGCCATCGGGGCTTGCACGTGATTGAGAAATTCGAAGGACCGGAGTGGGCCGTGGATCCTTGGCCACGCTCTGCTGTATGTTCGAAATTCAACAGCTTCATACGAACGGCACTGCATATGGCCGGGCCACTGTGGTACGGCTAGAATCATTATTTTTCTTTTATTCTCTCCCGTAAGGTACTTTGGGTCCATCGTGATACTGAGCGAGCCCTTTAATTGTTTGTTACACTCCATCCACTGCTGACGTTTGACTGTGTTGAATGTTCACAGGCTTGGGTAAATAGATAATTCAGTGCTGTGCAGGTCGGAGCGAACATCGCGAGCACTCTAGCTTCACAAGTTCCCGACATTCCTGGATTTGAATTGCCGACATGTGCATTCCCACGCATTTGATCCGGGGTGCAACCGGTTCGACTTTGTGTGCAACGACATTGGCCGCGTTTTTCCCTTTCCCGCAGCTTGCCAAAAGTTCTCCCAGTCTGGCGCTCCCCATGTTGCGTTCGATGCTTTTGCCTGGTGCGCGCCAGCTCGCTCATGTTCAGGTAGATGGCCATTTGTGTCAGAAGTTCCAATTCGCCCAACATCGCGTTTTTGTTCCAGTCCTCGTTAAGATCTGCTACCACCCTCGCTGCTGGGATGCCCAGTGTATCCAAGCGTGTAAGCTGAAACACTGATCGCTCATAGATGCCTTGATCACTCTAGTTTTCTTGAATCTGCAGCTCCCGACAAAGTACGGAGGTGTTTACACAGTCACTCTCATACCGGGGGATGGGATCGGGACAGAGATAACCAATTCGGTCAAGGAAATCTTTGAACATGTGAATGCGCCCATTGAATGGGATCAATACAACGTCTCTGGCGAAACTTCTGCTGGCGAAAGCTTGTTCAAGGAAGCCGTCGAGAGCATGAAGCGTAACAAGGTTGGGCTCAAGGGTGCGTTTCTCGCTTTAATAAGCAAGGATGGCACCTACCTCTAGTGGATGTATTATTTAGGGATCCTCTTTACACCCCTCGAACAATCTGGGCACATCTCTTGGAACGTAGCTATGAGGCAACAACTAGATATCTACGCCTCCCTCGTTGTCTGCAAGTCAATTCGTGGAGTTCCCACGCGACACAGCAGCGTCGACTTTGCCATCATTCGCGAAAATACTGAAGGCGAATACTCGGGATTGGAGCACCAGAGTTACCCCGGTGTCGTTGAAAGCCTCAAAATTTCGTCGCGTGCGAAGGCTGAACGAATTTCCCGTTTCGCTTTTGACTTCGCTCTTAAGAACGGCCGCAAGGTTTGGATTATCACATCTGCACAACATTTATACCTTACGTCGTCCTTTAGAAAGTGACTTGCGTACACAAGGCTAACATTATGAAGCTTGGGGATGGCCTGTTCTTAAGCACTTTCCGGCAAGTTGGAGAAGAATACAGATCTTCTGGTATTACATACAATGACATGATTGTCGACAACACGTACGCGCATCTTCATCGTTTGGGGTCGTCTTGTTCATCTGCGACTTCGACTCCCTCAGTTCGATGCAGCTTGTGGCAAAACCTGGCCAATTCGACGTGATGGTCATGCCCAACTTGTATGGGGCTATCACTTCGAACATCGGTGCTGCCCTTGTTGGAGGGCCGGGCATCGTGCCAGGGTGCAACATTGGCCGGGAGTATGCCCTTTTTGAGCCCGGTTGTAGGCACGTCGCCAAGGATATCATGGGAACTAATAAAGCGAATCCTGCTGCCATGATCCTCAGTTCGACGATGATGCTCCGTCATCTGGGGTTCGTCACAGGTTTGTTTGGTATGCCGTCATCGGGGGCTTACTTTTGCTTGTAGGTTGAATTCTCTCGCAAATTCAATCACTGCCGCTACGTACGAAGTTCTTTCCCAAGGCCTTGCAAAGACTCCTGATCTTGGAGGTACATTTCAATCATTCCCTTCGTGGGGTGTTTAGATGACATTGTTTGTAGGGAACGCTAGCACCAGTGATTTCACTGCAGCAGTCATAAAAAATCTTTAATTGATTCATTGCGACTTGCGCCGTTAGCTTCGATATGATTGTTATCCCTGCGACCAATCCTAAGTATTGTTTGTTGGCGGCCTTGTATACTAGGATCTAGTTCAAAATGCATCAAGACGGACTAGGCTAACTGTTGTCGTATCCCCAGCCTAGATCGTGTTGTCGGAATGAGTTCCAGTGAAGCTAACTATGAGTATTCCCAAATTGGATTTTATATTATGTATTACTTCTCATGCATTTTGTCTGTTCGGAAGACGTAGAATTACTTGATACGTGTTAATTGTAAAAGTAAATAAAACACAGTGACTCCAAGATATGCGATGAAAAGAGTGAGATAACTGCTGTATCCAGCGTTCACGGCCTCTGTGGAAGTTGTCCGGGAGTCAAACCTGGTGAAAAGGGGAAGCCCTTAGTAGTTTTAGACCAAGTCCTCCCAAGTCGTGACTCATATCACTTTGACATAATTGTAGCAGCGCCTGTGAACAAGGGGGTTGAGGTGATACTCCTGGCCCACCTGGAGTTTCCGAGTTCTGACTGCTGGGCGACTATCTCCGTTACGCGTCCAAGATTCTGCAGGAAGCAGCGTACTTCACTTCATCGGGATCTGATGTGCAGTCGATGTTGTTATTACGCGCCATTGTTCCCTTGAACTAAAAGTAACATTAGCAAAACAGGAGGCTTGATAGCAGATTTGTCATCTAACCTTCTTATTGGGGGACTCTTCCACATCACTGGCTGGTGAGTGACAGCGTTTTTGTCTCTCACTATTAGTGATTGCAGCAATCATGCACGATCTCCACGCGCCGTTTGATAGTGCATTGTTGAAATACGAGTCACATGATTAGATTGAGCAGGCGCCTGCGTAAGCGCTGGGCATAGAATGTTATTGAAGAGTAAAAATATGGGCGCTGGAGCCTACTTTCTATATTACTTCTGCGCTGCGAGTGAACCGCTGAAGCGGGTTGCCATATTTGGAACGCCGCGTTTACAACATGCATCCAGCCAAGGACCGTCAAATGGACCCCTCAACGGTATCAGATACCTTGTGAATATGGGCGATTCTGGCGCGGTGCGGCGTTGTGAGAGATTTTCGATCGGCGGATTGCATGAAGGCACAGCATGCAAGAGCGGAGGCAAATTACCGAAATAAACAACTTGATTTCCCTCCGAAAAACATTAAGGCACGTGCTCGCTCACGTGTTTTTTGCGGGATAGTGCCCGTAGCTTTCGCTGGGTAGGTTTGTCCCCCGAGGAGAGAGGTTGTGTCTGTTGTTTGTGGTGTTAAGCACCGCCTTCACCGCGGGGAATGCATTTATGCACATTCCGGGATCGTACGCCGATTCGGAGGATCGGGAATACCCACTAAAACCCCGTTGGTTTTTAACCATATTTGTCTATTTGTCTACTGGGAATGTTTTAGGTTTATGTACTGAAACACCACGGAACCAAGTTTCGGATCCGACCGAAAGGTTCCCACGCGAGCCACATAGGATTTCAAGTCAGTCACTCCCTGACCCTCGCCCGCGCATTTTCCGAACCACCCGAACCACGCCCGAGCCGCTGGGGTTTCCCCGAGCATTCGTCCCTCGACCGATGCAAAGTCATCGAATGGTTTGGATTACTCCTAAGAGTTGATCAATTCGCAAGTCGGCCGTCGCCGGACTTGCATCACGTGGGAGGCTTTAAGAACTTTTTCTTTTCCGTTCAAGTCTCTTGACTTTTTCTTCCGCTCATCAGCTCTCTCCCCCAAAGACAAGAATCTCGGCGACTCAGGAGTCCGAATCTTCACAGGCCTCATTTAATGTTTGCTTGTTCTTGCTGCCTTGTTGTTTGCATCCTCACACTGACTTAGATGGCTCGAGCCTCAAAAATCGCTGAGTCTGGCTCTTCTGAGCCAGAATCTGAATCTGGACGCTCGTCAAGCGGGAGCAACTCCGTATCATCCCCATCCGCATCCTTAAACAAGGGAAAGGACCAGTCTGAGTCTAGCTCTTCCGAGTCAGAGTCGGAGCCAGAATCTAAGCCCAAATCTGGGCCAGGGTCTGGGTCGCCAAAACCCGAGTCAGAATCCGAGTCCGAGTCCGAGTCAGAGTCAGAAGGATCCAAGTCCGAGTCTGAGTCAGAGGAATCCGAGTCTAACGAAGAGGAAACTCCATTGACTTCCACAAACAAAAAGCACAACAAACGCAAGGCAGAGGACGGAGATGTCCAGCCAAGCAAGAAGTCCAAAACCACAGACCAAGTTGATGTTGGGAGGAACACCAACAAGGTTTTGGTCCGGAATCTGAGCTGGAATATCGATAAGGATTGGCTGGAACGCGAGTTTGCTGCGTTTGGTGAGGTTGCATCCGTTAAGGTAGTGATGGGGTCCGATGGCCGATCTCGGGGTATTGGTTTCGTCGTGTTTGCCGATGCCTCCGGTGTGGAAGCTGCTCTTGCGGCTACTGGAAAGGAAATCGATGGACGGGCGATTGCTATATCCATGGCCACCGACTCGGAAAGGAAACCTACAGTTACTGGGGATATCAAAAGTGACCCGACTGACACATTATGGGTTGGCAATTTATCGTTTTCAGCCACTGAAGAAAGTATCTGGGAGACATTTGGTGAACATGGCACTGTCAACAAAGTGCGGCTGCCTGTCAATCCCGAAACTGGCAAGCCAAGGGGATTCGCATACGTTCAGTTTGGAGATCAAGACTCAGCGACTCAGGCATTAGAGGCTTTGAATGGGAGCGAACTTTTTGGGCGCGAGGTGCGTCTTGATTATGCAGCCCCCAGTTCCCATGGAGGAAGTGGTGGACGCGGTAAGACGAATATTTAATTCTTTCCATCGTTGAAATCTCATGAAGCCGTCGCACGTCCAGGTAATCGTGGGGTTCGGGGTGGTGATCGTGGGCGAGGCAATGGCCGTGGTTGGGGCAGCGACGTGGCGCGGGGCAACGTGGCGAGGGGCAATGGTCGCGGCCGAGGTGATAACGGATGGCGAGGGCGCGGCACTGGACGAGGTATTTACAAGTATGTTTTTCCTCTCATCTTTCACTGAGTTTCTCCTAGGAGGTAGAGGCAGTGATCATGGAGGTATGACCTACAGTTTATATCAACTCGAAGTTATTGATTCTATGTATTTTAGGTCCTCGTGGTGGGGGGGCATTCAGAGGTGACTCTCGGGGTACTTTCAGGGGGAAAAAGACTACTTTCTAAACCTCGTTCTACTTCTATATCTAAAAAATATGCACCCATCGTGCATCCTTGTTTATCTGTTCGTTTGGATGCTCTGACCTATCCATTTTCTCTCGTCACGTTATAGACATCCATTTGTTCCACGTTTGGGTTTGCTTTGGATGCTATCATAGTTTGTTGGTCGGTATAGCATGGGGACTTGATATAGTTGGAAAGTCACATCTTAGTGCTTGAGTACAAAAGTAGAGACTCGTACACAGTCCATGCAATCACTGAACTAAGGACTTTCTTGACAACTCTTAACAACATCCCATCAAAACACCCAATAATCCCTCGGTCCTAGAATAGGATTGAGCTGCGCCTGCGCAATGAAGTCAACATATTCACTTTGGCTAGACTGAGCCCGCTCCGTGTGAGCGAGGGGAATCTCGCAGGGTTTACTTGCATGTTAGTCTGTTCGCGTTGCAATAAGTCAGTGTGTTGACGGACTGAATTGTGGCTGGATTACTTTGATGACATCGAAAGGATGTGTTATTGTGGTTGCGAACAGGGCGGCACATCCGCCTGACAAATGGCACGTGTATTCAGGTCTATGGCTTAGCCAGAACACAGGGACGTACTCGACACGCCTAGGACCACGCTCCTTGACAGCGACGAAGGTCTGACCAGCCGTTCTGGATAAAGAAGACACTTTCTAGTGACCCAATGCATAGGAATGGATTTACCATTTTGCTCTTTCAAGAACTCATAAGACATGACAAATAATCCTGCATATGGAGCATCCCTCAGGGCAGAGGCGAGCAGTCCTTGCGTCAAGCCGCCTGGAGATTGGCGAAGGGCGCGGAAGCCCTCCATCATGGACCTGTAAGCATAACGATCGCTCTATTGAGTACACTGAGAATAAGTGTTAAGGCCCTTAGTTATCGTTTTATCTCGTACCTCAAATCTTGCTTTGATGACTGTGATGGGGTTCAGAACCAATCCTACAATGGTTCGGCTCATCGCTCCCGCTAGTAAATTTCCACCATGAGAAGCTTTGGGGAGTGTGGAAACATTTGGGCGGTTACGCTCATTTAAGGGCGGTATAATTGCGATAGCCGAGCGAATGTTTTGCAGCGCATAGAAGTAGAGTGCCACTCCGGGAACGTTTCTAGACCGAGGTTAGGGCATTAAAGAGGCCCCAGGGGTTTACGTGCCGCCATGATGTCTGGCTGCAATCCTTAGGCGGAAGGAGTACCGATGCGCACCTTGTTATTGTTGGGGCAGTGCCTCGCCACAATGCCAAGAAACCATCCTTCCTAACAATATTCTGGACCGTGGAGGTGATGAAGCGGAAACTAGGCACGAAAAGAAAATTAAGGACATTGGGTGCACGCGACTCAAGGCATTGACGCGCTTTTTGGTGGTCCCTTTTTGCTGTATGCGGGTTTTCAGAAGATCCAGAGGCTGCAAAGCCGTGGCCGACACCAAACCGGAAACGGCGCCTGTATCGATGCGAAAGTATGAATATTATTGCCATGTTGATTAAGGAGTCACTGCAGTGGTATGAGCCAACCTGAGAATAGATGAAGTTTTTGCTGCTGGTGTTGCATTAGAGTTTGATTACATAATACGCGCTCCATAGGCGTCACCCAGCATCACGACGAACGCGCCATGTTTTCGACTCCTTCGCGAGCCGGCTCCAAAAAACCATCAGGAAATCGAAAACTTGTTGACTCACGCAGAACAACCCCTTCGCAATCGCAACCAAGAGCTGCTCCCTCATCTAAACTGTTAGAATCTTCTGTCGAGGCTGATTCGAACGACGGTGTGGAATTTGAAGATACTGCCTCGCCCGTTCGCTACGAACGCGGCATGCGCGGTAAAACCTATGTGCATCGTCCAGAACTTTCCGTCTCTTTCTTCGCATCTGCACCTTCAGAGGTTCAAAGAGTCCTTCGCTCGACAGGTTGTTTCGGTTGTTGGGCCGGGTGTATAGTGCTGATCCTCCTTCTAGATCCAAAAAATTCTGGGCTGTCCAGCCTAGTGGACACTTCCCTTTTTTTAATAGCTGTCGTGGCTGATGATACATCGTATGTTTGGGATTACTCAGTGGATAAGGAAGGCTCTACTTGCTACATGTTCCCTAACCCTCCGTCTCTTTCTGATAATGCTCGCGGTTCCAACTCGGTCTTGCCTACTTTCATCTCTCATGGAGAAGGTAAAGAGCCCGGGCTGCTTCTGTGTTCACCCAATGGAGAGTTGCGATATTGGGGTCGAGTCAGCATGGGAATAACTGGTGCAGAACGTTTTCAGTCTTTCCATATGAGCCTCGCTTCCTCAGAATTTGTCGTGATTATGCGACGCATGGAGGCAAGGATCCTCTCACTTTGCGTCTCACAGCTGAGCCAGCGTCATGACCTTCCCCACCCCAGGTCTCTGTTCTAGTAGGAACCAACCTTGGTAGACTTTTCCGAGTATCAGTATCCGCCCTCGGTGGCGTATCTCAGATGAATGCTACTTTATTAAGCGGGGCACATGGCGTGCTTTCAAGAGTCGCATCCAGTCTATTTGGGTCGACTGCTTTCCCTCATCCCATTCGTCAAATCGTGTCCCTTGCCTCCCAGCAGGATGCGGGTCCTAACAGTTACCTCTGGGCATTGACCCGAACACACTTACAGAAATGGTCGATTTCTTCAAGCAATTGGGAGGAGGTGGAGCAATTTTTCCGTCAAGACTTGGGTACCATACTTACCTTTCGCGTGGACAGCTGCAACTGAATGTGGATTTGGCTCCACTTATACATAATGAGCTACTCAGACAGATATCCGGCGCTGCAGTGGGCGACTTTGGTCTTCGTCTTCTGGATTTGAGCTTAGGGTTGTACGTTTTCCTTGCACTCGAGAATGGCCAATGAACCAGTTGTATAGGATAGATGAAGTATTTGTGCTATTCTCTTTCATTGAGCGTCAAGATTTAGGCAAGGGCGCGGGAACTGCCCGGTGCCATGCAATAGCTCGTTTGTCAGCCTTGGGGGAAGCTGTAACGATGAAATCTCTTCATGCAATTCCGCATGATGCGGTGAGGATTTGTCTGGCACCACACAATCGAAATGATTCCGACGCAGCACATTTCAGATGCCTCCAGAGCATGATCTGCCAAGAATGTGTCTCCTGGAAGATGGCAATACGTTAGTATTGCGGTTCCACGATGGTCTCATTATTCAATCTCTTGCGGGGGGTCAGTGGTGTTTTCACCTATCTTTCTGCAAGTTCGTTTACACGTGTCCGTCAGAATCTTCTTTCCAGTCCACCATAATACTTAAAGATCCGTGGGACCGGCTTCTTGACCTCGACGTAACTCGTAAAGAGGACCCCTCCACTGCGGAACTGATAATGATGACCCGCAAACACGATCTCCTTGTATGTCAGATTGATCTCGACAAGGTTCGACGATCAACTCCTGAGTGCGTGGATGATTTCCTACATTTGGATGGGATGTTTACCCATCATTTCAAGGACCCCAGCAAATCATCTTCGCTCCATCCTTGAACAAGGGGTCTTTTTCGGGTCTATGGACGAAGTATGGTTTCTAGATGCTAATTCAGTCCTCTAATACAACTCTTCCTACAGAACCCCTTTCAAACGCACCTAGGATTGTACACAAGCGAGGTTCTAGCTGTTGCGGCCGAGAGTCTAAGCAGAGATATACTCAATTCCAGTCCGTATGGTTCCCTCTCACTGGTTAGCATCATTAACCCATTATCATCTTAGATTTGAGCTTACTTCGTCACTCTACGGATTTGAGAGTTCACTTGGCCGAACGGAAACAAGCATTGGAGAATCTCGCTGCATTCTTGAATCGCAATAGTGCCATGTCCCAGGCAAGTGGTTGAAAAGAGGCAAGACTTCCCATTGCTAACATCCCGCAAGCTGCCCCAAGCTTCTCGTCAACGACTTGCAATTGACGCGGAGAAGCTTTTCGTCGCTGAAGATTTATGGGTGGTTTTGAATGACCGGACGTGAATTATTCTCGCTTATTCTTGGTTCAATAAACTGACATCTTCTCTTGCCAGTGATGGAGGGCTCCTTGCGGAGGCAATTTCGAATATCATCAATAGCAAGATGCTGCAGTCAACTTCGGATTCCGTCCGATTGATTTTCCGTCACCATGTATTTCGTTTTGTTAGAGATTTGTTTGTTGCTAATTCCAGTTTAGGCAGGGGAAATAGAAACCATTTTTGAGGAGTTGCAGAGAATGGGTCAGCGGGCCGCATCGAACGACGCATCAACTCGGCATCCTACAGGTGTGATCGAGGAGTCTTGTGCTATCATGATCGTGAGCAGCTCATCAAATTGTTATGTATCGTATCTTATTATCCTTTCAGCGAATGTGGGCATCGGCAGTCCGTTATCGCCAGCAGACACAGTCGGTGTATGAAATTGTATCATCGAAAATCATTATCCCGCCCTGGACTAGCCTACCCAGCCAGATAAGGGCATCGCAGTACTTCTTTGAGCTCATTGTCCGATGGATCAAAGATCGGAGTAATGGACAAGGTGATATTGATGCCCCCGCCGGCCCCTTGGAAAGCCTCGGATTAGTTCTTCGCGAAATGGGATCCATGGTGCTAACGATGTGGCAGGAACGTTATGATTATCTCGCCAGGTGCGTTGCGCTGCTTAGTAACACAGCGCTCCTTACTAATGACGGATCTGAAGCAATGCCATTGATGAGGAGGGACAATCTGTACTTGAAACATTCAAAACCCATTTTGCTTCGGTGCGCAAACAAATTCTCAGCGCCTTGGGTATGGCAAATTGCGATCATACCGGGAATGATGATTTTTAATGGTCCCCATGCTTCACCAGTTCAATGGGGAAGTGTCGATACGGCTTATCGTTTAGCAGAGGAATACCGGGATCTAGGTTTCTTGGCAAGTCTTTGCAATAACCCGATCTATGGCGACTCGGCGAAGGCTAGCATGTTGCTGCAAAGGCACCACGGAGCTTTTGCGATACACCTATTTAATTGGTATATCGAGAACGGTCAGATATCGGCGTTCAAAGATGATTTGGGGCTAACCTGAACCTCCAGGCCAACTTCGTAAACTACTGGAGATTGACTCTCAGTTCATCCCATTACTTGAAGCCTATTTGCGAACAAATCACCATCCCCGGATTCAATGGATTCACGACCTAGGCGTGGGCAGGTTTGACGCAGCAGCATCAGCGCTGGAAGCTGAGTCGCAAGTGGAACTGAGGCGTGAAACCAAACATGTAACTGTGCGGACATATGTCAACAATTCCTTACGCTTAAGCAAATCGTGCAGGTCATTCTCAGCATTGCGAAGCTGTCCACCCTCGCACTCATGGACGATCCCGACTCCGACGGTGCGCAGCATGCCTTACAGTGTGAGTTGTTGATGAGAAATGTGATATCGATGCGCTTAATCGTGCTATAGTCGTTAACACTCAGTTGGATCTCGTCAGCATTCATGATCGCGTAATAATGGAGTTCTTGACGGTCTTGTCAGAAGAGAGACATAAGTCACCGGAAACAATGGCCGATGCTGTCACTCGCACATACGGAACTACCATGACACAGTATTATCCCGGATACGTCTCTGTATATCCATTTCTTGTTTCTTGTCAACGAAAACACTGAAGATACTTGATCACTAGGTCTTCAAGGCATTAGTCAAAGACCTATGTCAGGGCCAAGCACTGTCTGAGGAGCAACTCGTTGAGATATTGACACTGAGAGATCATTTCGAAGTGAGCGAAGACTTCGTGCAAGCTTTTCAGATCGCAGCAATCTCCAAGGTTCGTAAAATCACTTTCGGCTTTGCTGCCCTCAGACGTCGTTCGATCGCTAGGGACGTCATCAGCCACAACTCCATACCGCGATCCAGAGCATCAACCGTCGCCTGTTTATTTCATCAGAGTAGGTTGGGAATGCCTGGGGCTCATCAGATCTAACCTGCGTTTTGCAGCTGGGTCGATATTGCTGCGCCTTCAAATAAAACAGATATTGAAATAGACGACCGGCTTCGGAGGACGCCTCTTTACCAGACTTTACGCTCCTTGAGCACCAAAGGACGGGAAGATCTGATTTCCCTTTGCTTGTCGCCTGGCGAAGTTTTGGATGTACCTGTAACCTCTCACATAGAGGCCAAGTATCCCGGCCTTACAATCACCCAGATCTCTGACTATGAAGGAGCTTGCCAAGCGGAAGTGAGGGTATTAGAGAACCTACTGCACAAACACTCGTTCGAATCTTGGTATTTACGTGTACGATCATTGGCGGGGATAAAGATTCCATAGTATCGTTGTGTTATCCAATACTAGTTTCTTGCTCTTGATGGCTCACGTATTACTGGATCATTTAAGATCATCAATGAAGAGTAACTTAATCCGCCTCTACGAAGGCACGATACACTACAAGAGGCCCTGATGCCTTGAACGTAATATTTGTGCCAGCACCAACAAAAAATATTTCACCATCGTTCTTGAAGTGGTGGACTTCGCGCCCGCTATTCCATTCAATCAAGCCTGCAGATTGGGTGACGATGAAAATACTCGGTCCGTTGATAGCAGGGTGTTCCTCCTCCTCTCCAACCTCCAATTCGGTCACTAAGACTGAAAATTCGTCGATAGGAGGGTCGTAAACTATGGTTCGTTTCAATTTTTTATAGTGGGTCTTCACCATCAACCTCTCCGCAGCTGGTATGGCGGAGTATGTGAGCATGGAGAGAAGGGTAGGTACGTCACGCAATTTGGGAGTGAGTCCTGCCCGCACTACGTTGTCTGGTACACTGTTTAGCTATCGCTTGACACGTGTAAAATTCTTACACACCCGATGTGGCCATTGTTTCTACAATATCTAGATCACAGATTAGCGCTCTGGTCTGGGAACGGGAATCCATGCGATAGTACCTCCAGAAATGTATGCATGAGGTTCGTTAGCCTTGAGGAAAATAGCCTGCCTGGGTTCGAGTCTTACAACATTGAGTAGGAAGGAACAGAGTACGCCAACATCGCCAGGATACTGGCTGGAGAGTGTCATAACGACATCCTTAATTTTCTGCTCCTCTGGATCGATGTCCCCCGAATTGTAACGAGCCACCAATGTCTTCAATACCTCCCGCACCGAGTCTTCGTCACTCTTCATCAGCACAGAAAATACGGATCGCAACGCAGATTGCGCATCTTCAGCGACAGCAGGAGGCCCGCCTTCGTTCACGGCCGCCATGAAGCGGGATACGATTTCCTCGGGAATCAGGGAACGCACTTCCGGCACGACGGAAAGATACGTCGCGATAGCCTCGAGTGGCAGGAATCCACAAAAGCCAGTGAATGGCGTGATGGCAATAGCCATTTCAGGCTCAAGAAATATCAAATGCGGTCGATACAGAAGTCTGCCTTCATTAGCCTACCTTATGATTGGCATCTGGCAGGATGTGTAGATGTAATTCGTAGGAGGGCAACATATCCATAAGTGTTGTTACCTTTATACACATCAGGATGAACATGATGCAACCTTTCGGCGAGGACTTTGTCAGGGTGAGCCTGGATGCTTAGTGCCTTGTTGATAGCTAGCACTTTGAACAAAAATGGGAGATCGGGTCCGTAACGAGCAACTGATTGTTTTCCAAGTAGACCAGGATTCGCCGTCAGAAAGGTCCTGAGATTTTCGCCGGAGGATGCCACGACGGATGGGCAAGATGGATGGGTTCCCATCCACAACTAACTAGACATAAGACACTGTAATCTGGATTAAGCACTGACGGACGTACCTCTGCATAAGGCTTGGTTTCTTCAAGAGCAAAGGATGGTGTAGCTTGTGCGAAACGGGCGACCTCGGACTTCGATCCTACTTTCCCCCACTTATAGCACTGGATGCCACCATAAATCTGGAACACTGCAGCAACCATGTCGTTGAAGGAGCAGTCAATAAGTGACCAATTCCACGTCTGCACTTCTCACGGTCACGCAGCCGCAGCCTGGTTATTGTTCGCGTATGCCAGAATGCCGATCGATTGGACCAAAATTGAACATCCGATTCACGAGTTCAGACCTTTCGCTAGTCGTCGCTCTACTGTCTATGGCACCAAGGGAATGGTCGCATGCTCACAGCCTCTAGCTGCTGAAGCAGGCCTTGAAATCTTGAGGAGGGGTGGTAACGCCGGTAGGCTCAATGGGACACCAATGACTGAGTTTAGAGGCCTTCTGACCTTGATGCAGCGGACGCCGCAGTAGCTATATCTGCGGCACTTAACGGTAGGGAACATGTGTTACGATATCTGAAAGGATGTAATTCTTTCTTCTAGTTACGGAGCCATCTAGCTGCGGTATTGGCGGGTAATTTGATCACTGCTCATTCTTTATTGCAGTTTTTAACGCGTATCATAGGGATGCCTTTTGTTTGTACTACGATGCATCCTCTCAGGAAGTTTGTGGTCTAAACGGGTCCGGGCGTGCACCGAAAAAAATCAGCATTGATATTGTTAGAGACTCGGGAGTACATGGGAGCAATATTCCTGCTACAAGTATGCATAGCGTCACGGTTCCGGGTGCAGCCGCTGCTTGGGTAGATGTTGTGGAGTCTTTTGGTAGTGGGGTTGTCTCCTTTGCGGACATCATGACACCCGCAATCCTGTTGGCAGAAGAGGGGTAATGTCATGTTTTCATGGCACACATGCACTAACTTTCACTCGTTTGCAGAGTCCCTGTTTCAGAGCTTCACAGTCATGCAGTGAGTCTGACAGGTGGTGTCATAGATGGATCTTGGGGCTCATCATGTTTCACTCAGTGGCAAAGAGCAGAGGAGCTTATAAAAAATGCTTCACCAAATTATAGGGCGATGCTTTTGAATGGGAAGGCTCCACAACCTGGTGAGATAATGACTTTTCCGGATCTTGCCCGAACATTTCAGGCTCTGGTTCATCGGGGTAAAGATGGTTTTTATTCTGGCTATGTTGCACAAGCAATTGTGGACCTAGTTTCAAAAGGTGGTGGGGTTATGGAGTTGTCTGATTTAGCAGACCATTCTTCCACTCTGGTTCAGCCAGTTTCATATACATATCAGGGGGACATTACTCTCTATGAAGTTGAGTGTTGTTAAATGGTTGGTCTCAATGTTAATTTCTGTTTAGTGTCCCCCAAATGGGCAGGGTTTGACTGCTCTAATGACTCTTGGCATCCTTGAAGCACTGGAAAATTTGGGAAGGATTGCCCCTATACTTAGCATGGAACACAACTCTGCAGAATATGCTCATGCTATAATTGAGGCTTTGCGGTGATTTGTGCTCAGCTAACATCTCTGTGTTGAGTCTGATAGACAAGGTTTTATTGCAGCCTCTCCTTTGCAGGTTTGTGCTATTTTGATGTGCTGATTATTGTTACTGATTGAACTGACAGACACACAGTTTTATGTCACTGACCCTGAATTAGTGAACATTCCAGTTGACCAGTTGCTAAGCCAGGTGTGTTGAATTATAGCTATACAGTGACACCAGTGAAACAGGCAACATCAGGACTATCTCCATAGAAGGGCAGAGTTATTTGATCCTCACCAAGCTTCACAAAAGATTCAGCATGTTTGTTCTCTTCCCTTGTTTTGTAAGGCTGATTCTTACTTTGAAATTGATAAAATTTTAGGGGTATCCCCTTCATACATCAGACACAGTGCAATTCTCTGGTATGTTCCTTATTGTTTAATTGATAATAGAGTGATATCTGAACTTTTCAGTGACTGATAAATGGGGGAATGGGGTAAGATTATATTTTGCACTAGTTCATGCCCCACATGTGGCTAATCATCAATGCACAGTGTAGTTTTGTTCAGAGTAATTATGCAGGCTTTGGAACTGGAGGTGACATGTCTAATTGCCCTTTATTAATTGTGATTGAATTTTAATGTCTTGTATCAGCAATTCCTGAAGGTTGTGGCTTTACATTACAGAACAGGGGTTCAGGTTTCAATTTGACTCCTGGACATCCTAACCAATTGATGGTTTGCAGCCTGCAAAGATACTTCACATGGAAACTAATGTATTTTGTAAAGGGGGGAAAGAGGCCTTATCACACCATCAGTTTGTTCACTTTCCATGATATTTTCTTGACATTTGGTCTGATTTTGTTCACAGTGCCAGCCATTGCCACACATGGAAAGGACCTGTTTCTTGTATATGGTAATCTAAGTGTTTCTTTAAGCAGCTAGGATTGAATGTGGTTTAGGTGTCATGGGAGGATTCATGCAGCCTCAAGGGCATGTTCAAGTCCTCCTGAATATCCTACGAGGATATACACCTCAAGCAGCTCTTGATGCTCCCAGGTTCTGCATATTGCCCCCACTTCCAGATTCTGAACCACCCACAAGTCAGACTGGAGAGATTAATGCAACTATTTTTGTTGACTCAGACTTCAGTGATTCCACCATCATATCATTGCAAAGTTGAGCTACTGGGTTTCCATTTTTTTGCATATAATAACTTTCCCTCAGAACTGGGCCATAACATTCAAAAAGTTTGGAGATTTGGACACAGCACCCTTGGCCGGGGCCAAATCATTCAAAGCATACAAAAGAATCCTCAAATTTGGGCTGCAGGTTCAGATCCAAGATCTGATGGACATGCAATTGCTCAAATTTAAAGTCAAATTGATGCAGCCATTAAAAATTTATATAAGCTGGACAAAGCCAGGGGGAGAGTTTAAAAGCATTCTACCAATCCTGGGTGGAATAGGATGGCTATTTGAAAGTTTGTGATTTGGAAGTTGTGCTTCAAAGTTTGTGCTGTCATTTTGCCAATGGTTGTGATTCAATTTGGATTGGGAACTAATGGAAAGGAGAGAAAAATGTTGTAGTTATTTCTCTTATTTTCTATTCAATCTATGCTCCATATAGCATCATGTGACTCCAGAGTTGCTCTTTACTGTTCTTACCTGTGTAATAATAACATTAAAGTCAACTCAGACTGAGGTATCCTGCTGAGATACAATAAAAAATGAAAAACAAAAAACTGAGGCATATGGTGAAAGATCACAATAAGGCAACTGGAACCTGTATGAAAGGACTGATCACAGACTGTTATGAATGTAACCCCTGAATGTAGTACTGCTTACTTGTTTGGGGATGGTAATGTTCTGTTCCCCTGTTTGCCTGAGGCCTCAGATGATCCATCTAATAATATGCTTTTATGGGCTGTACATATATTGATGGGGTAGAAGTAAAGGCTGGTCCACCCTTTACAGCTACCCCGAGGGTTTATATACAATTTAATTGTCAGGGCACACACCCTGACTAGCCCGGACCCGGACCTGCGTCCGGACCCGCTTCCACCCGCTGCGCTTCCTGCACACATGCATGCTCCATGCGCCGCATGCTCCAGGCCCGGTTCCTACCCCTTCATGTGACTTCCGGGTATCCCCGGAAGTTTTGCTGATATTGTGGCCACTGTGGGAAGATGAGAAGTTAGCTTCCTTCTCATCTCCTTACCCACAGTAGGTTGTGCCCTGGATAGGGCTGGTTACACCTCAGGGCTGTGGACCATAGGGGAGGGTCATGGGGACCTGGGAGTCGTCCCCTGACATTAATACACTCTCAGCACAAATAAATAGAGAAGCATCTGTGATGCTGAAAGAGGGCTCGCAGCTTTCTGTGCTGACTAAGCTCATGGGGACCAAACTCTCCAAACACTCTACTTTCTCTCTTGACTTCGCTATGCTCAATCCTTAACTCCACAGTGGGTTCTCCAGGATTTTGTAGTAACTCAGGTGAGCAGCCCTGGGGCAGTCTGGAGTAGACTTTAGCCTTGATACAATAAGTAGAAAGGATAAAGTCGACTCCAAAGTCACATGACTATATATAGAGTGAAGATTGAAATGAAAAGAGACAACTCAAACTACAACAGATTTCCGCAAGGTCTGGGCTCAGCATCCACTACTCACTTGTTGTGAGCTAACCAGCTGCCCTTACTGTTGGAATTCCACACTCTCTCACCAACTCTAGTGCATCCTAGCACCTTACAGAATTTTGGGGGAGGGGAGAACTTCTATTCCGGAATCCGGTATGTACAGGATATAAGGAAAATTTATTTGTAGAAATAATAGATGGTAACTATTGGTGCCATATGGCACCTTGGTACCTTATTAGGTGAAATAATAAAAAGGGTAACAGTAACAATAAAAGAATATTAATCAATATCTGAAATGATGGCAAAATATGAAAATAAAAGAAAATAAGTGATTTCTCAACGGATTTACGGAATTAAGAGCCGAAATTGGAAATGCAGCCAGAGATAACTCTCATGCAGCTGATAAACATTTTTACCAATTTATTAGACGCTGTGGGAATGAGTGAGGCTGGAATTCTGGGTTGCCACTTGAGATTCCCATGCCCGCACATACTGCCATGCCTAACTTGTCCAATGTGTAACTCCATCAATTCTCCACCGATTGGGACGTTTTTGGTATCGATGGGATCATAGGAATTAGCACTATTTTTGGATCCCAAATTCGTACCAAATCATCATGTGAATGAAAGTAGTTTTCTGAATGTGGAAGCGGGTATCTGAGCCAAGTCTGTGTGTGGGTGATTATCCCACCTACAATGCTAAATTAGTGTCGCAACATAATTATTAGACAACATAACATCAATTTATGTTGTGAGCGGAATATAGACATGGGCTGGGGCCTCACACTGAAGCAGAATGGATGGAGAGAATGAGTAGAGGAGCCTATTATAACTCAGCAATAGCCACTCTGAGTTGTCCTTTAATGTTATTCCAAGTAGAAGTAACAGTTAAAGGACGACTCCGCAGTCACATGATACAAATAGAGCGCAGATTGAATAAGAAATGAAGGAGAAATAGAAACAACTACACACAACACTCCCCCTCAATCCAGCTCAAGTTTTCTAAGTCCTAACAATGAGCATTGGTGTTGATGGAGCTCTCTAGACAGAGCCTTTGTGAGGATGTCTGCAGAATTATCCTTAGAAGGTACCCATTTAACCTCCAGTTTCCCTGAGTCAACCTGATCCCTAATCCAATAGTACTTTGTCTGGATGTGCTTCATTCTACCATGATGCTCCGGGTTTTTGGCGACTTTGATGGATGATTGGTTGTCCATGTAAAGAGGGAATGATGAACCTTGTGGATACCCAAGTTCTTCCAGCAAATGAGTCATCCATGTTCCATCTGAGGCTCCGGCATTTGCAGCATAGAGCTCAGCCTCAGTGGTGGACTTGGCAACAACATCTTGACGTCTACTGGACCAACTAACACATGAGGCACCAACAAATGAGGCATACCCTGAGGTTGAGAGTGCCTTTGCAGTGTCCCCAGCATAGTCAGAGTCAGAGAACACAGAGAGAGTGACTCCCCCTGGAGATGATGGCCCAAACTCAAGACAGAAGTCAGAAGTCCCCTTAAGGTATCTAAACACCCATTGAACTGCATTCCAGTGTACCTTCCCTGGGCAGGAGTTGAAGCGACTCAGGAGACCCACAGCATAGGCAATGTCAGGTCTGGTTCCAATGGCCAGGTACATGAGGCTGCCAATTGCACTCAAGTATGGCACACCTTGCATATAGTCCTTCTCTTCTTCTGACATATCCTCGATTTTGGAAAGGGTGATATCAGGGTCAAGGGGAGTAGCAAGGGGTCTGCAATGCTCGTGATGGAAGCGTTGCAAGATGTCTAAGGTATGTTTCTTCTGGGAGAGCCAGATTTTGCGATTTGAGCGATTACGATGGACTTGTAGGCCTAAGATGTAGTTGAGCTCCCCCAGATCCCGCATCTCAAACTTGGACTTGAGCTCAGTTTTGAGAGAAGTAAGAGCAGCCAAGTCATTGCAAGCAAGGGTGAGGTCATCAACATACACTGGAATAATCACCTTGACATGGTCCTTGGCCCAAACCCAGATAGAGTTGTCACTAGGGCATCTCTTAAGGCCCAAACCCAAGAATGTTTCATGGAGCTTGTGGTACCATTGCCGAGGGCTTTGCTTCAAACCATAAAGGGACTTCTTGAGGTGACAAACCATATGCTCCTTTCCTGCCTCCACAAATCCTTCTGGCTGAACCATATATATATCCTCTTCCAGATCACCATTTAGGAAGGCAGAAGAGACATCCATGTGGTGCACTTCTAAGTCCTCAATGGCAGCAATGGCAAGGATGGTTCTAAGAGAGGCAAACTTTGTGACTGGTGCAAAGGTCTCAGTGTAATCAAGGTGTGGTTTCTGTGAAAACCCTTGAGCCACGATTCTGGCCTTGTACCTCTCTATAGATCCGTCTGAATTGTGCTTGACCTTGAAGACCCACTTCGATCCCACTGGTTTTCTACCCTTTGGAAGAGGCACCAAGTCCCAGGTATGATGCGACAACATCTGGGTATACTCTTTCAAGGCAGCCTCTTGCCATAAAGGCCAGTCCTCTCGCTTCTGAGCCTCCTTCATAGACCTAGGTTCCACAATAGAAGTAGCCAGTGCAAACTCAACCATTTCTTCCAAAGATAAAGCTCTAGACTTTGACTTGGTGAGAAGGGCAGCCATAGCAAGCTCATCTTCTGAGTCATCTTCTGGCTCATCAGCATCAGCCTCAGAGTCGGAGTTGACACCAGGAGTTGGCTCTCTAGCCTCCCACTTGCTCACAGGTGGGGAAGGAGATGGGTTTACCTTCCACCACTCACCTGGGGGTTTTCCAGCATTGAGGCGAGTTGTTCTGCGCAAAGTTGAAGGGCCAGATGAAGAGGAGGGTGGTGCAGGAGAAGGTGAGGGCAATGGGGAAGTAGGAGGAAATGGGGATGGAGAGGGGGAAGGGACAGGAGGAGGTGGTGCAGGAGGGACAGTGTCAGAGGAGAAAGTGTCAAAGGAATCATCAGTGTCAGGGAGAGGAGTGAAGCGATTGCTGACTGGCTTGTTGTCTCCCCCTGCCTTTGGCACTGGAATCAGGTGTGTAGGAATATAGGGACCAATAGAAGAATCAGATTTGTTTCCAGGCATAGATTGTTCGTCAAAGATCACATCTCTTGAGATAAAAGTCTTTTTAGTAGATGGATCATAAACTTTCCAACCTTTAAAGTCTGGTGGGTACCCAATGAAGATTCCACGACAAGTCTTTGACTCAAAACTTTTCCGTTTGTCCTTTTGCACATGAATGTAGGCTTGACATCCAAACACCCGGAAGTGAGAGACAGAAGGTTTACGATTAAACCAAGCCTCATAAGGAGTGACTCCATCAAGTGCTGATGAAGGAGAGCGATTTAGAGTGTGAACAAAGACACCCAAAGCATCTCCCCAGAAGGAACCAGGCAGAGATGCTTCATGCAGCATAGAGGTGATACCTTCATCCAGAATTCGATTTGTCCTCTCTGCAACTCCATTCTGCTGTGGAGTAGCAGTGGTGGTGTGCTCCCTCACAATCCCATGTTCCTTAAGAAAATGGTCCATCTCCTTTCCCATATACTCACCACCCTTGTCATCCCTAAGTGCCTTCAAAGTAAAACCAGTCTGTGTTTCAGCAAAGGCCTTGAACTCCTTAAGTGCCAGAAAGGCATCAGACTTTTTGTGGAGTAGGTAGATGACCCGGTAACGAGTGAAGTCATCAATGAAGGTGATCCAGTACTGGTGTTGCTGAGGGGTTTGGACAGACACAGGGCCATGCACGTCAGAGTGGACAAGTTCCAAAGGCCTACTACGTCTGTTTGAGGCACTCTGGGGGAATGGGAAGCGATGTTGTTTCCCAGCCAAGCAATGCTCACAGATATCTGGGAGGGGAGTGGAGAGGGAAGACTTTCCAATGTCCAAGTCCTTTACCAGTGAACCAGAGATGAGTTGTTTAAGTCGATTTCTTCCAATATGACAGAAGCGACGATGCCATAGTTCAGGGGATGAGGGAGTGGCCCTCAAGGCAGCTTGAACAAC